GTAAGTAGGGCTGAACCGTATTACCGTATTACCTTTCTCCGAACTCGTTTCTCGTTCGCTGTTTCAATTATACGGTAGCTCTGCTAATTGCACTTTTCGCTTTATTTTCTGCCCCACCAATTGGCTTTTCTTAACTTGTTCTTGTCCTGGGACGGAAAACCGTTCCCACGATAATCTACGTATACATACATGGATACTCTTTATCGAACGCGGATCCTTTTTTAGTCGAATCCACGTGGTTTCCAACGTGGGTGGATCTTTTCGATGTAACATCCTATTTAAGACACATTTCGAACAACACTCCTAATAATATTGTAATAGTTTGATTCGTAAAATTGTAAACATAAATCAGGCTGCATTTCGTTCCTCGAGCGTCGTCGCGGGAATCGATCCTGGTTCAAGTTACCGGTGTTATCGATGCATCGATGATAGTTGGCGATGGTAGGCGGATTCTCTTCGAACGATGCGCGCATCCTCTTCACGGTGGCAATTAACGAGTTATCAGCGGCCATCAAACTCGTCCAAGGACGAAACTTTCCCAATTCGTGCTCGAGAGTTTAGACACCAATCGGTTCATTCGATTTCGAAGGAAAAAGATTGGATCGATCGATTGCCGGATTGATGGAGCCGCTCGAAATTGCTGATTGCGCCTGTCGATGCCCGTTGAAAAAGAGTCGCCCTCTCGAAACGTAAACGCTCGAGAGAACTTTGGGTAGCGTTGAAAATTCATCCTTGTGCTTCGTACAAGTTACGTTCTTCCGATTCTACGATGACCATCGATCGTGAAATAACTCTTCGATGCTTGATATTCAAACCGAACAAGTCACGTTGATTTAACATGTCCGAGAAATAATTTTCTTAAAGATTATTTAAAAAGTAACTTTTTTATATTCGAAATAAATTCCTTTTAACGAATTTCCCCAGTAAAACGAATAAAAGATAAACGGCAATTCGAAGAGACGGCAAGACGAATAAGAATGCAACAAAGATAACTGACGATTCGCCAAGTTCGTTGTAAGCTGCTTACGATAACGATCGGGTCAGCAGACCGAGCTCCGAGCTCCGTGCTCCGAGCTCCGTGCTCCGAGATGCTAGGGGGGGGGGTGGGAGGAGGCGTTAAGGGCGGGCGCGTTTAAGATGCCTGACTTCCTTCCCATATTACGATCCATTTACCTTGAGTCTCGTGATATTAGGAATCGACGACGAATCGATTTCACGCGATAATACGGAGACCATGGGGTTTCCACATAGGCCCGGTGATCGCAAACCCGTGCACGTACGAGAACGCACACGAACATGGATAGCATGGCGGAAGGCAGAAGGCACGGATCCATGGAATTGTCAGCCATTCCAGACTCCAGGGATTAACTCGCCCAGGAATGCATTCCTCCTTTCTCTACTCCCACCACTCGTCTCTCGCTCGCTCGCTCTCTCACAGTCTTTCCGTCTTTTCCCGTATTTCGTCTCTTCCTCCGCCATTCACCTTTCCTCTGATTTTCTCGCCTCGTCCCCCTCTTCAGGATAGGGTAGGGAAGCACTCACAGTCATTTTCTCCATTCTGCGATTCGATTTCCGCCGATATTGCTCCCGTCTCGCTAGATTCTTCCATTCGGTCGGATGAAGACGCTGCTGCCGAGGGAAATATATTCATCCGCGTCTAGCAGAGAGAACGAGAGCGAACGAAACAGGGGGGCAGGTCGAAGGAGCGATGGGTAGAGACTGATCTGAAAAAGGAAAAGGCCAATTGAATCGTTAAGGAAGAAAGGGGAAGGGGGGGAGAGAGAGGGAAATATAAGACGTTTCGCGACGCAGCCAACTAATTTCACCGTCGTCGATGCTGTTCATTTTCCATCTTTTTTTTTTTCCTACAACCTCGATCAATGTGTCTACGTATCTGTTCCAAGATCGGGCAGAGGATCGCTGGTATTTAAAGCGAACCGGTAAGATCAGCGCGCTTACACGCACGCACGCACGCACGGTACAGAGAGATAATCGAAAGACGCGAAAGTCGTGTCGAAGCAACTGCCTTTATCATTAACTTCCTTGCTTTAAAGTAAAAAGGAAAAATACAAGACTGGTTGGTTACGTTCGAGTCTCGATCAGTCTCGAGTTAGCGCGGCTCTATCGATCGCAGGTAACCACGCGATCGGTTGGTGCACGTTTCTTTTAAAGCGCGCGCGCGCGCGCGACCTGTGTGCGTAATACGTGTTTCAATGGAGAGAGCAATCGGAGTGCGCTGTGCAGCGCAGCCACGGCCATGATTGGTACGGCATTGTGCGCCAGAACCAACGGAGAAATTAACCATGATCTCGATCAAACGATCCCAACAGTGTGCGCGTGCTAGCGAAATCCAGAGCGGCATGGCGTCGGCCAGCCCGGCGCACCGTAGCACAGCACGGCGGTATCGCAGTAGTGCTGCATTGCAGCTAACTTTGGGATTCGAGTATGGGAAATGTATTCGTATTTATGTAGGCGCTTAAGTCGGATTAGCCGAGCGGAACGCGAGGATAATCGTGGTCGGTGCTATCGATCTTGGCGAACCGACATCGAACCGTTGTTTAAACCGAGTCGAATCAACGAAAGGAACTCCCAGCGATCGCGATCGTGCGTTAAAACCGATCGACCAACCAGTCGCTGCGACCGGTCTCGAGTTCCTCGAGTTAATCCAACGATATTCTCGGCCCGCCCCTCGATCGAACGTTCACGCACTCCATTTCCTGCAATTCGAGCTACATAATTCCAAGCCTGATCGAGTCGGCAACAACATTTTTACTCGAACGCGAGCTTGGTCTAATCGACGGAGAATCGAAGAAGAAAAGATCGAACGAAATCGAAATCGAAATTCCTGTTGTCGCGCGTCGATGCAGGATCGATCGTTTCGATAAGAAAACCGCGAGAATACGGTCGCGACTGTTGATAGTCGATCCGGGTCGTAGGTCCATGACGCGTCGACGTTTCGCGCGCCAGGGCGGACGATGATACGATGATACCGCGGTGCTCAGCACCGTAACGGTGCTCTGTAATTAATCAAGTGCGCGAGGTACGAGGCGAGAATACAGGGCTGTTCCCTGCAACGCGACGCAGCGTTTACATACTCGATGCTCCCGGCTGAACGATGCACGTATCTCGTACATACATGTATGTACATTGTATATGTAGTTGCGCGTAGAGCGTGTATTATGGGACAGTCGCGCGCGCACCAACAACTCGATACGCGCTGCGCTACGATGCGCGCGTTCAAACGAGGGAAAAGAGGCCGGGGTGCCGAGTGTACCTACCTACGAACACGAGATAAATAGCAATGGTTGCATAATTCTCGACTGGGACAGATGTGTATCGTGATTGTAGAAATGGAGGAATCGAGCCGCGTAACCGTCACGCACGGACGAGTGTTGCTATCTACTGGCATCGGATCCAACGATTTTTCTTCCACACAATCGGATTACCGATGTTTCTCGTGTTTCGGTAAAATGGTCTGGTCGACGTCAACACTCGTCGCGACCATTTTACGGAATTTTTTTACGGAAATGCACGCATTACGACACACGTAACGACAAAGGGAACAGCTTCGGATGTAAATGCGAATTTCAGCCAACACGCACAAATTAAAGAAACGTTTCTGGTTTTGGACGAGTACGCGTCCATCAAGCTGGTTCGATATCCTATTCGATCAAGATTCGATTGTTTGGCTCGACGGATCGTTGGAAAAATGCAGTCGAAAAGACAGCCGAGAAAGAAAATCTGATCCAGATTCGTACAAGGCAAGGGATTGCGCGATAAGACAAAGCCACCGTTAATCCAAGACAAATACACGTTTGTAAATTGTAGTTGGATCGCGTTGACGGAAAGAGACGAGAGACAACGGGTGTGTACCATGTCAGCGTGTAAATGTCTGGCAACGTAGGTAGTTATCCGCCGGTTACGCAATATCGGAAACAACACGTAGGTACAATTGCATCCAACTTGTGGCTGTTACGTAATTATCGAGAGCTCGCGGAAAAACAATACCCTCGAGTAACTATCGAACCTCCTTTATACAAACATGCAGAGAAAAATATCATTCGTAACGAGGTGTGCGAAGCGGTAAGTATTTCTGTTTAATTGTGCTTCGCACCGGTGTTTCCTTTCACGGGTGAAATTGAAACCGGCCGCGAACAACTTTTACCAACAATGATCGCCAATTTCCTTCTGATTAATAAAACTTTACACGATCGTGTTGTTTGCCAGTTAGACATTATGCACGATGTTACGCGTGCGATAGGTATCTTATCTTACGACAAACATGGTATGCGAGGCGTAAAAGTGTAGCGTAGATGACGAGTTCGCGGTCGGGAAACTAGTAGCGCAGGTGCATCCGTGCTGGTATAACGCAAGAAACGGCCGGATATAAACGTGTTTCCGGCACCTGCGGGCATGCAAGTTCACTGCACGCGATACAGGTTTCTGTCACGGTACAGATCTTCCGATCTTCCGGATTCACGCGTATCGGTTTCTCAGGTTATCAAAGCACCGTTCATACATAATGGAACCCGTCCCTTGCTACCTTTCTGTCGTCGCGTCGTCTTGTTTCCCCATGCGCGTCCTCGATCCCTCTTTGCCCTCCGGCCGCACCGCTCTCGCTCACGCTGTCATCCGTCGCGTCGCATCTCCAGCCATCTCTGCCTCCAGGGTCGATCGGTGGAAAAAATCGCTCGCGAAATTTCGCCGACAAAGACCAGGACTAAAGCCGAAGAGGCTAGGGATAGAAAACAGAGAGAGAGAGATGGCTGCTGGTAAGAAAACGAGGAGCCGTAAATGTTGGAATGCGGGCGGCAAATCAAGAGGCGACCAAGCAATTATTTGCCCGGTATATTTAGTTTAGTTTCCTCAGCAACGGACCAGCAATCCGTTGTAAATAAAATTTTCTATAAAATTTAACGATACCTTGAAGAAAGCTACGCTTGGTAATAGAATGTGTAAAACCGATAACGTAACACGGTATGCGATTGATAATGTTTCAGGGAGGGGAGTGGTGCTGGATAGTCAGGGTCCGGTGTTGATCTCGGAGCCACGCTCGTCGGTCGAATTCTCGAACGAGACCGGGACAATGATCCATTGTTCGGCCCAAGGTAGTCCCTCGCCAAGGATCGATTGGCTTATGGGAGACGGGTCACCGGTACTCCCTATACCGCACATCCGTGAGATCCTGGTAAATGGCTCGATGTACTTATTGCCGTTCGGAGCGGAGAGCTACCGACACGACGTCCACTCGGCGCTCTACAGATGTCAAGCCTCGAACAGTGTCGGCAGAGTGTTGGGCCGTGAAATTACGGTAAAGGCCGGTGAGTACCTTTATTTTACCTCTTCCGACCGATCGAATCTTCAATCTTTCCACCGCCAGCCCTCCCCCCGACAAATCTACAACTCTTTATCCTCTCTATAGTATAATACATGTATAATATGGCATATCGAACACATCGGTTACCAAATCAAACATTTATTTTATTTTACTTAAAAGTAGCTTTATTGTAAGAGAGTGGTACGCGAACGATGCGTACACAGGCCGGCACAAACTTGTCCTTGCGTTACAGATGCACGCACCTATACTAACCTAACGTAACTCGTCGATGTCGTCGGGTCAAGCTTTGTGCCAACCTGCGTATCTATAGGAGAAGAAACATTGCAACGCGGTAAGAGGATACTGCGAAAACGTTTTACGTTTTACGTTTTACGTTTTACGTTTTACGTCTAAATAGACAAAGCATAGAAAGTAGATTGTAGAAGTATGCAGGAATTATCGAGGCAAAGACAAGTATTACCAATATTGCCCTCACGTGGATCGCGAACCTTGTATTTTTCTAGTATTTCTCAACGAATGCAATTTTCTCCGCATATACATAGATTCCGCGGCGTATTGTCGTTACTCGTAATTAGAGAATTGAAAGCGACGCGGTTGTAACGCGCTTACTGTATGTATAATATTTAGAGGAGAGTGAAGTTAGCGTGGTCGCAGCAGCGTTAGCCCGTTCCAGAGCGTCATCAGTGTCGAATACTTAGGTACTGCCCCGCCGCGTACAAATCGGCCGTTTCTCCCTGTTACGATGTTCTAAACCACGACGACAGAGGGAGAGAGAAAAGCGTGGAAAAACGTTCGCGACTCGAGCCAACTACATTTATCGCCATCCCGCCAGGTTCTCCGCCTCGGCGCGGCGCTACCTCGCCAGATGTATGGCCTTAAAACTTGCACTCGCTTATAGCTAACAACAAGCGGCACTCACTGCCAAGATCAAGATTCGCGGTCTCTCGCGCGCTGCCAAGTGCTTTCACCTACATTTTCATACGGACGAGCGTAAACGTTCCTACTCGTTCGCGTTTAACGTATGTATGTACGTACATATGTACGTACTACAAGAGAAGAGGATCGCGGGAAACGCAATACCCCCCATCCCCCGTTGCTGACCAAACTTCCGACAAACGACCTTTTTCGCTTTCCGAGCGAACAAGATCTCGCGATCTCCGAGTCCTGCCAACGATCGGTTATCATCGCGTTTAGCGGCTCTGCGAGTTGCACCGGAACCGCGAGAGGTGACCGATAATTGCCGAAACTACGGTTTCCAGATGATTTTCAAATCCGCGTTGCTCGCCGCCGGAATAACGAGCTTCCGATAGAAAATGTCTGGATAGCAGTTGTGGGGGTTAACGGGGTAGGCGGCGATCAATTCTGTTTGGAAATTCATAGTGACGCGTTAGAGAGGCGCGACTCCTTTTACGATTGTTCGTTTCTACACCGCCTATAATATCTGATAACGAAAATTGTCAAGTCGTTGGTTTATATGTTACGCGAAAATGTTCATTTCTCGAGCGTTCTCTTCTTCTATCGTACAACGGCCGGCCGGCGTCACAGCTTTTCATTCGTCATTTTGCGAGGACGTTTTCTTTCTCGATAAACCGATAGTAACTTTGTTTCCAGTGGTGCGTCAGAAGTACGAGGTCCAAGTGCGAGACGCTTATGTCCTGGCAGGAAATACCGGTGTGCTCAGGTGCGAAATACCAACGTACGTTAAGGAATATGTGGCGGTCACATCCTGGGTTCAGGATTCCGCCTTCAACATCTTTCCTACGCCGAAGAGCGGTGAGTGAAATTGCAACAAGTACAGTTGTCGATCTCGTGTCTCGGTACACGCGATCGCGGAACCGTTTTTTCTGTGTCGCGCGTTTCGTTTCGTCGCGTCGACAGACTCGTGAAAATGCCACATTGATAAAACGAAAAGAAGCCTGACAAATTGCTGGCTCGTTTCTGTATCGGTGGCGATGCGCGGGATACATGGAAACGGCATCTGCGTCGGCCCGGTCAATATCCGAATTAATTCAAGTTTCAGGGGGACGAAACAAGTATCCGTGTAGGTATGTATGTATATGCATTATCGCGATTGCGCGTCCCGTGTCCCGCATTAATCGTGCGCTAGTGCGCACAAAGGAAAAACCAGAGCTTGGAAAGGAAAGAAGGAAACTTGGAAAAACATTGTTACGAAACGGACGCTGATCGAACGCGACATGAACAATTTTTTCTTCCCCGAAACTTTCCCAACATATTTTCTATCGACGCGGGCTCGATAATCGTTCGTCTTATCGTGTAGGAGGAACGAATCCTCATGGAAAAACTTGATCCGAGTTATTTGTTGACCGAACCCCTTCGTTCCCTTTCGAAATTTCGTATTGTACCGAATAAACGGCAACTTTCTGACGCACGGTCTGATCTATGCGCGACTAAAACTTTTCCGAGCGATACGTTTTCCGTTCAAATCCGCGCCAGGCTGCGCTCTTGTCTCTCTCTCTCTCTCTCTCTCTCTCTCTCTCTCTCTCTCTCCGTTTCCTCCTCAACCGCAAGATTGAATTTTCCTTCGAGAACCATCGGGACTTGAAACGTCGACTTTTCTGCGCAGCGACGGTTGGTCGTGATATTTCATTCAATCCTCGGTATAAATATCATTTTACGACAATTTGCCGGATAATATTTTGGGGGTACGTTGGACGGGTGTATGGGAATTTGTACAACGGACCGTACACGTAAGTTGTAAAATGAACACGTCAACATATTCAGGCGCCATGTAATCGTTTCGTTCGCGTGAAAATAATTCCGACAATTTTCTAAAGTAACGCGTGCACGATCAACAGCGCGAAATTCCGTGTAGTACTCATTTCATCCGAGCACCGAGGTTCAATTAGAAATGGCAACCCTACCAACTAATTTAATTAACGGCGGGCGAACGTATACACAAATGTAATTGACGCTGGAAAGTCACACGCGCGCGCTCGCATACATTTTCACAGTCTTGTTTCAGACGGACGAAATCGTGAATTAGACAGAATTTGCGTCGCTATTATGTTAGCGCAACAATTGGAACGCAACCGGTTTTGTTGTTTCGCCCGTGACAACACACTGATAGAACACGGAGAAAAGAAAGATGGAGAATCGTATTATCCAACGGTTTGTCAGGATCTCGATATGTTCCGGTGGTACGTTAACGCGAACACTCTATGGTTCTCTAATATCGAAACAATACGCGTTTGCCTAGTATTTATTTCCGGCAGGATTAAATGCTCGAGCGGGAAAAAGCGCACCGCGCGCTATTCGCTCGCCTGCTATTGTACTCTCGATTTCGCGTCCCAGGCTAAAAAAAAAGAAAACGAAAAAAAACAGAAAAAAAAGAAACACGCACACACACGCACGCACGCACGCACGCACGCACGCACGCACGCACGCACGCACGCACGCACGCACGCACACACCCGACTTCGTAGGAGCGTGTACCTTTCTTGAAACCGGTGCTTTCAGAATTATTACACCGGCTAAATGGCATTTCAGCTCGTTAATGGGTATTAAAAAATGTTTCATTTGACCCAACCGGAAATCCGCTATCTCCATTCATCCGTATTTTCATTCCGCGAGAGCGTCGGCACGTCCCGAACCAGGGTACGCGATCCGCCAAGTCTTGCAGCGAGATTAAATCCCGCGTAATCGGTTGGCCTGCCCTCTCTGTCTATGGCGTCCCTTTTCGGGTAAAGAGCACTCGGTACCATGGCGCAGCCGGGCTCCTATTCTGCCGGTCTGTACACCGCGGCTTATTCGAGCATATTATTCCGCGTGTACGTGCACAAATATTCGCGTGGCCGAACGCTGGTTAAATCCTGCCCCATCAGCCAAATAGACGTCTGTCATTTTCCCTACCGCTCTTACGAATGCGTTGCATGTCGCGAGCCCTTCGCCCTTCGCCCTTCGCCCTTCGCCCTTCGCCCTTCGCCCTTTCCCCTTCGATACTCCATTACGCTTATTAGCGTGAAAATCAAATCAATCCGTTTAAAATGAAATTAAATTTCCCCTCGATCGACGGACGGAGATTCCTCGGCGTTCAAGATCCTTGACTTGTTGACCGGATAAATAGTTAATCGTGTTTTACACATAAATTTTTACTTCCGAATCCAGCCTAATTGCGAGGTGAACAATTTTATCGAATATTTTCATTCACTTTTCGTTAAAGTTTTCCGGTGTTCCGGCGTTCGGTTGCGCCCTAACACCAAGTTCCTGGAAAAGTTCCAATAGTTGCGGCATTTATGCTCGCTACATTCGATACTCGATTATCGGTGGTCGATTTTCTATTCGTTCGTAGGTATAATTTATACCGTGAAATCGACAATTTTCTTCTCTGATCGTATACCCCTCCATGATTCTGTGAACGCGTAGACCAACAAACGGCTGACTAAGTTGTTGTGGTACGAGAGAGTTATCATCAACGGGTAGAATCCCGAGCAATTTCTTGGAGAATAATGCAATATCACGAGCGCGCGGAGGATGCGCGGAACGAGCGACGGAATATTGACACTGGCAGCCAAGCCAGGCGGGCGAACCGGTGCTGGAAAAACGGGAAAGCAAAGTGGTAGGCAGGTGGAGAGGTAGGGGAGCAACGAGTATGAATACAGTCATTTATACGGTGAGGTGTGCGAGCGCGGGCAAAAACATTTTCACGCGATATATGTTTTCCGCGTCACCTATGGCACACGTGCACTCGCCGAAAATACTCACGGAAAAAGGGAATTTACGTAATATATTACGCGTCGACCCAGAAAGAAAATGTGAGAAAATAACGGCTAAAGCGTCCCTTTGTGCTGCGTCGCGTCGCGTCGCGTCGAGTCGAGTCGTGTCGAGTCGAGTCGAGTCGCATCGCGTCTCGTCGGGCACAATACACGCGAAACAATTTCCCATAATTTCCATTAGAAGGTGCGCTTCGTACCCCGTGTCCCGTGCCCCTTTCCCCGCAACCTGTGTCCGGTGCCCCCGTCTCACGGTACATATTTTTATCGTTCCTCTTCGCTCGCCGAATTTTCATGCCGGTCCGAATCACTTTTATCAACTCGTACGGTAACTCGGTTTCCAACCACCGAATCGCGACCGAATCGAATGCACCGTTAACAATGGCTATTTCGCCATCGCGACCAACGATCGTTGCGTCAAAAATTGCCTCGGAACGCGATCGAGGATTAACGTTCGTTTTATAAATAGACACGACCTACTGCTAGTCTGTATCTCCGCGTGCGAATTTTTCCGACTATGTATCGATTGAACTTCTGACCCAGAATTATCTTGAACCGCTATAACGGAAGGTATGCAAAATACCGATCTATTACCGCCCATGTATTCACACAATCTTCTCATTCTTATTCCCCAAAGACTTTTTATTTTATCTCGTCCATCTTTTCACTTGGGAATTCTACCAAACTTGTCGAATATGAAAGTAGCGTAGAAATGTTCGGCAAATGTTTACAAACTTGCCCCCCCAAACAATTGTTCGAGCGGTGTCCAATAATAATTCCAAGAATAATTGTATATTGTATGTATTCGGCTAGAAGCTGACACCACGTTCAGTACGAATTACACGAACGAGACGAGACGAGACGTCCGCCGACGCGGTGATAGTACGCGGGATTTTTCTACCAGTATGAATCGATGAGACTGTATCTAATTAACATCGACGTCGACGTCGACGTCGACGTCGACGTCGAGGCTCGGTTATTTCGGTCAAGCCCGGAGGACAACGGTGCCCATCGGTCGAATTTTCATTTTACGCGTCCATTTAATGACGCTCCCGTGCCTGCCGACTCCACAATTAACGACCAAGCCCAGTTTCCAAATCATTTTCCGTGCACCTTTAATTATTCGTCGATTTACAACACGCGCGATGCGCACCGATGCCGCGAACAAAAGGGAGGATTTTCCATTAAAAAAATTTACATATTAATGGAAGCGCAGCCCGTCGTTAGAACGAGACACGATCGAGTCGAAATCTGGATAAAAAAAGGAAAAAAAAAAGAAGAGAAGAGAAAAAAAGAAAAAGAAAAAGAAAAAAAAAAGAGCAAAAGGGGAAGGGGAATGGGCAGCATAGTGCCTATGCGCGTATCGCGGAATCAGTGATACGGATCTGCTTTCAGATGGGAAATATCATATGCTGCCGACCGGGGAGCTCCTGATATTCTCAATGACATCGGCCGATGCACAATCCAGTTATCGATGCCGGACTGTGCACCGCGTCACAGGCGACACCGTGGAAAGTTCTTCGTATGCTCGGCTCGTGATGAACGGTAAGTTTCAGATATCAAACACCTGTCGTCGTTGTCCCGTGGATCGATCACCCACGCGATCTCGCCGCACCGAGTGGATGCTTTCGTGTCGGTAAATGCACGCGGTTATCTCGAGCACGACAGGAAATGGAATTTTCCACTAGCGAATCTATGACCAGGCTGCAACGGGTCACGATATTAGATTAAGGTGTGGACTCGTTTCTATCGTTTCAACGATACGCGTCGAGTCTAGGATATTTAAACATGTTTGATATCAAGCTGAGACGATCGTTGTTAAGTTAAGGTTTACGTCGCAAACGATCAATTCTATCGAGGCGGGTAGGCGACGGCCATCGAGTAAAAATACTTAATCCTATCGAATAAAAAAGGGCTAAAAAGGGATAAGACGAACGAGTCCGTGGGGTAAAAGCTGCGTCGGCATAATGATGATTAAAGTACGTGAGCAGCCGTTCGTTCGTAGTATTTCTCAGGGATATCCAGGGAACGTTCCGCGCATCTACTTAAACACGAGCGTTTATACAACGATCTCACGCATACCTCTTGCATAATAAATCATAATGCATTGTTGCGCGTTTCCTGTGGCGGCAGGCCGCGCTCGCTGTGCTCGCGCGCGTTCCCTTCTTCATGAATAAATCATGAGTGTCCGAAATGCTAATGGCCGAAACGTTCGCACTCTCTTCTGGTCGTTGGTGTCTCTGTGCCACGAGCAGCTTTTGCTCCCAGTTGTAAACAAAATGTACCGACGAATCGATTCGAACCTTTCGGCTATCGGCATTCCATTACGCATTACTTTCGATCTGTCTATACATAGGTTAAAGCCTAATGCAACAGTCGCAGCAACTAATGCAGCAAGTAATGCAGCAAGTAATGCAGCAAGTGTAATGCAGCAAGTCGTTCGTTGCCGAAACACCGACTTTTCTTTTCTCAAAGATTGCGTGTATCCAATGCTGCGATATCCAATACTACATACATATACATATACGTAAATACGCACGTTCGTCCGACAAGTTGAAAAACGAATTTAACCAAGCTTGTCCCTTCGTTGGTCGGTATTTGGTGGACGCGTGATATGTAAACGGTCCTAATCGACCCCTGTTAACGATCGTAGCTATGAACACGATGGCTCGTCGACGGTGCACTTGATCCGGTGCAAGAGAGCTGCTGATTCGTAAGACATAAAATGGGTCGAATGTGGATGAGCCGTTGGAACAATGGGTTGGCTAATGATGAAAGCGCAAGCCGAGATGCTCCGGTGGTTCCGAGATAGAGAAGAGACGAAATCGAATGCGAGATGAACATATTGTTCGTTGGTAGTTGCTCGTCGCCTGAAACGATGAAATCAGAGGCGGTTGTTGGAGAAACTTGGACCAAAGTAAGACGTTATTTCACTGCCTTTTTGCTACGATAAAGAGAACGGACAACAGAGGACGGACCAAAACAGCTGCTTTCGAAACCCGATGTCTATTAAAGTACACCCGTCGAGCAAACCGTTGTATATTCCATCATTTTCCTCATCGTATGTACATACATATGTACTATATCATTGACAGCGTGCGTTTCTTTCTTTTATCGATATCCGTCCGAGTGACGTTCGAGTCGACCACTTGATGCGAGTAAAGAAAATCACTGTGAAAAGAAATCCGAGAACGTTTTCCCTCCGCGTACTTTCTCGAGGGCAAAGTTTAATCTGTACTTTTCTCCGAAATGTTTAGTGCTTCCGTCTCGTGTTTCCGCAAACCGAGGACGTGCCTCGAACCGCGAAACCGAGAAATTTATTTCCCGAGAAATCTTACATTTAACGCGCTTCTTGCCAGACTCGCGGAGGACTTTTCCTTGGACGTTGGCCTTTTTAATCTTATACGCGTAACCGTTTAATTCGTTTTCCACGCGTAATAAATGCTTCTCGGAAAGTGTGCGCAGTTCCCTGATCAATACTGTCCACCTGACACGTAAATAGCATAATTAATACTTTGAGGAGGGAAAATGAACGAAAAGAAAGAATAGTATCCGGCCGCGCGCACGATGGTATTAGTTCCAAGTATTTTAAACACTCTGTCGGCCGACAGCCCGAAAAAATGTTAAAGTTTGGTAAAATCGTGGAACGAGGCGAGCAGTTTGTTCGTAGCACGGTTTTACGATACCCCCGTGGGTTTTTTTTGCCTTGGTCAATGACGGGTATGGCCGAAGGAGAACGGAAGGGATCAGTGAGATAAAAAGGCGGGGGGGGGGCTGGACCGTGAGGGGCAAGAATAAGGAAAATGCGGCGAAGAAAGGGGACGGAGGAATATCGGTCCATTGGAGACTCGACGAAAACGCAAAGTACAATCCCACGGTGCCAGGATGCTACCAGTGCAGTGGTAGTCTGCGGAGCAACGTCGGCAAGAAACAATGCAGCCATCACGGCTCCAATCCCTTCGCTCGCTACCCTGCAATCTTATCGAGCTCAACCTACTTGTACATATATCTCTTGGTTTTTTTTACCATACCCTGGCATATTCTACTAAGCGCGTACATCGCACGCGGTTGTGCAAATTCAAAATTACCAAACGGATTCTTGGAAATATTCGCGACGCGATAGATTTTCGCGTGAATTTTCTGTTCGTCGAACGGAACAAAGTTTTCAAATGCAATATTATCGTTGAATTACAACTTTGTTCGAGGATTTCTCCGCCCGATCGGATCGCTGCGCTACATCGATGCCGGGCAACTTTGCCCAAGTAAAAGTCAGTTAGGTTTCCCTTCGTTTCTCTCTCTCTCTCTCTCTCTCTCTCTCTCTCTCTCTCTCTCTCCCCCCGTTCATCCGTATAAATCAGAGATATAATTATACGGAATTGCGGCCGGACGATACGCACCGAAATACGTGTACGCCTTGCGTGCAAATTGCGCCCGGGTATCGCGCGTTGTGACCCGAATTCTGAAGCAATCAGTGGCTTGCATTAAATTACGCGTGTGCTCCATCGGTTCGAGAGCAGCTCGCCGCTTCGATGACGTAATTAGCGAACGACCTAATACGATTGCCTGTAATATCAGCTAAAATGAATGCAGAAACCTGTCGTCTTCCCGACTAATTAACCAACCACCAACGATCTCTACCGATTCTTTGTTTCGAATCTTGTTAAGGATTCGCTGCGCGCGTCCACCGTTTACCTAAAATCCACTCGAAGGTTGCAATCAAAAAAATATTATACGCGTTATGCGCGGTATGAAGAAAATATTAAAAACATTTTGGTAACGCCTGGCGAAGGTGCGCGCAGGAAAAAGGCGAACGGCGAGAAGCCGCGTCTCTCACCGCGCGCGTTGCACGAGATACATTGTACGGCTAATTAGCGACAACTTTGTCACGGTGAAGTTGCTTGCTCCAGGTAAATACGCGGGAAAGACCGGAGCCATTTGAAATTCGCTTTGCCGGCGACACACGCGCCCGGTGTATATTTAATAGAGTCTTAATTGGAGTCGACGGCTCGAAAGGTTTAATTGGACATCGTTCCGCCGCGGTTTCCGCTCCCTTCGGTCGCGTTTTTCCCTTCGCTCGCTGCATCCCTCCTCGCCTTGCCTCGCCCCGCCTCGCCTCGCCTCGCCTCGCCTCGCCTCGCCACGCAACGACCGAACGTTTCACGTACCCTTCTACCAGCAGATCGAGAGTACCGCGAGAAAGAGCGAAGCCTCTGAATTACGCAGTCAATGACTGATGGTTCAAAGGATATCAAGATGTTCGTTCGAGAACACTGTCTGCCTGCCCGGCCGATGTTCCGCTTAAATGTCCGTGCTCGTGCTCGTGCTCGTGCTCGTGCTCGTGTATCCGCCGAGTGCTTTCCCTCGATATCAGTCGAGTTTGCGTACTTGAAAATCACTTGCCGCTGGTTATTAATGCCATTCCCACAGAGAGAAATACTTTTTAAATTTTTTTCGACCGGCCCTTAAACACAATTTCTTTCCTTCTCTTTGCCAGTCTGTCTTGTCTGTCTTTCGATCGCCGATTCGATTGTGATAAACGAGAATGGAAATTTAAACCGGTTAGAGATGGAAAAACCAGTTTGGCGAATAAGTAGACGTGTGTGTTTCCGCCTGCGGTGATCGGGTTCATTTTCGGTGTTAACGGTTTACCCCAAAATGCCGACGATCATCGACGGGTCCTCGAGGTTTCAATTCCCAGCGACGCTAGTTAAAAAATGGTGAATCGATCGATACATTCCCTCGATCGAGCGGCAGACGGCGATCAAATACCGCGGTACGCCGATAGAAAGAGCAAAGAGTATCTGGCTTCGATGATATGCATATATGTAGTTATTAACGCGGTAATGAACAATTGGTCGCCAGACGAATCTGCGACGAGAACGGTTCTTTCGATTCGAGCATCGATCGATCGGCCAAATTCTCTGGAGGCGCGCATGCGCGTGTTTTTCATCGGTTCAACATCAACATGGACGACACTAACGCTGACGTTGACGTTGAGGTGCGTAAGTCGAATGAGAATGGCATAAAAAGTTTCGAACGTAGATGGCCATGAGTTGGTGGAACCACCGCGGTAGTACGAACAAGGGTGTGGTGGCGGGGCGTTGCAGGAATATGGCAACTGGAATTGCACACTGGCATCAGCGAGAGAGAGAGAGAGAGAGAAACATTGTGGGCGAGAGGAGCGTGAGAGATGGTTTGAAAGCCAGCGAGAGAAGCAACGAGAACCAAGAGAGAGCGAGATAGAGGCAAGCGACGATCAATACGCCATCAGCTTAAATTACAATAATAACGCCGACCAGACAAAGCGAGCGAGCGAGCGAGCCATTATAAAATAGTGTAGCTGTAAAAAACTGTGACGTCGCAGGATCGAAATATTCGAGAAACAGCATTCGGTGTTTAAGCGGTGTTTACTAGAACAGAAATAAAATGTTGGTTATTTTGGATCGTTGTTAGGCGTTAGGCCTCTAATTCCGACAAATTCGGGATGCCCGTTTCGTCATGCGCTGTTTAGCGAGAGCAGAACAGCACGGCGATGCGCCTCTCGGGATTACGCTCGCTAAAGCAGATCCGTTTCCCAACTTATTATGTATGCGTATTTCGATTAAATAAATGGGTCGATCAGTTTTTACGGGTCCATGTTACAGTGAACGTTTGAAGATCGTTGAGCGATCGAGAAGCTGTGTAACTCGTGCCGGTGAAACGGCGAAAATGGATTCTACTTAAGCGTGCAATTACCTTATCGGTAATTGAAACGTAACTCGTTCGATCCGATGTTTGTGAAATACGAAATTCTAACGAGGTTCGAGCACCCTCGGACGATGCTCTACGCGGTACATTTACATTTTCTCGGTAAAAGGTTATTCGTTTTCGAATGAAATTTTACAATTAATATACATATAATAATAATATAGTATCCCTGAAAGCCGCGCAATGAACACAATTTCTACTTAAACCGGGAAGAGTAATGTGAGAGTATAGAACAAATGAGAGGACGGAGCAAATGGAGGTGGAGGTGGAGAGAAAAGGAGAAAAAGGAGAAAAAGGAGAAAAAGAGAAAGAGGGGGGAAGGAAATGAATGTAAATTTGCCGAGCATACTAATTCGCATAATACGTAACAAGAAGAAAAGTAGGTCTTTCGTAGACATGAAACATTGATACCGAGATCTTTGTCTCTTTCAACGAGTCCTCGGAGATTTCTTTCTCAGAAACGTAAGCTTCAAAATGTATTTGGTGGTATACCATACACTGTCGGATGGTTAAGGATAAATTGACGATGGTAAGAATTCCTTTGGTGGCTAATTCGGACGATCACCTAAACAATGTCTATTACCGGAATTTAATACAAGAAATTAGCAAGTATGCGGTACCTACTCGTTGCTCGTGTAATTTGATTTTCTAGTAAGATAACGGTGCGGCTCGTCTAACGTACTAAAATTGTTTAATTCCGAGTAATAGTTTTCGTCTGAAAATATTTCGTTTCTCGGCTGATCCAGCGAAGATCGAAGAAACCGATTCGCACCACGAGCCAGCTAAATCTTGCAACAAAAGTTCGATTAACGTAAAGCGTCTAAGAGAGTAGTCGGAATATTGAGAGGAAATTTTCAAGGAAACAGAGGCAATCTCTAAAGATTTTTTTTCGTTCTCCTTTTCAGACCAACCAAAACCAGTCCCGCCACGATTCAACGAACGAGTCAGCCCGGCACCGATACGGACCGGGGAAACGATCGTCCTCTCCTGCATCTCTCAAGGAATACCGCCCCCGACGTACCTGTGGTTTCGTGAGTCCGAATCAGGCACGGCGATGATCTTCAATTCGGAGAGAATTCACGCGAGAGCGGGCGTGTTGGTGCTACAGTCGGCCAGAGCCGAGGACGCCGGACGATACGTCTGTCACGCCAACAATACAGCCGGTTCCGAGAGGGTCGAATTAGAAGTTTCCATTATAAGTAGTCTCTCCATTCATCTAGCACCTCAACAGGTTAGTTTCCGGTAACTTTGTTTCATCTTTCTGCTCTCTCTCTCTCTCTCTCTCTCTCTGCATTCCTGTATTTTGTTCTTCCCGTAAATGTTGCCTCGATGTTGTCCTGCAACGAAGCGTAATTAACAGACGACAGCCGATCGATTTCGATTTTTCGCGGATAGATAAACGTTTGAAACGTTCGTAGTCGTGCGGGTGGTTGGAATTTCAAGAACTTTGTAGAAAAATTCCCACTTGGATCCTTCTTCTCATCCATTTGGCGCCTCAACAGGTTAGTGTATCCTGTTTCCCGACGATTGGATCTCAGAAACGAATCGAACGATTCGGTTGCTTTTCTCCCTCCACCCTCGATAATCCTCATCCTTTGAGAAATCTTTAAGCTCACCCAGTCTCCTTGTTCGTTCCGTACGCCTGGTCGGTCGCGCTGCCTCTTCGTCTTCCGGTCTTCTCGATTACTTAGTCTCGATTCACTTATCGCAACGCGATACTTTTTTGCGGCATCGAGCCATAAACTAGCCCCACGTCTCGGAGTTCCGATAATCTCGGCTAGCGTACAATGGTCGCGTCGAGAACGCTTTTCCGGAAATAAATTCCCAGCAGTTTCCATGACAACGCAAAAGGGCTAAGGTTCTCGATGATAAGTAACTTCTCTCTTCGTCCATCCGCAACATCAACAGGTTACCCCGTTCCTTTATTCTATTTTGTAAACAACTCGAGAGCTCCTTCTTCTCCGTCGGTTTCTTTTTCTTCTCGCTGGTCGGTCTCTCCTCGCCCCCAACCCGTTACGTCCCAGCTTATCCTGGCAGCGTAGTCGAGATTTCGCAACGAGCGTCAATTCTATTTCCAGCAGATCTGCAAACGGCGAGAGCAGACTGTGCAACCACGCAACATAACGGTTCGTTGCTCCGAGACTTTGTTAAGTCGATGAGATATTCCCGTTGCTGCTGCATCGGCGAGCACGATCTCTCCTCCAACACTGTACCACGCAGACATTTCCGAATAAATTCCCATCGACTGCGAGACGTCGTCGACTTAATTCGACGTAGTAGGACGACAGACTGAATAACGACAGACTGACGAGTGTCTTTTCTAAGACGCCGCGCCGAGGTCCGTGCTTTCGGTTCTCCCCTCTTATCGGCCGAATTTCGCACGACAAGTAACGAGGATCGCGCTTCTCGTTGCGAACGAAATGGTCTTGGTTCGCTCATGGAACGTTTAAAAAGTAGTGGTCGCACGGTGTACGGCCGTCACGATGACTCTGCTCGCCGTAATACTGCATACTGTAGATATGTATTGTACGTATCATACAGGCACCGAGAGATAATCGTAAGGACAAAGGGGCGACAAACGAGAATCAAGTTGAAAAACAACAGCGCCTTTGGTTGTCTTTTTTCTCAATGCGACGGCTCCCAGCCTCCCACCCTCCTTCCCTCCCACCAGCCAATCGGTCGTCTCGAAGGCGCCAACTTGCGCGTCTTATTTTCCATTCCTTCTTCGCCCGCTGAATTCCGTATCAAAGGATATTTAAAACCTCTTTCAGTTTAAAAGAAACTTTCCTTCGAGGTCGTGGAACAAAAGCAACGCGAAATCCTCTTGACAATGTTTAACGATCGCAAATTCGATTCGTCGAGATCGAGCAATTGTTCGTGACTTGTCTGTCGGTCGCTTTGCGTCGCACCCTGAATAATCCCGACTAGTGTGAATCGCTTTTCCAAGTATTCGAGTGTCCGCTCGTCTATTCGGCGGCTCGAGCCGATCATTTATTGCGACCCTTCCTCTATACTCGAACAATCTCCATTGATTCTTTCAAGCTCGGAAAACTTTCCAATTCCTTAACAGAGTTTAATAGTAATAAAATCATCTTCTTTAATAATATCGATACAAACCAGATACAAGCCCGATGAGATCGAAGCGTAATATGTATAATACATAATACATCTCGATTAATGGTCGATTCTCGGTTGATCGATATTCGTAGAAGTAGAAGAGCACTGTCCCGACGCGTCCGAAGCGACCGAGGCGACCGACGCGACGGACGCGTCGGACGCGTTCGGCGTGTCCGACTATCACGGGCTTTTTCTACTTGCCGTTACCGAACATAAGCATCTACGACATGGTACGACGCATGCTACGTATCGATTTCTAGTTTCAACTCGTTGCTATGCAATACCCTTGAGAGAAAGAGCTACTACGGTCCGTTATTGGTTTCTATCGATACTCGGATGGCCAAAACTAGAGGTTTTGTTAAATACTTGGCCGCATCCCGTTTACCTAGAACAGTTCTCGTTAATGATATTATATCGGTGGAGTCACGAAGCTGATCAAAGGACGATGCCTGCGAAACTCGGAAGCAATTAAGCTTTCCAAGTTGGACGATGAAATACCCAGCAAGACATTCAATTTGCTAGTATGAATTCGTGCGTTTGGTCGCTTGAAATTCGTTCTCCGTTGTATCCACGCATTTTTTACGCAACCGTTTATATTTGTTGAAAACGAGCTACTACCCGTTACACTGGACTTCAACATGCCAGCCGAGAACGAAAATGAAAGTTATACAGCTGGTATAAAATTCGATTCACGAATCTAAATTGACTAAATTTTTTTATTATATGTATACATATGTATAGTATATGGTAGGTATGTTATTTCATCTTGACGAGACTTTCGGAATTTTCATTCTTTTATTTTCCTCGTTTTTCTTTTCTACTATACTTTTACTTTTTCTATAATACCAAATACTGTCGTTTCGGGTTTAAATTAGATTATACTTGGTTTACAATTAAGTTGATTTATCGTTGTTAATAACCGTGACTACCCGTGAATATATATATATATATATATATCTGTTGCAGGTGACAGTCGACTTGGGGAAAGATGCGAAATTTCAGTGTTCCGTTACCGGTAAGCCAGTTCCGGTGATCTCCTGGACAAAAGACGGTCTTCCGGTGAGAGAAGGCGCATCCGGCAGAAGTAAAATCACTGGAAACGACGGTTCGACGTTGTACATATCCGCGATCGCGAGAGACGACAAGGGGATGTATCAGTGTTTCGCAAAGAACGACTACGAGATGGTTCAAGCGACCGCGGAGTTACGTCTAGGGGGTGAGTGTATTTTTAATGCGTAATCTTTCGTTTGCCTCTTTGCGAATAATGCAGAAACGAGGCGAGATAAGTGGCGTGGAACGAACCCACCGGTGAAATTAGTTTTACCACGAGCTAAAAATTTAAGGTCGATGAAAACATATGTACGTACATATGTATCTCGCCACCGCGCGAGAGTAACCCGAGGAAATTTTCAAACGTGACGCGCGACACAGAGACACGTTAAAAACGACTTTTCGGTAACGTCACACGCGACACGAGCTCAGACGGATCAGCTAATACATACATGTATATCTAGGCGCGAGTAACCCGATTGCAAAAGTTTCGTCAACTTGTATAAAATTTCCTTAGGAGAATAATAGGGCTAAATTAAAGCTATTACCGGGTACGCTGTTAACTAAGAGCCGGTAAGGCTGTATCGTGAAAGTTTGGCAACTAGCTGTGCAGTTTTTATCGCTCGTTGCGAAACAAAGTCCGTTAAACGCGATAAAAATATACGTATTATAACTAGTCTTTATCCCGCGTTACCCTTTGGACGAGTTGAATATTTTTAATTAAGCGAACGGAAAAGTTTGTTCGCGACGAGCGCGGTGGTCTTGGTTAATTCGACGACCGATCATCCCCTGAAAATTGATTTTCTTTTTTGCGACACAGAACACTAGATTCGCTCCGACGAAATATTCAGCCAAGTATAACCTTTTCGTAGTTATGAATTTCGGCCAGAATTTTACTTAATCGACGCTAGGTTAATAACAGCATATATGTATGTTCCTTGCCTTTCTACCTAACGTCTGCCTACGTTTACCGTTTCTACCCACCTAATTAATGCGTACAACCTAATAAATTGCTAATAGTAATTGATTTATTTCTTCTACAACGGGTCATGAGAAAGCAGCATTCTGATATGATTAATTATTTCGAGTGAAATTTCTATTTAAAATTTATAATTCGCGTTCAACGGTACCTCGATCGGTCTCCTGGTTGCTGTTTTTATCGAAGAAATCTGATTCGATACGCGAAATGAAATACTCCCGTTACTTGGCCGGCTCTCTCGACTTATACATAGGTCTTGCCTATTCTCAAGCTCGTGGAGGCGAGCGATGAAACGGCGATAAAAAAAACTGTCAGCAAAAGAAATAATAAGACCTAGAATGGAAGAGAAACGAAGAGGGAGGAGGAGGAGGAGGAGGAGGAGGAGGAGGAGGAGGAGGAGGAGGAGGAGGAGGAGGAGGAGGAGGAGGAATAAAAAAGGAAGACGAAGACGGAGAAGAAGATGCAGAAGGTGAAAACGAATAGCGAGAGAGCCGATCGGCGGTAGAGGAAGAAGGAGAAGCGAGAGAAGAATAAAAAGCCAGGGAAGAGCGTCGAAATAAAAAAAAATGAAAAAAAGAGTGCTTAACGAGGGCGATGCATAATGGAGAAAGGAGAAATCCACTGGCTGGCGTGCCGTGAAATAAATACATACCATTTGTCTTAGTCGCGAGAGTGGGAAGCCGGGCGAGGCGGCTGCTAGTTGGCGAAATGAAAGAAACTCGACGCTGCACTGGCGACGCGACGGGGCGTGGAGTAGAAACTGTGGTTCGGTAAAAATGTTGCTACCGCTCGAAATTCCCGCGCAAAAACCGCGGGCTAGGACGAATATGTATGGTACTACCCCGTCATCGTCCTTTAAAACCATGGCCGCACCGCACCGCACCGCACCGCACCGCACCGCACCGCACAGCGCTGCGTCACGCCACGCCACGCCACGCCACGCCACGCCACGCCACGCAACATAATCCATTACCTTAAACGACCGTGTCAGTCGACGGTCCTAAGTATATGTACGTACATACATAGAAACGGCCATTTCCGTCTTTTCGTCGGGTATACACCGCGCATCGACCACGTCTTACGTTAATCGCTCCCATTACAGAACGAAAGAACGATCCTACGAATCGACTTGAAAATTCAAATAAAAAATCGCATCTAATTCTCTCTCACGAGGCATGACCCGTTTTCTGCTCTTTCCTCGTGTGATATCCTTTCCCCGTATCCGGTTATTCTCCTTTCAAATAATTCATGCATACATCGAATACGCAATGATTCGAAACAGTCGAAATCGAAACGGTCCGAATGTCTATCGTCTTGTGTAACTCGAAATATGTACTTGGAAACGGATTAATCCGTTGGCGTAACAAAGGGAAGGAATCAACAAAACGGCAAACTTTCATAACGATGGCTGGCTAACTTACTTGAATGGGGAAATAAATGTATAGCTACTAGTAACGTGGAGCCCCTCCATCTGGTATTTTTATTCTTGTTTTTCAGTTATACGGCCGGGCGAAGCGGAAACGTTCACGGAACGCATGTACATATGTACGACGGAAAGAAAGAATTTGTGAAAAATTGGCTGGATTTCGGTTCGAGTCATATCATTCGTCGAAACGTTCAAACTGGTACACAGTGTTTTAGAAAACGAATATGCTAAATATTTAACCAAACAATTACGATCTAATCGATATTACGTGTTTCCCTCGATTGTACGCGTTCGTGAAACGCGAACGATTCGTATGTACATATGTACATCGTATAGAAAAAGAAAGAGAAATTTACTGGTTCGCGAGGACAATGATAGCTCGGCTTACGGGTGATATCAGCCAGAAACAAGCGTGGACAATATATGTGTGTATATCGGGCAGCGGGTAAAGTTTTCGATAACCGAGGTGCGGGAGAAATAACGACAATGAGCAGCCGGTGCGCCGCGACGCGCCGCGCCGCGCCGCGCCGCGCCGCCCTGGTGCGATGTGGTGCGACGCGGTGCAACGCGTATACAATAATACGAGATTCGCAAAACGGGGCGTGGCATTCGGCAATACGGAATCCTGATTTACGCGGCGTGCAAACAGCCGCGCAGCTCGGAGCCTCGGTTATTGTCGGCTCTATAATTTGGGGTTAATTCACTAGGCGGCACTCGAGTTCAGGCGTCAAACCGCAGATCGATAGTTGTACCCGCGTGCAGGGCTTGTCATGTAAATGTTGCGTGCGTAATACGCCGCCTTGCGGCTGCCCAGGGTCATTTAGAACGGGACCTCAGGCTGCTTCTGGGGTGCGTGACCCCGTCAGCGCGCCTGAATCTGCACTTGCACCGCTTCACGATTTCGAAATTTCGCCCCCAGGTACATATGTACATATGTAAGTACTTACGTGCATCCCACATCGCCGCGTCGTCCACTGCGCCGCGCCATATCGTACCAATTTCCGCTCGCTGCTGGCTGTCCATTGAAAATCAAAACGACCGACGACCTTATGCTACGCGTCACACGCTCCAAAGGGAAATACATAACTCGAAAACTCGAAGCAATTGTTCGAAAGCAGGATAGCGAAAATAGCCAACTATGTAACATCGCACCCCGTAATAGGTAGAGAGTACCTTATACTCGTGAGATCGAGTGGTACGCGTGTCTTATCGCGATACCTTTCCTTTCTACCAACTAAAACGCTGACAACTGTGCGCAACGCACTTTTTCTACTGGCCTCTTCCGTCGAACGAAGAAAAGATCAAACATCGGCTTTAGATTAAAATGATTCTAGCGACAGGTTCGTGAAAATCTGTTTCATTTAATTGCGTAACGGTAAGATCTCGGAATGCCGGAGGAAGTACATCAGAAATTACATCGCTCTTTCTACTTTTCTCACCGTCCAAATCGAACTCTCTGTTTCTTTCTGTTCTTTGCTCCCTCTCCCTCGTGTTATTCAATTTCGAAATTTTATCGAGATTTTGTTATTTTTCGATGATTCGTGTGCCTGGTACAATTTACAAGCATTTACCTAATCCGAACGGTACGACTTTCAGACGTTGCTCCGCAGCTTCTCTATAAATTCATCGAACAAACGATTCAACCCGGTCCTTCGGTCTCGCTGAAGTGCATCGCCACAGGAAACCCGACGCCGCACTTCTCCTGGACCCTCGATGGATTTCCTCTTCCGCAGAACGACAGGTACGATGTCTCTTTCCACTCTTCGGTGCCGGAGAAAAGAATTAAGGGTGCGCATACGTTATGCGTATTTCGCGAGCAGTTTGTTCCATTATGAGCGACCAAGGTTTACAATTTGAAAAATCGATGGTCAACTTGTATACAAGAATTATTTTCGGTTATTAGACCAAGGTATTACGATCGATAGAAAATCAGACTAGCTCCTCGTTAGAGCGCAGCTCCCGTGGGAACGGATACCTCCTCGCGGGTTTCCATTCTCTGAACCAATCGAGAGGAAAATTACCAATCAACCGGTCTCGGTCGAAACTTTTTACAGCCGTTCGATTTAAAATGATAGATTTTACGAGCCCGTATACACATTATTTGATAATACCATCACGATCGTTTAATTTCTTTCTTCCGTTTCGTAATTGTCTCGCGCGTAGTAACCTACCGAACAATTATCACGCGAACAGAGTAAATAGTGGACCAACGACACGTATGGTTACGTAACGAAAATCTTATGGTACTTGCTCGCAGGTTTATGATAGGTCAGTATGTGACGGTGCACGGTGACGTAATATCGCACGTGAATATAAGCGTAGTACACGTGGAGGACGGCGGGGAATACCGATGTACGGCGGCGAATCAAGGGGCGAGAGTCCACCATTCGGCTCGTCTCAACATTTACGGTCTGCCCCATGTACGCCCGATGGGAAACTATGCCGCAGTGGCTGGTGAAACCACCGTCATCAAATGTCCGGTCGCTGGTTTCCCGATCACGAGCATTATATGGGAGAAAGGTCAGTGATCGCGGTGTTCGATCGAAACCATTAAATGCGATGCGATGCGATGCGATGCGTTTCGTTTCGAGATTCGAGTCCATTCGTTAAACCTTATACGTCGTATCATCTAGTACTTGGCTCGTTTTACCTCGACCTACCCTTTACGAGACTCGTCGTCGACTTGGACCGAGTACTACCGACCTCTCGACGACTGTGTCGACCTCCTGATTCGCCACGCGCGATTCCCTACAAAACAACCTTCGAGGTGAAAGTTGTTTGTCTAACGCGGAGGGAGTTTCCTGAAACCCTGCGATCAAAAAATTACAAGTCTTTTCTATTTCTTTCGGGAAAAAACCAACAAAGCTTTCTCCCGTTAAACTGGAATTTCTGTAATTAAGAAAAAATAAGCGTAGCTTTATTTTTGCCCGTTTAAAAAATTGCAAAGTTTCGTAAAAATCAGCATCGGTCAGTTTTACGGATATTCCTCGTAAGTAAAGTTTTCATCGCGCCGCGCCGCGCCGGGCCGGGCCGGGCCGGAGCGAAGGGATAAAAACGAATCGCTGGTTTTGGGTTTCATTCCTTCGAACGAGAAAACTCGAGGCCGCTACCTCCTAGAAGTTGAAACGTTTTCTTTTTCCAGTAATGATGAACCAAACTTCTGGAAAAGTTTCAAACGGTACCGTAACTTTCTCCCTTTTTACGAACGATGTAGCATGACGGTGCGCGCGTTATATCGTTCCCACGACGCTTTCAAAGTCGAGACGCGAGTACAGAAAGCGGATTGAAAACTCGACTGTATGTAGATACATAGAGGCGCGAGATACCGTAACGTCGAGAGGTGAACCTTGATTCCGTACCTGTGTAAACAGTCTGCTTGCACCAACTAAATTTATCATTCTCCTTGCTTTACGGTCCTATCACGAACTGTTCAATTTATTTCATGCCGATAATAAAGCTCCGTAAGCCACTAACGTCTCAAGATTCACAGTTTTACGAGTGGACTCGTGCATAGGTTCTAACAATTTTCATCCGTTCATATGTTGTTAAACGGTTTACCGGACAACACAACTTTTATTTCGTTTTTACGGTATCTTGTCGAATAGATCCCATCTACATACTATATTATTATGAAAAGCGACGGGACGTTATTAGCTTGCTCAGCTCGTGAGAGAAAGTGGAATAGTTGTGTTTAGAAATAGAAGCAACGTAATGAGAAACGTTTCTTGTTGGAATCGCAGACGGTAAAATGCTACCAACGAGTCGACGTCAGGAAGTATCCCCTAACGGAACGCTGGTGCTTCATCGTGTCGACAGCAGCACCGATCACGGTGCATACACCTGTACGGCAAAGAACAAACAAGGTCGCTCCGATTCACAGACGGTTCACATCGAAGTGAAAGGTAAAGTTTCTCGTACTCTATCCTCCCTTCGATTTTACTATGTCTTTTCCGAGTGATTTTACCCCCGCTTAAAATGGAATAACAGCGTGTTCCGTTAGCGCTGGTATCTCGTTGTTGGAACTGATCCGCTCTGTCAGGATTTTCCGTGTTTCGACAACATAGGTCAACGCCACGACGCCTCGACGCCTCGACGCCTCGACGCCTCGACGCCTCCGCGCGACGCGACAGCTCGAACGCCGAGACATCGATCGATCGATCGATCAATCGATCGATCGTTTCTACGCTACTTGTAATTCTGGAAAAGTAATTCTCTTGGCACGGCTCGGCCGTGAGTTTACGTCCGTTACGCGTCGGATCGTTGTTTTGGCGCAATAAATTGGACGACTTTGTCGCGATGTTTGCAAATTGATGTGCCGTCTCTACTACATATAGTTCTGAAATCAAGTCTTTCCGTGGTGAGTAAACGCGCGTTGGTCTCTGCGTTTTTCCAAATTCTAGTGTTTCTCGAGTAGGTTGCAGCTCGCGATGATTGTTCGACGCCTTCCTTTTGTGACGCCGGTAAATGATTCGTTAGATATTTTGTAAGGATGATTGTTGAAGCAACTCGCGCGACCAATGATGTTCGAATACGTTCGATACACTCTGTTGTTCCATTCGAGCGAAACATAATAAAGTTGACGTTCCAATTGTAACCGATTTGTTGATGGCCAGCTATAACATCGACTCGATACACGACACCGTTTCTCTTCTCTTCTCTTCTCTTGGATCGATAACGGTTTCGGAACAACGATTTTGTACACAGCAATCGCGACGAACCGTTTTCACAAGCAAGGCGTATAGAAAACGTGTCGATAAACTTATCGGACGCAACACGAACATGTGCAATCCAGATGGCTGTGAAATCGCCTCTATACGTGTACGTTATCCTTCCATAGTGCGATTCAACTCGAGAATCGAGAGGATAATGCGGTCTTTCCGTCGGGCGAAGAAAACACAAAGGAAGCCAGGAAAGATCGAAAACGTCGTTATTCGAATCTAGATATCGGTGCCGCCAGGACCGAAAAGACCGAAAAGACCTAAAAGACCGAAAAGACCGTAAAGAAAGCAACGAAAGACGAAAAGTCCGATAGTCGAGGAGCAGACGAGTTGGAGGAAGGCAGAGGTAACCCGTGGGGGTCGATGCGCGGAGCTTTTTCTTTCCGCGTTGAATCGTTTCACGAGCGTTTGGCGTATCGATCGATTCGTAAAAGTTTTCCTCGACTCGAAACTGCTCGACACTCTCGGCGATGAAATCGAGAGGAAGAACGACGAGAAGGAGGTTGTCCAGCGGATCGTGTTTAAATAAAATGTGTCGTGATTCCTGTAATTTTCAGTACCGCCTAAAATCGATCCGTTTAACTTTCCCGCCAATATTCAAGAAGGGGCGCGGGTGCATGTCACTTGCGTGGTCAGCGAAGGCGATTCACCGCTGAAAATCACTTGGCTGAAGGACGGCAGACCGTTGAAGCCCAAGGAGGCTAACACCCATCATATCGGCGACTTTGATCTCGCATTGAGGATACAGAGCGCGTCCACGGCGCACAACGGCAACTATACGTGCGTCGCGAGCAACGATGCCGCCAATACGTCTCACACGGCATCGCTACTGGTACACGGTACGCAGGGACGAGCACCATTTACCTCGGAACAGTTTCTACGTTTCCAACATTTTTCTCGATTCAACGACGCGGTTCCTGTGTCTACTTTTCGCGCGACGATACCGCCGCCGCCGCCAATATCGATACTCTATCCCGCCGGTCCTCTCTCAATTTCACCCGCTACCTATCTTACGATTCTTTTAACAAACAAGTTAACTCGTTGGTCAACATTTCATTGAACGCACGCCGTGCCGTGCCGCAAATACGTCGTTCAACTTGCTATCTTTCGCGATCGATTCGAATTCAACGATTCACAGACAAATGCAATCATGTGCTTCTCTTTTACTCGAATCTATACTTACTTATTGTCAGCATGACCACAGATTGCGAATAAATTCTCACGTGGTGCGTGAGGTGCGATTACCGGCGAGGACCGAACGAACGACTGTGAAATGGGCAGGAAAAATGAAGGAAAAAGACGATCCGGGGATCGTCGATATTAATCATCGCGCAGCATTCACAGGACCTCTCGACCGGTTGAAACTCCCGTTGTAACGCGGCGCGGAAGATCAATCGTTGACGCTCTTCATCCTCGGGCGAGGACTCTGCATCGCCGGGCTTCCTCTTTTTCCTTCCACCTCGCTCTTTTCACGCTCGTTTGCATACACGCATTCACACGCTCGCGTTACTTCACCCCCTCCCTCTCTCTCTCTCTCCCCGTGTTGTCAGCGCCATCACCAGAGAGTCAGTTCGTTTTTCCTCGTTTTCGTTTCTGTCGTGCGACGGAGCGGCCGGCATTAAAAACCACCACCCCTTTCTCACCCTCTCTCTCTCTCTCTCTCACTAACCCCCCACCCCCCACCCCACCCAGCCGGTCGGTTCTCTAGAGGAACAAATCAGTGCAAGCGGAACGAACGAAACTCTTGCCCGGGCGGGAAATGTACGAAACGAACGGCCCGAGGGTCTGATTTTAACGCGTTGTACTATACATACACGTATACCGTGACGAGCGACAATGAACCGAAACAGCATTCTCGGTTACACGTATAGGGGAAGTCGATTCGCGGATACAACGGTACGTAACGCGACCTGCCCTTTCCTTTGCACGTACGCGTACCAAGATTCCCTCTAAACAAGATAAAACGCGCGATCGGTGAAACTGTTGCAAGATAGGTATTTAATTCCGATCCTTTTGGTTCTATTCGCGGATCGCTCGCTAGTCGTTCGCGAAATAAATCCCATCGAAGCCCGCTGTGACTCGGTCGATGCTAATGCGAACCTATTCGTGTAATGGTGCACACATAATGACGCAGAACCGCGTTGATGTTATCGCATTACGTTAGCCCATAGTCCATTATGGGAAGCGTAATGCGAGGTCTATGTTCAGCAGATACTGTCGACCTTTGGATTCATAGGTTCGAATAAACTTGCCGTACTCGAAACACGCTACTGTCGGCGAAATCGACATTTATCCGTAAACCGCGATCAAATTACAAAAGGAATATATTTATTAGCGATACGACGGTAGACACTTACGAAAATCTAGTTTCATCGTTATCATTGTAGGAAAATCGGCGAAGCAGTTATACCGTGTAAGAAGAAGAGTCGATCAACGTTGCGTGTTGTCATCGATCGTGCAATAATAAGGTTAACAACGGAGAAAAAGAATCGTTGAGATTGGTTGAATGGGGATAGAGCAGACTTGCGACAAGCGAAAGATCCATTCGGTTTCCGAAACCCGGTCCGAAATCTTGGTTCTTTTTCTCCTGCATTTCTACACGTACATGTACATACATGTACATATATTGTACCATACATTATGTTCTCCACTGGTAGTTTGTTCGAATTCATCGAGGTGCATACGTTTCAAGGATAATACATCGGAAACTGTGCGTTGCTTTGCAACCGATGTGGAAATACGCTACCTTTATAATACCGATTTCAACTAGTAAAAAACAACGTAGCGTATGAATATTAATCCGGACCAAGATGGAACGATACTACGGTTCGTATGCCGAGATAAAAGTTATTTCTTCTCTCAACATTTTCTTTAGTGAAATTGTGTGTTGCAGCGACAACTTGCTGCAACTGTCGGCTTGTACGACGAGTAGACTCGCGAATAATAACGAAACAAAGTATTATAAATAGGTATGGTACGGGTGCATACGATAAGCAGTTGTTTTCGAAACAACAAGTAAAAGCAAGTGGATCGCTCGGCGGAGAGAAAGTAGTCGGTCGGTATCGAAGATTGGTAAACCATGTCCTACGAAGCGGAGTAGCAGACTAGAGCTATGGATCCGCGTAACACGTAATCGTACCATACGCTCACAGCTTGATCCTTTTTTTTTGTGCAGTTCCACCCACGATAGCTCCCTTTAGCTTTAACAAGGACCTCTCGGAAGGTGTGCGTGCTCAGGTAACTTGCATGGTCGAGAAGGGCGATCCTCCGTTCACGATCGGTTGGTCCAAGGACGGGGAGCCGATCGCCGGACCGGGTCCTCCACTTGGGTTCGGCAACTCCGGCATAACCGGACTCAGGCACACGCAGACACTCGTCGGGCTGCGCGTAACCAACATTGACGCCCATTCCAGTACCATAGTTATCGAGCGCGTCAGCGCCGCGCACACCGGCAACTATACTTGTTTGGCGCGCAATTCCGTGGCCGAGGTCCTCTGGACGGCCGAATTGATCGTTCGTGGTAAAGTAGACCGAATGAAATAAGAGCCGCCGGTTGAACGAAAGCTCGTCAAACCAGACTCGTTTGCTCTTTACTTAAATGCCGTTTTCACCACCTTTCGTTTACACGTTTTTCTTGCACCACGCAGCGCACCTTTCTCTATCTTGCCGATATATCTTGTCTACGTACGAGGCGCGATCTATCCGGAAACGGGAACCTTTGATTATCCCCCGTCGAGAACGGTGCCTGTGCCGTTCGGAGCCAACTACCGTTCGGAGTCAATTCCTATGGGCAAATACCAGAGTACACTACGCGTATACAAACGCATACCTACGCAAAATCAACAATATGCATCCAGACTAATTTAAACAAAGTTGGATCCGAAACGAGAAACGGGATAATCAGATGGCCCGTCCCCGATCGATACTCCTCTATACGTTTATATTCTATATATTATTGTTATCATTGTGTAATCACGCGTAAACGCAGCCGTGCAGCCGCAGCAGCAGCCGTAGCTAACGCCGCGCGTATTTCAAATACGTACATATGTATCTAGCATGAGACTTTTCATTCACCTAGGGCTGCCAATTCTCACCTTTGCAACGGATTTTTATTCGATTCTCCGTATTTATCGACCCTTTTGTGGTACGGATATCGCAATCAAATTTCTTTACCGTCGAATACGATAGGTACGATCTTTAGTACGATTATTTCTTAATCGTAATAGCATGATCGATAAATGATCATTTCACACGCTATCGATACAGTTTGTCGATCAAAACTCTCGTATCTTTCGCGCAGATAAATGCCAGTGCGCGGTAAATTGACTTTTTTTCTAAACGCAGCTCTAGTATCAATATTCTGGAGGATTCGTGAAAAAGCAGCAGCAGCAGCAGCAGCCGCTCAGCCTGCAACGCAACGCACCAAAAGCACTCGAGCACCGCACAATACGATAGTGTTTCTCCATGGTCACTGTACAGTTTGTCTATATAGTTGTATATTCCACAGGTGTACCGTCTTTGAAATCGCACCGCTCCCCTTATCTTCGAATTCGACGAGGTGCCGCGATCCTGGTTTCCAACGTGTCAACGTTGTATATTTATAGTAAAGAAGCTCGACAGTTTTCTACGACACGGAATGCTGCGATCGCGGTTCTTTTCGAAGGAGAGAGATTCTGCATGAAAGGGCATCAGCCACTATTGCGAAATTCGGCTTCGGCGTAGCACTACTTCTACTTGAATTTTGTACGAATATCGGCAGCACCAGCAGCACCACCAGCACCACCAGCACCACCAGCAGCACCAGCAGCAAACAGCAACGGCGACAATCTCCAAGTTGAATTTCGAGCGCCGACTACTTATTACTCTTCTGTTCGTTCGATTTTTTCCCCTCCTATTTCTCTTAGTTATTCCATTCAGTCGATTATGGAACACTTGGTTGGCACCAATTCCTTTCGTTCACACTACTCCCTACATCAACGTCCGAATCTCGTTTCCCCGAAGCTGCTTAGACGATGACGAGAACGGCAGCCAGCCAAACCGCGACGATTCAACATTACGTGGCGAATAATTAATTTATTCCAATTGCACGAATCTGATAAAGTATGCTACGGTCCGTCTTCAGAGTCGCCCGTATAGGTATATTGTTTCCGTTGTATCGCGATAAAATAGTTAAGAGAACTGCATGGCCCAAAACTTATTCGCCACGTAAGTACGACTGTTTGGTAATTCGCGCGACAAACCATTTAAAAATAACGCACAAAAGGCCTTGATTCTTCGCGTGTATGTACGCAAATGCACACTCACCGCATCGTTCTTTAATCGAAATGTACGCACAGCACTGATTTCTGCATTCTCCTACTTCACTATGATCTTGATATCGTGTTTATCCTTCTCTCAGACCTCTCTCTATCACGAATCGAAGAAAAGATCGAGCTCTTATCGCACTGTTCCTTTCCATCTTAGACTCTGTCTCCAATCATCGTTTACCTCTTTCTCGATCGTCACTACCTTCAAGTCTCCTCGTCTATTCCTTGTCTTGCCTTTTTCTCGCGACAGAGAGACGACAGGAAGAGGACGATTATTCGATATACGTACATACATATTTAACGATCGATACGATAAGGCTAATTTTTTTTTTTTTCTTACGCGAGTCTTTACAGAAAGCAACTGCTTTCTTTTTAAGACTGTATCTTCGTCCTCTCTTTCTCTCTCTCTCTTTCGATCACTTACTCACTCTTCCAAAGCTCGCGCGCGCACTCTTAAGTCACGTCTTTTGTTTCACTTTGCGCTAAAGTAGGAAGTTGCAGTAGGCCAATTCGACAAGTTAGCTGTTGCCTTGGCTCAATAAATTTCTATAGGGGCGCAGTGGCATCCGGAAACGTTACTTTCCTCCAAATAATACCATCCTCGAAATATCTTTGTATTCCCGGTGTAAACTCTTGGTCGAATAACGAGCATTTGTCTGCGTTCGGAAGACCGTCAGACTTTGTAAAAATTGTACAAACTAACGGCACCACGACCGCGCGATAATTCTGTCGGAGGTAGAAAAAAGAGAAAAAAGAGAAAAAAGAGAAAAAAGAGAAAAAAAAGAAAAAAAGAGTAAAAAAATGGGCCGTGTCCGGAATCGAATTAAAAGCAGTCGAAATCTGCAAGTAAAATAGAAGGGAAACGAGAGGATAAAATGTCCAGATGCCACCGCGGTCCGCGCGTGAAACTAAACGACACAGGGCTTGTGATAACTAACGACCGGTGTTACGTAACAGTGCCACCCCGTTGGGTGATGGAACCCCAAGATGTTCGCGCGTCAGAGGGAATGTCGCGGCTGGTGCTTCACTGTCATGCGGACGGGTTTCCGCCTCCGGCGGTCACGTGGCGGCGCGCGAGCGGCAAGAAGCCTGGTAATTATCGCGACATTGTCGCCCACGAGCACGCCCAGGACCTCAGGATACACTCGAACGGTTCGCTGGTGTTCGGTCGAGTGCAAGAGGATCACGAGGGATTCTATTTGTGCGAGGCGGTGAATGGGATTGGAGCCGGCCTCAGCAAAGTAGTACATCTAACCGTGAACGGTAAGACGTCGACGTTTATTTTATTTACTCTCTCAAAATCGGGATTTTACCATCAACATACATACGCACGCGTGTACGGGTTTCTAGGCGACGCGACTAGTCAGAAACTACGAGATCGTCAAATACCGCATTTAGATATCTTTCAAGCATGTTAATTCGAAATCACTTGATCGTCGATGCGATTTCAGTAAAAATGAAACAAAACAAATGCTATAGTTTTTTTTGAGAGAGAGAAAAGGCTAGTTATTACTATGTGGCCCGCAGTACCCGCTCAATTCGTGGAAAGACATCGCAATCAAACGGCGAGGTTGGGCTCGAACGCCTCGTTGCGTTGCGAGGCGAAAGGCGATCATCCCCTAAAAATACTTTGGAAAAAGAATGGTGCGCAGCTGGAGCACAAATTGTCCGACTACCGTTACACGATGAAAGAAGAAAACACCACCGATGGTACGATCAGCACTCTCGGATTCATCAGTACCAGTCGAGAGGACAGCGGGAAGTATTTGTGTTTTGCGTCCAACACTTATGGCCGCGACGAGATGACGATTCATCTGTACATTCAAGGTAAAAACCTGTTTACGATCTCGTATTTAGAGGGAATAATTTGCCGTATCTTTGCGGTCGACTCACGTAAATGAGAACACCCGAGCCCAAGTATGTAAATCGAAAATCGAGCGGGCATTCCAGATATATGTACATACATACTTACGTACATACATACATAGATATCCTAAACCGGTGTGACCGACAACTAGTCCATATAATTAAATCCGTTTCCGCATGAACGACAGCCATTTAAATACTTATTGTTAGCTATGCGACGACTGGAGAGAGGTAACCACGGCCGCGAAAATAAAAAAGCTATCGTTGGCATCGTGTTGCATTGCGGCACACGGCACGGACGGGCTAACGAAAATGATTATTCTTTTTTTGTCGGCCACGACCCGCAGAACCGCCCGATTTCCCACGGAATCTACACGTGATCGAGAAAGGCAGCCGGTACATCAACATCAGCTGGACGACCAGTCAGGACGGAAACAGCCCGATAACGCAGTACATTGTTGAATATAAAACTGACACCGGCAAGTACACAGATAGTTTCGTTGGGTAATCTTTTATCAACTTTTCTATGAAAATAAGAGTACCTACCTATCGAATTAAAACATAATGATACGTAGACCGGTGTATGTACTTTCCATGTCGCTTCCTTGGGTTGGTTACGGTTACGGTTATTCAAATTGCCGTTATGCCACTTATTAAGGACTCGTGTTTGACAATGAGTTTGCTCGTATAATAGAACGTTCGAATAACAACGATTTTACCGTGCTTGGTATGTCTCTTTCCTCGTAATAGAAACGATGTACATACGTTTTACAGAAGTGTGGCACGATCACACGTTTCACGCGACAGTGCCTGGTACTCAAGCTTACGCGCACGTCACCAGTTTGCGTCCAGCGGTTACTTATCAGTTCCGAATATACGCCGAAAATGAATTAGGTCGAAGTCAGGCGAGCGACGTAAGTACCTCCAACCTGTTACCAGTTACACAAATTCGGATCACCTGTAATTATTTTCTAAGCTACAGAAAACCGTTACTGCAATTTTCTTCTATCTCGCTCAATTATTTCCGCAAACAATTCGGTCGGGAACAAGATGATAATTGATTTTAATTTCACTTCGAACCGTATTTCCCATCTCTTTATTACTTGTTTCAGATTTTGGAAACAACGACAGAAGGGGAGAAACCAAGCGGTCCGCCGCAAAATCTCAAGGTGGATCCTGTCAGCTCGACCGAGTTTAACGTCACCTGGGATCCACCTAATCGCGATTTATGGAATGGAGAGATACTCGGTTATCACGTTGGTTACAAAGAACATCGGTAGGTAACGATTCAAAACGACCGCACAAATTTAACTATGCGATGTCACGATAGCTTCAAATACCGTTTTCTATTAATCGCCACGCGCCGTCGCGTCGCCGCCGTCACTGTCGTTGCACGTTTCACGTTCAATATCTTAGTATTGTATATTTTCCGGCAGTCGTGATAAATAATCACTGTTGGTTATAAAAATGTTTCTTCTAAATTTTTTCTTATTAAAAATATCGCGAATAGTTCGCTCAACGTCCAACACCGAACACTATGACACTTTATTTGCAAGTTTTTAATGGTATAAAATAAGAAGAACGAGCGAGCGAGCGAGCGAGCGAGCGAGCGATCTGTCCTAATAACTCGAACGAAAGATCCGACCGGCTCTTTTGCTCTTTAAAATATGGTTGTAATTGTAATTTGAACATAATGTCCAGGTTGGCAGCGGACCAATACACCTACAAGACCGTCGAAAGACGGATTTCCACGGCCAACCTAGCCTTAGGTTTAGCAAGAACCTCGATGCCCGGTAGGCAATATCAATTGACAAACTTGAAAAAGTTCACAAGTTACAGCGTGGTGGTACAGGCGTACAACGCGCTTGGCCAAGGTCCCATGACGCCGGAAGTAGTTGCGACGACTCTCGAAGATGGTAAGAAAGTATCGAAACCATTATCGTATTTAAAAATTGGCATTACGTGTTTCGCGCGTACCGTACGTACATATGTATACCAGCGAATATTTTAAATGGTAAAAAGTAACGCGGTGTTTGTCCGTCTATCGAATATTCGATTAGCGATAAATGTTTGAATAGTCAAGTACCGAAGGGGCGTCGTATTACTGGGAACGGATTTAACGAATACGATTCGATGGCGTTAAAAAATTCATCGAGAGAATAATATTCGTGGGCCGCGAGCCTATCGTGGACTCCGAACGCTATGAATACATACCAACCACCGTACCGTATCCCGGCATCGAGTTCCGAATAAATATTAAATTCAACAGCGAGACCGAACTCTGCAGCCTGGAACTGATCTGCTTGCAAACAAGTCCTTTGATCGCAGCCACGTGAATGCGACTCGTTTAAAGTGAAAAGTGTTTTACGGGCAAATGTCGGACTTTTACGGAAAAGTGTTTTTTACACCGTTACCCCGATATCGTGTAAATTGGTCGCGTTGTCGCGAAATAAAGAGATTTCGCTCGATTGATCGTGCTCGCGAACTGGTGTATACGCATAAACCCCATATTAAAAATAAATTAGTTTAAATCTAATTCCTGTCAGAAAATACGTAAACAAGATAAATGATCGAGGTAAATTGCATAACGAATAAAGGTTGAAATGAGATTGTACCTACGTATGTACATGGTTAAATGCTCTTGGAAGATGAAATGTTGTTCGTAATCGAGTTTTCACGTATTGCCAAAGGCCCCGATAGATTCGCCGTAATTGATTTCTGAGGTCGGTGAAATGTTGTCAGTACCGAGCAGCCCGCCCCAAGACATACGCTGCACGGCGCTCTCCTCGCAATCACTGCAAGTCTCCTGGGACGCGCCGCCTGACTCCAGTTTGAACGGGATCCTGAAAAGCTACAAAGTCATATGGGAGAACATGGACGCTCTGACAGAGTCCACCAAGCCGGAAATGAAGATCACCAGCACCTTGATTGTCGTAATTCACGGCCTTGAGAAGTACACAAACTACTCTGTTCAAGTGACGGCTTCCACGAAGGCCGGCGACGGCGTCCCATCTGCGCCGTTGTATTGCATCACCGAGGAGGATCTGCCAGAGGTGCCGGCGGGTGTGAAGGCGGTCGTCAGTTCCGCGACATCAATTATCGTGTCCTGGCAGCCACCCCTCAGAAGCAACGGGAACATCACATCGTACAACGTTCATATCCTTGGAGTCGACCCGGAGGGAAAATGGTACAGGCGGGCGCTTTTGCCGCATCAAACCAGCTATCAGGCTGAAAATTTACACAAGAGGAAGCAGTACGAATTTAGTATAGCTGCCGTCACCTCGGTGGGCGAGGGACCGCTCACTCAGCCAATCATGGTCTCGCCATCGAGCGAAGGTAAATTTAAATGTCCTGTTTCGTTTCGTTTCGTTTCGTTTCGTTTCGTTTCGTTTCGTTTCGTTTCGTTTCGTTTCGTTTCGTTTCGTTTCTACCTTCTGCGTTAACATACATATACATATGTACAATACATCGCGATAGTTATGTATTTGAATTTTATTACAGTTCGGGCAGCGATATATTCGTTCGGCACTGTGCTGATCGTTCCGTGGAAACAAGACGCGACATTACCGTGCCAAACCGTCGGGAAGCCAGAACCGTCGGTGACGTGGAAACAATGGGGCCAGATAGTAAAGTCATCCGCTAGGGTGTCCTTGTTACCGGAAGGTTCGTTGCAGATTATGGATCTTCACAGGGAGGACAGCGGGAATTACACGTGCTACGTCGAAAATCGTCATGGTTACGATCAAATAACGCATCGTTTAACCGTACAAGGTGCTCATTTTAAATCATCATTGCCTTCGATTTATTCGCATCGAAACTGTTTGTACGTAGATAGGTGGCCGTAAAAGGAAATTTTTTAATAGATACATATTTACATATGTACATAGTATGTAGTATGCGAGAGAACGCACGCGACCGCGCGTACAATGATCATTTATTCGGGGCTTTTCTCTAGTTCCGCCAGCAGCCCCGTCGCTTCATGCTACCAGCGCTACAAGTAATTCGATCAACGTCCAGTGGAAGAACGGCGACGATGGCGGAGCACCGATCAGAGGTTACATCCTCCACTACAAACGAGAGTCTGGCGAATGGGAAGAGATGAAAGTATCGCACAAAATCAACAGTTTCGTTCTATCGCGGTTGTGGTGTGGTAACGATTACCAAATGTATCTGACGGCGTACAATCGGATCGGTATGGGCTCGCCTAGCGAAATCGTGAAAGCCACGACCAAAGGCTCGAAGCCGGATGACTCGCCGAGCAACGGCGATAAATTCGTAACGGTCAACGTCTCCTGGATAAATCTTCATCTAAGCATGTGGAACGACGGTGGATGCCCGATCACTTACTTCGAACTCGAGTACCGTAAGAACGGAGAAGACATATGGACGTTGGTATCGAACAATATCGAGGTACCATCAATTTCGAAAACTAGCTAAAATATATGTACATACATATAACCTGTAATATTATAACCGTACCACCAACTCGATTAACCGATTGATCGGACGTATTTTTTCAAACACATCGAACAAAAAGAAAATACAATACGAACTCATCGAGTTTCTTTCTTGCTCGTTTCCAGGATAATTAATAATTTCTTTTTATCTCGTTCTCGTAAAACGATAGCGAGCTCGTTAATTTCACTCGTTTCTACTCGTTGTACAGTTTGAAAAATCCGTAAAAAAAAAAACAACTCGGAATGAATTTCTTTTAAAAAGAGTTTTCGTTCTTTAGGTACAAAAGACGTATACGCTGAGCGAGCTGCAACCCGGAACGACCTACGACGTCCGAATAAGAGCGCACAATAACGCAGGTTTTTCGGTTGCCGAATATAGAATAACGACTTTGCAACCTCACAGCAGTAGCACGGTACCAGCCGTGGAGATCGATCACTACATACCACAGCATACGTCCGTCTACTCTGATTTGAAGCTCATTGTCCCATTGATATTGAGCTCGTTGGCGGTTATCGCCGCCGCTGGTGCTGTCTTTTATTGTTTTCGGAAACGTTAGTAGAAACCCTATATGTACATGTCTATATGATTTGTAGATACTCGACTCGCGTGCATGCCCGGGATGCCGCGATGACGCGATGACGCGATGACGCGATGACGCGATGACGCGATTGCTGCAACGTTTAACGACGATGACCGTAGGTCCGTTTATAGGGGAAATCGCGAGTCTCCACGACGCCCAAACCGCGGCGGCCTTAGACAATAAGCAAAACATGGAGCAACGCGAGCAGTACTACGCTACGGTGCGCAAGCCGCTTCGCTCGCCGATACACGAGATGGCTACCTTGGAAAAGATTCCAGGTAAATATGCTAATACCGCTAATACCGACCAGAGTTCATTAACTCGATCAAGTGGTCGATTATTATTGGCAGGCTCGAAACCGATATCGCCTTGTTAAAAATGATTGCAGAATACTCCGAGGACATTTACCCGTACGCCACGTTCCAGCTGGAGGAAAGTGTCCCGCCAGGAGGCGATAGTCGTTGTAATTCTGCCGCGCCTCTTCAGACCTTCGTCTATCACGATCCTCGTCTATCTACCGCCGACACTCTTCAATTACGAGAGGTATCTTTTACCGTTCGTAGCTTGCTTTTCTCATTCGTGATCGACTTTCACGACTACTCAACCGAGAGCATCGAGCAATATGTACATTTGCCTATCTACGCGTCGCATGCATGCTTTTCCTCCATCGCACGCAAACCATTTCACATACTTACCCGTCACGACGTTTAATTATTTCGGATACGAGGTCGTACGTCGTCTATTACAATTAATTAATAACATTGCCAATGATATCGGTAGGTACTACTATACACCCTGAAATCATTTTTCAACTCTATAGAATGAAAAGTATACATAGAGAAACGTTTGATCGAAAACCGTACGTATGCACCTTACGACCTTTTATCTATTTGCAAACGAAACGTTCACATCCTCTTTCACGAACCATAAACGTAACGATTTATTGTACCGACGAATCCTTGATTGCACATACTTTGCAACTATCGATCAAACGATCGCATGGAACGATAGTTGTACACAATTATTCTACAGAAAATGGTTACGCACGTGGCCCTTATTAACGCTTTGCTTCGTTCCTCTCACCGTTTGTGTGTGTGTGTGCGTGCGCGCGTGCGTGCGTGCGTGCGTGTATGTGTTCCCGAGCGATCGGTAGAAAGAACCATCGATAAATAACCTGTATTATTTCGATAAGAAAAAAAGGGGAAGGACGCGTCACCGTACAATCCCCCAATCACATCTCGCAATTCGTGTGCACAACCGCAATCATTTATACCTACTTTTGTCTCGCGTTGTAACTCAGGATGTCAAAGAAGAAACGCGTATACTAGAAATATGTATACCTACTAGAGATCGCGGATCGAGTAGAACAGATAAGCATCATATCATAGCGAATCGATCATTGTGACTGCTGGTCCCACCTTGCTTCGTTTCGCATCTGTCCTGATCAGTCCATCGAGGAACCGCAACACCGACGCAAACGATACTTTTTTTCACACGTATACTCGCCATTCTACGCATATGGTAGCTCGTCTAGCTGTAGTATAACAGACACTCTCTGTCGAATCCATTTATACGACTGTGTGTTCTTTGTTCGATAACGCATAGAAAAGACAGTAGCGTGGATCGTGACGTTCTACCTCGGTTTCATTTCTACACCTGCGGAGGAACGATCGAACGATAATCCGCAGAAAGAGTTCTCTGATCTATGGCGGAGTCAACGAACGAATTGACCCGAAAAACGTACCGCCGAAGGAAATTCTTCCCCGCCAACCCCACCACCCACCGCCCCGCCTCGGTTTCTGCGGTTTAGTGCGACAGCGTTTAACGATCAAAAACTTGGCATATTTCTTCTCAAATAGGTAAAATATCGGATCGAACAAATCACCAGAGATACCAAAGAAGAGTTATCGTGTAATTGATAATCGTTTCGATCAAATACTATACGTACATTGTTCGTTACTTGCCTCTATAACGTATTGTATTTTTTACCATTCGTTTCATACAACATCGACGACGTAACGTCGGGCTTCGTTCTTTGAAATTGAATTTAAATCGTATAATATTTATTTCGAATATGTACTACTTGGTTAGGAGTGTTTGGTACGGCAGGTGCAAGGCGCGGAGTGAAAACTTGTTCGTTCTTGGATCTTTTTCCCTCCACCGAGTAGAATCTCCGGCCTAGTTGCCACGAATGCCACTAACAGAAACTAACAGGGTCGGGGGTTAGGTTAAAATCGGGGAGGGGCGGGACGGGGTAGTGGCGTTGGTGGGTAACGGGTAGGTGGTGGGTGGCTGGAAGAATAAGTGGAAGTGGAAGAGAAAGAGGGGGAGCGAGAGAGAGAGCGAGAGAGAGAGAGAGAGAGAGAGAGAGAGAGAGAGAGAGAGAGAGGGAGGGAGAGAGTTTGTTAAAGGAGATACAATAAGTAATCGGTGTAGCGCGTCTCCTCGTTTCCTCGTGCGATGTGCCAATTGATCGAAAACACAATTCCGTCTGATTGCAGTCGGATTGCAACCGGTACACTAAGGTGCGCGGAGGCCGTTCGACCTCTGCGCCGTTGCACAAAACGCACAAAGTCAGTCAGGGCAAGTCCGAGTCGGAGGAATACGACACCCTGGGCTCGGATAGCGACACGGAAGTCGGGACCAGCAGCCGAACCGAGTCTTCCAATCACCTCGTCGATTCGCACCACTCGGTGTCTGCGGCCGACTCGCGTGTCCACAGTATGCAATCTTTCATCCTTCTACTTCGGTTTACGCCTTCTATCTTCTATTTTCTGTCTCTCACTTTCTGATCTGTCTGGTTGGTTCGATCCTTTCAATCTCGCGATCCTTTCTCGAGATCCTTTCGTTTTCGGACGATTCTCCGAGAGGGGAACGAGGGGAGGAGAGGAGCGTCGCGAGATTTTCCACGCACCGCAAATACATACCGCCGGAGGTCCGTTCCCCCGTTGCCTGTTTACGTTCGTTAGAGTGCACCGAATACATATATGTATATGTATGTGTGTAACCGAGCATTCGCAAGCTTGTTGTTTGTAACGTGAGACGTCGGAACGAGATCGGGGAGAGATAGAACGCTTCGGGGATGCTTATACGGCCCTCGTTCGCTCAGGAAAATCGGCTAATTTTCTGTTCGCAGACTTCCTGTACCATGGACCAGAATCTAGCACGTCTACAGAACCCTCACCGATTTTTGAGAGAAAATCGTTTCCTGGAAGGGGACGACCCAAGTGAGTTGACAATAACGTTATCGTTGCCATTTCGTTAGAGGTTAGCCAGCCGTGGTCGGTCAAGTACTTACTAGTTAAAATTCACCAGACGGCTGATACTTGTACGCGTTAAATGAATAACAAAGAAGAATAATCGATGTCGTGTGCCCGAACAGGATGTTACAGTTGGCGCGTCATACCAGCGAGGAGACCCGTTCCAACTTCGGCCCAATCTCCGGGCTTGGCAATCCCAAGCACCAGTCGAGCAATTCCTGTTCCAATCGGGACCAGGAGCGTGACGGATCAGGAAACCTGTTCATCCCCAAGCTGGACCCACCCACGGGGTTCTCCGACGCGTTTGAGCTAAGCGAGGCCGAGTGCGATCTCGATCGCGGCCACAGTAGCCAACGAAATGTCCGTGACTTTGTAATCGCGGTGTAAATAAATGCCTAGAGCCTACGATGAACCCCTCCTCCACACGATGTTGCGCGAAACTACGAAACGAACAAAACCCCGTTCCAACCGTGTCGTTGTGAAATAGCTAAAAAAGAAATAAAAAAAAAAGGAAAAGAGAGTAAAGAAAGAAAGGAAAGATGATAAGCAAAGAAAAATAAAATGGAACAAGCCGTGGTCCGTCTTTCGTTAATTACACTAGCCAACAATACGGTCACCGAATAATGTAGGTAGGTACTTTGTTCCCACTGTGTTCGTGTTTCTGGCCTACGTTGAGGGGGAAAGTGTCAACGACCGTTGTCCTAGAAAAAACGCACCTACTGATTCGACTCGATGTGTTCTTTCAACTGCCAGTTCGTTCGAATTTCCGCGAACCCGCGACCACGCGACACCACCGTTCGCTTTCGGTATACATACATATACATATACATATACATACACGATATACATATATTTTTTCGTTCAAGGGACTCGGAGCGAATCGTGCTGTCCCTCGATCGAGGCGAGGCGAGGCGAGGCGAGGCGAGGCGAGGCAATGACTCGATCGGGATTAGCGTCCTCGAATACGTTCGAGAGATATTTATCGAACGAATATGTATATCGATTGCCGTTCCGTTCCGCTAAAGGCAACAATTATCGTATAAGAAATTTTACTCGTCCCACTCGAAGAAACAGCATTCTTTTGCTGGTTATTCAAACAACATTTTATATCCTCCGTGTCCGTTTCACGCGAAATATTTCAGTGTAAACAATAGATGAGACGAGAAAGCAACGTTCCGCTAAACGAGACTCCTGTTATAATTACTTGTAACCAAGACTCGAATCGTTTGTTTAATACGTCGATTAACGCAAATTGTCCTATCGTTAAGATTAGATTGCAGTAAGATCACGGTAAACGATTTCATTGTATCGAATGCATATCTCAGCGAGCAATACGCGATTTGTTACGTGTTTACTTGGTCTTTCAATTCCATGGATCGTTTATCAACTCGTTTTATCAATTCCATGCGTAAACGATTACTCGCACGGCACGAGTCGATGCGACCAACGTGATCGTCGCGTTGCGTCGCGTTGCGTCGCGTCGCGTCGCGTCCTCTCCAAGGAAATATGGATGCGATCGTAATCTTGTTTTCACGAGAAGTGTGTTATACGTGTATAAAGTAAAAAAGTACGAAGATATAGGGGACACGAAGAAAAGAACAAGAAAATGATTATCTCTCGTCCTTGTCGCCGGTGTCGTTTTAATAACAAGAGACTGAAGCGTTTAGTAACGAAACGTATAGCTTCAACTTACCGTTGAAAAGAAATAATTTATAAAAAAGAATATTGTCTGTAAGGTGTCTATACTACCATGCTAACTGTACGTACTTACTTGTACCTCGGCCAAACAACCGTGAACGCGGAATACGAAAAGGAAAAGAAATCATTTTACCGCGTCCTCGAAACCGCGCGTCGATTAACGATCGACGGACCGATCAGTGCTGTTGAATTGTTCGACTATCGTTGAAAGAAAAAGTAAGAAAATCCCAGCGAGTCTATACACATCCGTTGCCATCGAATCAGTTCAGTGTTTGTCGCCGATCGACCGTTCGTTTGTTCGTTCAGCAATGCGACGATGATTTTTAAGTGTCGTGTTCTCGTTACGTCGAAACCCGGGTCTATCATTCGACACCACGGGAGACACAAGAAGAGATATGGATCTGTTGACAAATCGTATACTTTATAATATATGAAAATATAATTTACCACGAAACTCGTACTATTGTGTTTTAGACGACTTTAGATTGTTTATATTCTATTTACTTTGTAAAATATACAAGACTAATTCCATCATTGGAACCTATCGTCTCGTCATTATCCTGATCGTCCCTCCCACCCTCTCCCCCTCTCTCTCTCTCTCTCTCTCTCTCTCTCTCTCTCACTGACAACCAACAAAATAAAGTAAACAGCAAGAAACGTACACGTGTACTTACATACGTCTATCTTTATGCACGTAAGTCGTAGAACGTATGACAGGCGAAAAGCTCTAGCAGCGTCGTTGAATACATAGTCCTATCGCAAACATGCCGTTGATCGATCGCGTTTTCTCTTTCTCTCGATCGTCGATGTCGATGTCGATGTCGATTCTTTTATGGAAAAGGAGCAACGCGGATAGGACACGCGGATAGGAGGCTCGCAGTTTCGAGAGAAGAAAGAAGGAAGGAAGGAAGGAAGGAAGGAAGGAAGGAAGGGGTGTGTGGACCGGTGAGGTCGAAGAGGGTTGCCGAGCATGCGCGGAACGACCGTTTCTATCAGATACTATGAGCGGTGGTGTTTACGGTGGAGGTATGTGCTACGCGGTCCGCATTTTTCACGATAAAAAACGTGGTTAACCGGTCGAGGACACTGTTAAGCGTTACGACTTTCCCGCAGACGAGGTCGGTGCTATCATTTTCGACGTTGGACATCAGAGTCTTCGCGTTGGTTATGGCGGTGAAGATACCCCAAAGGCCGAAATTCCGACCACCCTCGGGATATGGGAGGACACTATCGAAACGCCGGACGGTACTCAAACCGTCAGGAAACACTACAACATCGACGTCACGGCCATTCAAGTGCGAAAGAAGGGTACGCCTGACTCTCTGATCGTAATAGATACAAAGTTATATGCTAATTGTCACATGTTCGCCGGTTCCTTCCTTTACCTCGGGCAAAAAGACCTACGATCCTACGAGCAACATGTAAAATCTATCCGATCCGTCGTAAATTTTCCCCCAAGTGTACAGACCGCGGGTCGAACAAGACGAAACTACTCTTTATAATAACTGCATAACGTTTCAACGGTTAAACATGTACGTATCCTAATGAATTTTACCACGGTAAAGAATAAAAGAAACCGTGTTTCACGCTTCAATTAACGACATTTTCGAAATAATGTTTCAAAAATCCGAAATCTCTATTGTAGTTGTTTAAATCTCGTTCGAGTAAAAAAAAAACCGTATGCATTTAATAATATCTCGTACATGATAAGAAACATCGGGGACATTTAAAAAATTAACGATTTACTAAATCGATTTTAAAAACGACCGGTTGTTCCGTATCGTTTCACTTGGAACATGAGTAAAGATAAAACTTTTTTCATAACAATGTTATCACGCATTCGATGTGTGTGCACGATTTTAACGAAAGATATCTTGGTAAGACGGCTAGATTAGATTTTACGCCGGTCCATCGTTCTCTATCTACCTACAGAGATAGTTAGGATGTAGGTACATATGTATGTAAGTAGGTAATGTTTCGTTAAAATGGGCGCGCAATATGCAATGTTCGTTTCGATCGGTAACTCGTCGGGGTATTCGTCTAATTCGATTATTCAATTTTCCTTAGATATGGATTTGATTAGCGTAATGCAGGATGGCATGATCGAAGGTTGGGACATGTTCGAACGCCTAACAGAGTACACCTACAAGCAACGGCTGCACGCTCTTCCGGAACATCATCCGATTCTGATGACCGAATGCCCTTGGAACACTAGGCTGAAACGGGAGAAGCTGTTGGAACTTATGTTTGAAAAGTTCAATGTCCCGGCCATGTACATTTGCAAGAATGCAGTTCTGGCGGCGTACGCGAACGGCAGATCGACGGCCATGGTCGTGGACAGCGGTGCGACACACACAAGCGCGGTGCCTGTACACGATGGTTACGTAATCACTCAGGGAATCGTGAAAAGTCCGCTGGGCGGTGACTTTGTCACCATGCAATGCAGACAGTTCTTCGAGGAGAAGGAGATCGAACTGATGCCCGCGTGTCTGGTCGCCAGCAAAGGCAAATCTGGTTTTCAACGATAACCGCTTTACGAGGCAAATAGGTGTCCTTTGTGAAATGGATGTGATTCCTCGTCCGAAAATAATTCGAGAACGTGGAATAACACTTTTTCCCCATACTTTCGACAACTTTCGCTAACTTTTGCTTTCGAGGCAAATCGGTTTCTCAACGTTCACCACCAGCGGGTCCGAGTTTCAACAAAACCGTGTTCACGCGCTCTCGATCTCTACGTAGAGATCGAGAAAACACTGTGCTCCGCAACGCTTACGAATTCGATTTATGTATTTTCAGATCTGGAATCGCATTCTCTCCGATCGCACCACCGATCGATCATCCGATCGATCATCCGATCGATCATCCGATCTCGCTCGATTCTATACGTCGATCGACGTATTAACAGTTTAACAAATTCAGTTTTATGAATTCGCGCGCTGCCACGGCTAAAACGATACGGGAAAGTTTCTTGTCTTTACGAGTATTTCATCGTACGTATGTATTTCGTTTAATTTCGACAGTACTTGCATATACATACTTACTTCCACCGTCAGTACACTCACGGATACCGTTTCATCTTAGAAAAATAAACATAGCTACATTTGATCGATTACACAGACATAGTCCGGGAGAGGGAAGCACCGCGTTGGATAAGAAGAGGCGGCCCTCAACCGTCGTCTTCCTGGTTAAATTACATGGTCCGAGAGCTGTTGCAAGACTTTCAAATCAACTGCCTTCAAGTATCGGACAGTCCGTACGACGAGGACATGGCGAACGCGTTACCGATGAAACGGTACGAATTCCCGACCGGATACAACGACGATTTAGGGTCCATCAGACTGATGATACCCGAAGCGTTGTTCGACCCTAGTAACGTGAAAGGTGTCGGCGCCAGCATCCTCGGCGTTGGACCGTTGGTCACGACGAGCGTGGGTATGTGCGATATGGATATCAGACCTGTGAGTATCTTCGATTCTCGATCACGCGATAAACGATCCACCTTCGATCGGACCTTTCGAAACGCATTGTTGCTTCAGAGCTTATACGGAAGCGTCGTGGTCACCGGTGGCAATTCCTGCCTACAAGGTTTCAGCGAAAGACTGAATCGAGATTTAGCCAGCAAAACTCCTCCAGTGAGTATTTTACCTTTTATTTTATTTCCCTCGTCTGGTTTCGATACTAATGATACCTCCTATTTCACAGAGCATGAGACTGAAAATAATTAGCGCGAATAGCTCGAGCGAGCGTCGCTACGGCGCTTGGATCGGAGGATCGATTCTTAGCTCTCTTGGATCCTTTCAGCAGATGTGGCTATCGCGGCAAGAGTACGAGGAGTCAGGGAAGCTGATACTAGAACGATGCGCGTGACCTAATCGCGCGATCCTGATCCAAATCAATCAAAATTAATCATAGTTATTTTCACAAAGTGTCTAACAGCAACAGTTTTCTAACGTTTCTTTGTTGCACCGAAGGACAGTGCGATGATCTCTCGCGCGTCGAGTTATGACGCGCCGGGACTGTGACAAGCAACTGATATATCGATTAAACAATTTTTAGAAACGTGACAACTTGCTACTATTACGTGTATGTAGAGGTGGGGGCCGAAAAAGGGAGTATTCGTTCAATCGGCTAAATTCTAACGGGCCAATTCGTGGATATGGAATTTGAATGGAATTTGAATAATCGAACGAGTTCTGTACTTTGATTCTATTATAGAACAACAACTGTCGGTTCTAAATACATCCTCGGTATACACTTTGAATGAAAGGAAAAAAAAAGAAAAAAAAACACACACACACACACACACACACAAAACAATGAACAGAAACACAGTTTTTAATCGATCGAGGTACCTTTCGTTCGTTGTCTGCTTACATTCGCGTTCGCTTTGTATCCCGTTCTTGGTCTTTTGATGATAATTTCTAATAAATAAATGTTGGAACGATCGAACTTGAAAAGTCCAGCCGGAACTCCATCGACTAGAAAATCGAACGATGCACGGACGAGAGAACTCCATCGACCGAAAAGACAACTATTTTACGATCTTTCTTGATTTCTCAAGGATCATCGGATAAATCGTCTCTCTCTCTCTCTGTCCGAGCGACGTTATGCTCGGTAAACAACAGCATTACCGTGCCCGGAAGGGCACATCGAAGAAAATTCAATTACTAATATCGCGCACGCTTTTACCAGGGACCATGTGAGATGATGCTTGATCGCGTGACTATCGTTAAATACTATTTCTTTTCTAAAGATCAACTAGCTACCTACTCGACTCGGTTGTGGTAGTTTGCAAATCGCATTGTGAACCGGCATCGATAACCATCCCGCCATCGCGATCCCAATAGAATCAGCCATCGTGGCAATTCCCAACGAGATTTTCCGATCCGCTCTTGGTATCTGTTAAAAAGAGAAACGGTTACGAACCAGAAAGATTTCAAACGTAGATACACGATTCGAAAATGTCATTTAGTCTGTGATCCGTATAGAGTGTTGGTTAATAAATTTGTCAAATGATACTTTTATCCTGACCCTGAGCTAAAAAAAATACTAGGTGATATCCGTGTGATATCCAAGATCGAATAAGATTAAACACGTAAGTAGTATGTATAATAGATAGAAAGATCGATCTGTTTAGTTATCTATTCTACATATAATAGAGGCTGTTCGGTTCTGTCACATTACCTCGGTCGACATCCGATAAAACGTGTTGACGTACGCTCCACCGCCAAGGAGTCCTTCCCACAGGACAAAGACGAATACTAGCCAAATAGTTGGCATATAATAGTACAGGGTCTCGAATAACAGAACGATCACGTTGACGAACTGTAACACAAAGATGAAACGACCTCGTTATACCATAGACAGGATGATCTCGGGTATGACCGCGGGAAAACGCGATCGCGATCGTAACACCATGCATTTGCATCGACACCTCCTATAATACACATCGTTACCTGCAACACGGCCATGATCCAAATTTTGTTAATCGTGACGAAATTTACGGACGATCTTGAGACGAATACTCCTATCTGATAATCCACTTGAAGCCAACGGTACTGTTCGGCATGCGTCAACCAAATACCATCGAATTCGATTAGCTCGTACTGAAAATTAGTTTTACACGTATTTACATGTATTTCCGATAATGTATCAAGTGCCAGATCGAAGCTCGACAATGTACAATGTACGATGAACGTGCAGCTTAATAGAGGAAACGATTTAAAAAAAAAACGCGTCGTGATTTACGTGTGGTGATTTACGTGTCGTGATTTACGTGTCGTGATTTACGTGTCGTGATTTACGTGTCGTGATTTACGTGTCGGACAATCGTCCGGCGAAATATTCTTACAAATGGGTTTGCATCGAAACGGCTAGACACGTATGTAAACGAAACGAAACGTTTGATCATCGGGAAATAAACTAACAAGCAGTAACGAATTAATCGATCGATGTTTAAATGCGAACAAATGAAAGAATAGGTATTACCAATCCTTGGTTAATGAAATACTCGAAGAGATAGACGAGTCCAAGTGGAATCATATACTTCAGTAACCCCGGTACCAGATTAATCTTTTCTTTGAAGCTCTTTCTTGGAGCCTCGATGATTTGCTCCTGACTGTCGATACCGTTCTTAGTGATTGGTATACTGGACTGCGGTGGATGGACCAGAACCAACCAGAAAACGACCCCTTGTATGGCCGGTACGATTAACATAACTAATAATGTGTCTTCGTTGCTCAACCACATGGTGAGGGCGGCATAGGACAACGCGCCAATTATTCCGGCACCTCCTGTACCGGAAGACCATGTTGCAATTACCTGTCTGCGAATCAATCAATAGGATTTAATTGTCGTGCGAAAGAAAAATAATTTTCAACAAGTTTCGGGGAAATGAAACGTACGCGTAATTGCAAAAGTATAAGTCCAATACGAACAAAATTACTACTGTTCTTTATTTTCTCCTTTATACTTTTCCATTGTATGTACCTAGATTGGTTATTATCAGCTGGTAAGTCAAAATAAATACGTTTATTAATCCCGAATATTACGAGTAAAACGCTCGGAAAAAAGAAAATAAAAAAGAAATAGAAATCCGATGAAAGATTAAGCGATAAGAAATAACGATAGCTTACTTGGGATACTGATGACTATAACTCAGCAACGTAACTTCTCCCAGACCGGAAGAGAGTGACGTTAGAACAACACCCAGAATGGCGAGCCATTCGGTAGTGCTTAACGACACCACAAGGAATCCTGCAGCGGAAAATAACACACAGGTAGCCAGTCGAGCACTGTAATTAACGATTCCATTAATCGATTAGCGTTTCATACGTGGGATAATAGCGGCGTGTCCATGGAGGGACACGACTCCGGATAATCGCCGGGTAAAACGCCATAGAAACTCGTATGTACGTCAAAACGGTCTGCCATGCTCGTCCAACTAATGCTATCGAAATGCTACGCGTATTCGCGTCACAGATATAATACATACAAAGTTTGAGCGATAACTAATGTTTCGACATGTTCCGTCGCGTCGCGTCGCGTCGCGTCGCGTCGCCTCGCTCGTATTGTATTTACTATTTACAAGGCCACGAAAAGGCAAAGAAAATTATCAAAATTTCGATACCGGACGTTAAAAATTCAATCATTCGAACTGACGGTGTGTTGATTCGAAATGTTGTTTTTATAAAAATGATGTGCCAGGTAAGTACTACTGCCGAGCAGCCTGCATTATTCATTACTCTCATTGTACTCGCTTGCTTTGGTAAATATTTACGCGTATGCCACGATCAATGAAACAATATAGAAAAAGCAAATAATACATAGTACATATAATGATACTCACTTTACGTAAAACGGTAAGAAAGGTGTTACGATCTTGACGACTAGCGATGGCAGAATGTCCGCCAGTAGTATGGTGCCCGTAGAGAGCGTGTTGCAGGATCGAATTCCGGTGGTGTTCGCAGTAGCATTCGTCAGCGGTCCGTTCGAGTCCTTGATAGAAGAAACGCGGAAAAGAAGAGAGAATAAGCTATTAAAACGAGCGATCCATGATCACAGTATACATATAGTATGTATGTACATAGATATGTAAGCGGGAAAATCACCACCGATTTCTTATTATTATGTTCCTGTAATTCGGTTCCAAGTCGGAAGTTATCAGCACCGTATCTCTTTTCACGGACGTTACCACCTTGAACGTGCAGAATATTAATTTCCGTTGCTGTTAGCCGGTTACGTAACTGGTTCGCGTTGCGCTCGGTTGCGGCAAGGGGGGACAAAAGACCTCGAAGGAAGGAAGAGAAAGAGGTGTAGCGGGCGTGTGGCACGGCCCGGTCGATCCTATTATACAATGGGAATTCGCGCGCATAGATTTCCCGATGACATAACAAAAATTCCTACACGTCCGATCTACTTCGAAGCCGTAATTGAGTTTAATTGCTCGCTCCGTCTTTTGAATCACGAACAAAGATTGCGAGACAGGGCACGCGTCGTTAAACGGATAATTTTCATTATCGAGACAATACAAAATGCTTTAAACATTCGAGCAAAACGTGCATAATCTAGCCAAGATAAACCTACCATCGAACGATTACAACTTTTCCGGTTTTCCGGTTTTTAATTTACTTTTACAGAATGGTAGGTACACTACGCGTCCCGATTGCTATATGTACGTACATATTTTAGATTATTTGAAAAATACAATTAATTAAAAAATTACTCACAAAGTGTTCGTCGCGAAGAGAAACCTACGATTAATCGCACTAATATTATATGTATAGGTAATAGGATAAATAGATACAATAGCCCCGTTGTAGGTCAACAAGCTACATATTTAGATATTTACGAAAAGATGGTTGGTTCGTTGTTTGCAAAGCTCTAGAGCAAAGATCCAGGGCAAATTCTTATCTACCGTTCAACAAAAGCGACACCAACAAGAGCAACGATTCCGACTACGATAGTTTATCGATACGCGGCCTTTACCAACGGTTTTCATTGAACCGCGCATAACTCGCCGGCAATTTGAGCATCCTCGAATAACTACAAGAATCTTCTGATCATTCGTTCCGTAAAACGAGTCGGTGATTCATCTTACCGTGCAGATCGACGACACACGTCGATAAACGTGATAACGTAACGATACCCAAATACGATTACCGATGATTACGATCGACCAACTACATAATCGCGTAATTTATCTCGTAATTAGATGCGCTTTGTCTACGCACCTACTCTATCGATAGAGAACGCCGGATCATTGTTTAAATTTAAATTGTAAAACACCATCGAATATTGTACGAAAGAGAATCGAACGAACCGAACGGAACCGTTCCGTTTCTCCATTCTGGCGAACTTTTCTGCTCACTGGCGACGAAAACTGCTCCAACTTGTACTCACCGCCGTTTTACCAAACTTGCTCTCAAGGATATCGTGCGCGGCGCTAAGCATCACCACGTATCCATAATTATTGCAGAGACCAAGTATCCAAAAGGCGGCCAGATTTCGACATCGCGATCGGACGGACATCGATTCTTCGTCGAACGCAACGTTGTTGGCACAACGTTCAGGGACGACGGACAAGGATTTGCACTTTGTCATCTTTTTTTCTTCTATTTTTCTCTGTTTTGGTCCGGTTGTTTCCGAACGCGTCGTCTATTTTCTTCCTTATCTCCGTTCCACTCGTTTATCCTTTCACCAGCTACCGACCGCTTTTCAAACGGCTTCGCGTGTTTCCCTAGATCCTCTTCTTCTACCCTCCTCTTTTCCGAACGGCCCTAACCTAAACGTCGCACGCAATCCTTTTCAACAATTTTGCCGCGATCGTCTTTATTGCTCCCCCGCTCCCCTCTACGTTTCCCTCTTTTCCAAACACCAGGCACACACGACTAAAACGCGCGGGCGCACGCACGTCTCCTTTTTAATCGGATCCTTAGAACAGAGAGGAACGACAGCAGCTCGATGTTACGAACGTTGAGAAAAGTTGCGTGAGGAATCGCATCTCCGATATATTACGATATTTTATCGTTCGAACGTTTTGCGGTTCAAGCATCAGACTTTTTCAGTTACTTTCCAATCAAGTAATCATTTCCTCTAAACACGATAAACACGTGTTCTTCTTTGATCAAGTTCAAAATTAAAATCAAGTCCCTCGAGTTTGATCGAAAAAAAGATGAAGGAATGGGAAATTCTTCACAGGCGTTCACAGAAATTCGTTTCAAGGTTTCTGCAAGAGAAAATTCGTTGAAAAATGTGGGGTCGGCTCGAGCCACGAGCTGTGCAAACAACGCGGATAATGCCTTCGTCCGGCTGGACGGCGATACTACATGTGTCCTATCGAGTTCTCTCTTTTATCGAAAACGATATACAGTCGGCTTACAAGCTTCCAGAAATTTCTTTGCCGCTCTTCGAGACAGCAGCTGTTTCCTAGCCGAGCGATCGTCGACCAGAAGATTCAACTTGACCAAAGTAAACTCTTTTTTCCTTGATTCGTTGATTCGTTGATTCGTTTTTCGTCGCATCGACTTGTATGCGTGGCTCGTCGTAGGTTCGGTTTTTGTTCGGAAATTGGCCCGCGTTTGCAGGAAAGCAAACACGTGATGGAAAGTCCGATTCTCTGGTTAATCGTGGATACGGCATGGAACAAATGGTAAAAAGACACGAACAATTGTCATTTCGTTAAACAGTTCCGCCACGTGCACCATCGGCAGCTGAATTTTTCATTTTACACCCGAGTCGCTCGCTTTCTATGTTGACTTTGACGTCGACTCCGTCAATTGTACGCGTCAACCGCGATTCTTGAACAACAGCTGCCGACGCAAACGCGTTCTTTTGCGTTCATTTCTTTCAGAAACACTTACCTACCTACGATGTCGTCGAGCGAACAGATCCCGCTTAATCTTTCACGACAGAATAAATATCGTTATCGTTATCAAAGTCACGGATCGCAGCAACAGCAACAGCAACAGCAACAGCAACAGCAACAGCAACAGCAACAGTAACGAGAACGAGAAACCCGAAGTGTCGCAACTCGAAAGTACAATAACAATGAGCAATACCAACACTAAAGTGTCTTAAAGAGAAATAAATCGGTAACGGGAACGTTCACGATAATAGTAATTCGTGGATAAACAAAATTTGATGCACCGACGAATCGTAACGCTGTAAAACTGAATACAAAGTCACTTTGATCGGCAATGAGCGAACACTTTAGTTATTTTTTTTATTTTCGTTTCCTCGTTTCGTTTTCTCTTTGTCTTCGTCTTCGTCTTGGCAACTTTATTTTTCTTTTTCTACGTATAGTGTACGCGTGCTGTCCGCTATCGACGGTATCCCAGAATAAAGAGAAAATCGATCGACCGACTCGCAGCCGCGATCGTAGGTAACCGCGCGTGTTAACCGCGGCGAGTTTCAGATTCGAAATAAATAAGCTCCAGGGAAAATCAGCCAGTTATAGAGGAGCGTCGCGAGCGCGGAACGCGACTACGACCGATTCGCTTCGGTTCGACTCGCCGCGAACTCGGTAGTCGCCTAGTCGGTCAAGCTTTTAGTGTATTCTGCTCGTTCGTTCCGACATAAAAACCTTTCTTCGTTCGATTAAACTCGACAATTTGATAATTCGACGCTCTTGACACTCGAGTCGACCGATTTTTCTCCCTGCCCTTCAACCTCCACCCTCCACCCTCCACCCTCCACCCCTTACCAGAAATTACTTTGTGCTCGCAGCAATTGTACAAAACCAGCGTTTAGACTTCTCGCGTTTTGTAATTTCGAATAATAGTGAGGGTTTGCTACTACTTTAATAACGAATAGTCGAAAAAATTCTACGTATACATATACGTATAGATTTGTAGAATGTCCGTTTCGGAGAAAATGTTGCTTGCGCGTACATGTACATGTAAACGGAAGTCGGCGGCAGAGCAACACCAGGTTTCTCGGTACGAATCGTCGATTATGGTGTTGATTTCAAGAATGCCTTCGTACAACCTGGCCTTGGACTGAAATTCGTTCCAGAACAGATCTCCGTGTCTGCTCGTCAGCGTATCGGATTGCTCAAGAGTGCAGGAAATGCGTCGAGACGACACCGGTAATCTTTCTTAATTCTGTTTCGCGGCAAGGCGGTCAATTACCGTACTGAACACGTGCAATGCATATTTTCCTACGCGAGAGCTTTTCGCGACGAACAAAGCTCGAATATCGTGGCCACGGTAGACAATTTTATCCTATTATTAATTATATCTATCACAACCAACTGTTTTAACCAAAGAAACCCGAATACATACATACATACATATGTACCTACCTATTCTGATTGTGAGTCACGTGCAACTACGTAAGTAAGACAAAACACACCGACCTGCCACTAAACAGCTTAACAGCGCTATCGTTACAATTTATCCACGAGCAATTTAGGTACGCGCATGGAAACATAGTATACGTACACCATATCTCTTAACTAGATTTCAGATCTTTTAACTGTTCACTGGCCATTAATCGTCAAACCTAACCCGCCTGGGAATGGAAGAAAGAATCTACCATCGAGGTTCTCTTCGCCGTTAGGGAAGGTCGTTGCAATTAAGTTTCCTACAGTTCGTCTTTATTGGTCGGAACAATGTCAAACGATATTAATTCAGAACAGCATGCTTCCTAGAGAAAACAGTGTCATGGTTGTCGAAAGACCTTCCTTGCATCGCGCATAACAATATTTCGTACATTTATTGGAACTCTGGTTTCGGAAAACCCGAAACGATTTCTTCCTCTCTTTTGTTATAATAACAAACTTGTTGTTGGAAACTTGTTGGAAAAATAATATTCTCTCTGATAAGAAACGATGGAAGACTGCCGTTGATACACGGATCAAGGAAATCGATCGATTCGAACATGGTTTTAGAAATGAATCCTTGTCTTAGCTCCGAGTGTATAGAAAAGTGAACCGTTTATCCGACATGATCGGCTGGTATACGTATACATATGTACTTTCTATTCGATTCATGGATTCTAGTTATATTATCCTTCCAAGTTCGCCAGAAAGAGAAACATTTTACGTGCATCGATCTAATTCAAGTTAGGATAATAGAGCTCAGGTTCTGGGATGGGATTAAGAAAGGCGACGGAGATGATTAACGCGATAAGGAAAACCGATAAAAAAAAGCGGTTTCTTCTAGTGGAATTATTTACATATCTGTCGTTGTAGTTGTCAAGTTATCGCGTGCGCTAAATACCAAAGGTCTTCATAACTTGATGATAAAGTTGGAAAACACGCGTCGGCGGGATGCGTTGTTATTAAATGTAACAAACGTCGCGTCGTTGCATCACGGTCGTATTCTGAAAAAGATCGCCGACTGAAAAACGACCCTACACACTCGTTACGAAAATATTATTTCTGCAGTTGCAACGATGCTTTTGCATTGTACAAACAATACCGTCGCATGCACAGCACAACACGCTATCTATCTTAAACACACACAATCTAGATATAATACATGCATCTGAGTGTTATTAGACCGAGAAACGTTTCGTCGAGTGTACGCATGCATGCATGCATACATACATACATACATACATACAATACTAACGTGCATCGTATGTACTACCTATACAAGATTTCTTAGTACAAGCGGGATATCCCACATCATGATTTCCTATAAAAAAAAAAACAAGCCTTGAATTGACGAGCGATCAATGAAATCATTACCTTCGATTAATTATGTTCGAAATGGAAAATACATTTTTTAACACCAAACAAACATTTAGTATATGTATACATATGTACATACATATACCTAAATCGCATAACAAGCTCACATAAATAAGTACACAATTGTGAATATTTGGACATTCTATTATATTCGTAAACAGTTGAATCGTATAAATGTGGCAAGAGGTAAGTACGATTTATTAATCGGTGGCTCAGGGCATTACGTACACGGACGAGGTACATATACATACATACGTACGTACGTACGTATGTATGTATGTATACGAGCCTGCGGTGAAATGTCTCTTTCGGGATAGCTATGTATTTTCTTCTATGAAATCAATCGAATCTTTAGTTTACCAAAAATATGCGTATGTTTGTTCCGAAAACGGCATGTGTATCATTTAATTAATGAACAACAAATTTGATCTTTTACAGTTTTCCAATTTCTATTCCCCTAACCTATATATGATATAAGCAAACTGTATTTGTTATATTGTTGTTTAATTAACCATGGGGAAAACATCAAAGGATAAACGAGATATATATTATCGTCGAGCGAAAGAAGAAGGTTGGAGGGCAAGGAGTGCATTTAAATTGCTTCAAATAGACGATGAATGTCGTATCTTTGACGGTATGTACATAGAAACAACAACAACAACAACAACAACAACTTATAGTAACAAGTCCAATTACAATGTTTTGTTCCTTTTACAATAGGGGTAAACAAAGCAGTAGATCTATGCGCAGCACCTGGTAGCTGGAGTCAGGTTTTGTCACGCAGGTTAAAGTACATATTCTTAATTTGCAAATTTCTACTAAATATCATACACGATAGATCCACCAGACATTTTAATTTGTCCAAATATTTCCAGTGAAAACTATAAAAAGGTTTCAAAGAGTGAAAACGCTAAACCTCCAAAAATAGTTGCTGTTGATTTGCAAGCTATGGCACCGTTAGAAGGAGTTATACAAATTCAAGGGGATATTACCAACACTAATACAGCGGAGCAAATTATTGCTCATTTCAACAACGAGCAGGCTGATTTGGTAGTTTGCGACGGTGCACCCGATGGTAAGGATAAATTGCGATACATTGTCTTTGTCGACGACGTTAATGCATCGGTTGTTTTTAGTAACGGGGCTCCACGATATGGATATTTACATTCAATCGCAACTGTTATTAGCCGCTTTAAACATCACCACTCACATACTTAGGAAAGGTGGCACGTTTGTGGCAAAAATATTTAGAGCAAAAGATGTTTCGCTGTTATATTCTCAATTAATCATATTTTTCCCTTACGTTTATTGTACAAAGCCTAGTAGTTCGCGAAATTCAAGTATAGAAGCGTTTGTGGTGTGTAAAGATTACTCGCCGCCTGAAGGCTACAAACCTCATATGTTGAATCCCCTCTTAACGCACAAATCATGCGATTTTACCGATCTTGCAGGAATTAATAGAGTTGTTGTTCCCTTTGTTGTCTGCGGTGATCTCGATCAGCCTGATTCCGACACTTGTTATCCTCTCGACGTAAGTAGTTATTTGCATCAAAAATTTTTCCCCAACAAACTCAAATTCTATGCTAGAAATTTTTACAGTACGACGGAAAGGAGTATAAATACCAAGCACCGGTGCAAATACCAATCGCGCCACCATACGAGGAGGCATTGTCTTTGCTAGGAAACAGAGACACCGATTTCAGAAAATCAGATGTTAGCGTGGTAATAGACAATCTAAACTCAATGTCTATCTCTGATTTTAAGAAGCAAGCAAAAGGAAAGCGTAAAAGAACGAATGACGGAAAATTAATGAATACAAATAATAATAATAATAATAATAATAATAATAATAATAAGAAGAAAAGTAACGGCGAGGATATGTCGGAACTTGCTGAATCAGTACCCACGGTGTTACCCAATAACGAAGACCATAATAATATGTAAAACTCAACGTATTGTATTGTATTGTATTGTATTGTATTGTATTGTAACGTAACGTTTAAATACTAAGAAATTAACATTCTATACGAAAACCAATTTTTTTTACCCCTCGTATTAAATCTCCGAAAATGTTTCACTACCAATTGCCATCGTTCAGTCTTTCCGTACGAATTTCGAATTTGGCCGCGTTTCAAAATAATATTTCTTTTATTGTTATCGATACAGCTATGTATACTCTTTCTACCTCACGACACATCGACTAAAATGAAATGGTAAACATTGAATCGTCAGTTGCGACGACCTCGTCGAAATATGTCGTCTGCCAAGGTATGTATTTACCAAAGAATTTTCTACATCCAGTTTTATGAATTTTATGCGACTTTTAGCATTATCCATTGTGAAAATTTTACAGAGAAACCGAACTTGTTGCGTCTGCAACAAGTTGTTTTGCTGCGCTCAGTGTTGCGAACGTCACGAGAAGAAGAAACATTCGAACCGGCAATTGAGCTGTCCGCTTTGCACGTCCCAGAAACTTCCGTTGCGACTGCTCGAGGATAAATTGTTACTTTGTCACGTAGCGATTGCTCATCTTCCTCTCTATTGTTGTTTGTGCGGTGAAATTTTCAAGCAGAGCAAGGATTTGGAATCATTCGGTAACTACATACATATGTATACGACACGCACGCGAATACGCCAATTTATAACCATTTTTAAATATTATTTTTTTACGGATAAAGGCACGTGCAAGTGGTGGAAGTCTCGGTATCGTTGTTCGTTGTTCGTCGACAAAAAGCCCGCACTGGGAATAGAATCGTCTATAACTAACTTGGACTCATTGACTTCGCCTCCGGAGCTCTATAGAAACACGAGTACGCCCATGGTCATCGGTCAAAAGAGCAATTTCGACTTAAAAACTCCAAACGTTCCGAACTTTTCTTTCAAGACACCGATGGCCAATTCCGCGTCATTGGACATACAAACTCGTAACGATTTTAAAGATAATTCAGAGAGCAACTACATAAGCTTCGCTACATTCGCGACTCCCGAGGAGACACCGTTTCGTTCGAGTTCGAGTTCGAGTCACGGGAACAAGGACAGTCTTCATAAAAGCAACTCCAGAAAGTTGGATACCATGGAGGAGCAGGAAATAATTCATTCAACCGATCGTCGCGTCGACAACAATGACGTCCAGGACATGGAATTGACCGGTATCGAAGGTGAGATGTTACCTGACTCCCAGAGTTTAGAAATGTGTGTTCAAACGGAGAAACGCTCGGATTCGTTGAAAAAAGTACGATTTTCCGACGAGTATGAGACTGTACCAGGACCTAGCACCAGGACCAGCAACGCTTTTAATGCTACGGAGAACACCGAGGAATACTTTGAAGTATGCGATACGTTGTCAGAAATGAACGAATCCCTGGAGAATTCGCGGATTAAGATTTACGAAGAGAACGTGAAAAATACGGAAAAAGAAAATTGCAGTCCACAATCATCGGCCGATTCTACCCGTGTAGTGATGATGGTGGTTATAGAGAACAACTCTACCTTTTCCACTTCTGACTTGATAGATTCCGGTTTAAGAAAGTTGGATCGTATCGCTTCCGAAGCCAATATCTCGACCAAGAGCCACAGTTCTCCTGGTTGTAGCAGCTCGATAACGACCGTGGATAGTAATTACACTGTATCGAGTCCTGACTGCTACTCGATCCCAAATCAAGGGAACAATTCTGCCCAGAGAAATTCAAACTTATCGTCAAACGTTAGCGAGAGTAGCGGCTCCAGTAGACTTTTCTCGATGGTCGCCAGTGTAGTGAGAACCGTCATGAAGAATCTGTCTGGTACGTACCTACCTAGTACATACCTACTTACATCATCATATCGTACTTTTTCGGAATAATCGGTAATACTGCTTGAGTAATTTTATCATTATTATCGACTTGAGTTTTATTCTCTCGTGTAGGATCTTTTTTAAAAGTTTAGTCGGTAAAATCTTTCGACTGTAGTCGAACTCCTTGTAAAGAAAAATACATATTTTCGTTTTTCGTACCTACTTGATCTACAGGAACAAGAACTACCAGAAACGTCGAGAGGGAACAAGTTTCTCAAAGAGAAGATATCGTTACAAGATCCTCGACCCCCGAAACATTGAACCCGATGTTGAACTTGGTATCGTCTCAATTACGAAGACCAGCGAAACGACCAAGAGATACTTTAGAGAGTGCACCCTCGCCGCAGAGGCAAATGGAATTTCATGTTCCTCAAGCCGAGTTTAGAAGTCCGGCTGCAAAGCGACACCACGGATGGTACAGAATCAAGGCACGAGAACCGATTATGAGGATGCGAAACAGTCAATTTACATCTCCGAGGGGTGTGTCTTCCGAGACTCAAATCTTTCGTCAGGGTTCGTTGTCTGTCGGTGACACCGTTCTCCCTCTTCCCTCTAGGGCACATCAATCCACGCAAACCGAATGATATTAATATTATACATACAGATGTATAGTATAGGACCTTTGGTTGTTCGCTTCGTATCTTTAACAAACAAATCAAAGGAACTCGACTTGTACAATGTTGAATTTAGATTTTTATAGTAATTTTATCGAGATCAATGCGCCATATTTAAACAAGTTTGATCAGTTTATACATAATGTTTATTTTGCTCGTATGATACTTGCTGCATGTTTATTGAAATCATTTTACTATACTTTATTTCTTTTACATCGTTTAATTAATTATTATTATTATTATTATTATAGATCGTTATTTGTATAATTAATATATCGTTAGGTGAATCGAAAATTGCTTGTCCCTGTTGTTAATAATAAAATAATGAAATAAAAGAAAAGTATTCCATGTTATTAATTTATTTAAAATACTCCTTCTACAGGGTTACTGTTTAGGTGTCGGGTCAATCGGAATTTTAGATTTTACAACTTACACATGTACTTGTGTATATCCTAACCTTTACTTGCCTTTACTACTGATTAAGGTTATGTTATTCAGTGTTTGAATATTTCAAATAAATTGTTACTATATTTCTTTATAAAAAAAAACTAAATGGTGCATTATATCTGTGTATGTTTCTTTGCTCCTTAAAACCATATAATTTTCTAAATCCATACAATTACTTTTTAATCGGCAAGAATTTTTGGAATAAAATTGTTTATCGAATTTTGTCGAGTTGAAGAACATGTCTTCGTGGAAGAAAGCAGCAAAAGCAACTCAAAAAACTCATCGGGAAAGACATCAACCGGAATCGCGTAAACATTTGGGTCTTCTAGAAAAGAAGAAAGACTACGTCTCTAGAGCTAGGGATTATCAAGAGAAGCAACAAACATTGAAGCTTTTGCGTAAACGTGCTCTGAATAAAAATCCAGATGAATTTTATTTTCATATGATCAATTCGAAAATTGAGAATGGCGTGCACAGGGAAAAGAGCAAAGACGATACTTGTACACCGAATCAGATACAGTTAATGGAAACTCAAGATGTTCGATACGTTGCTCACAAAAGAAACATAGAGGCAAAGAAAATAGACAAGCTACAAAGTCAATTGCATATGATAGATGCTGCCAACGAAACTGAAAATACACACATATTTTTCCTGGATAATACGGAACAAGTCAGAAACTTTGACATTGCCAAAAAACTGAATACTCATCCGGCATTAATATCTAGACGTACGAATAGACCAGAGCTGAGCAAATTAAAGAACATGAAATTACCAGAAGCAAACGAGGCTATTTTAAGTAAAATTGAACAGAGGAAACGCATGGCTTATAAAGAATTGCAGAAAAGGATCGACAGAGAGCATCGGTTGACCATTGTACAACAAAAATTAGAAATACAAAGAGCATTGAAAGATAAGAAAATTACCAAACCCAAATTAGTGTCCAAGGGTACCAAGAATTCTGCTCCTGTTTACAAATGGAAATTTGAGAGGAAGCGATGATTCGTTATTCATTCTGTATAAATTGTTTTTTTTTTTTAATAAATGTTATTTTCGAGGGAAAAAATTGTTGCATTTATATTGTTTAAATCCGCTACTTTGTACGTGTTATAGTGAAAATTTAATCTCGATCGGGAAAATACTTTGCGTATTAAGTATACCATTTTTGAAAGTATACCATTTTGTGGTCAATCAATATCTACGATCGTTGTAGATTCGCTTTCTGGTACCGTCAATACTTCCACATCTCGAGTCATACCTTCAGTGTTGGCTTTAGTTGTCATTGTTGTCGTCGTGATCGTAGTTATCGTCGTAATCTGACTGCTAGATAATGCCGACGTCATTTTCAGTGTTGTAGACGTCGCAAAAGATATTTCAGTTCCATTCGTTGTTTGTTTCGTTGCTATGCTAACGCAATCATAATTCATCTGCCAGTGTCGTTTTTTAGAGAGAACGTCTAATCGAAGGCAAACCGTAATGGACCTCGTAAAATTTCAAATTAGTTTAGTTGGAGGGAAAAAATGAAGGCGATTCGACTAGCGACTAAGATCGTTAATCGCGAATACAAAAAAATTTAATTAGAGATTATACTATATGTATGTATCGTACCTGGAAAACTGATTAAGCTCCAAAACGTTAACACAGGCGGATGAAAAAAAACATCCTGGTACATTAACGCAGAACTTGAACGGTTTATAATCTGTAAGAAAAAAAAATATGATTAAAAATTAATGACTTACTAACGGAAATGTTGAACAAAGCCGCGATAATATTACCCGTAACGCTTCTGATTTGTATACTGTTGGAATTCAACATCACGATGAAATTTAATCCATTCCTTTGATAAGCAACATTCACGCAAACTGTGTAAAATGGTATTAAGTTGAATAAATTTATAGTCGGGTGAACTTGAGCGATCAATAGAATAAAAGATTAACTCAAAGAACAAAAACTATTATTTATGAATTGTAATGTTACAGCTTTAAAAACTTGCGATTTTTTTCAGCTTTAGTACGTAAGATAATCACAGTCTGACAGCAGGAACACGAATAAATCATTGGACACGTACAATATTTCCGAAAGGTTGATATCGTTCTGTAGGTCAGGAGCTCTTTCGATATGGGAAAACCTAATAACATTGTACAAAATATGTTTTTTTATCCAACAAAATTATGAAATCAATGTTAAACGAAAGAAAAAATAAGGAAAACAAACTGTTTTCTGTGATAGCGCCGGACCATTGAAAGAATAAATGTAACCAAAACGAAATTAGGAAATTGCATATTCTAGAATTCATGCTTGGAATCTTGAAACGCACTTTTCTGTTAGATACACTGGTTGCGTGTCCGATGATTGCAGCGAACAGCATCGACGATTGGTGTTCGACTAAACAATACCGTCATATTTGTTCTCGGATCGGTGGTTACTGAACAGGATAGAAAATTACCGAGGTACATATACTGAAAAGGTAACTTTCTAATGTATTTGTTTATTCGTTTCTTCTTTTCTAAAAGGTATAACACATTTTTAAAAACATACAATTATCTAACACAATTTCTACAGAACGCCTGATCGAGTTATAAAAGATAATACAATTATAATACAGTGGTAGAAATCAATGCATGATTGTATTAATAAATCGGTCACGCTGGTAGTCATTAATCGAATCTCAGGTTCCCTTAAAAATCAAGTAAATCGTCGTCGTCGTCGTCGTCGTCGTCGTCATCGTCGTCGTAATCATAATTGTCTTCATCTTCGTCATCGTCAAGATCACCTGGCAAGAATTCTATTTGACCTAATCCGCCTCCGTCCTCCGGTTTTACCAGAGCTAAGCCATTAGAGCCGAATCTGATGCAGTCCAGCCCGACCTGAAAATATACGTATTGTTAATATATTATGTATTGAAAAACGAGTAAAATGAAACACTTGTCTCCAAGTAACACGTAAGATTTGAACAATTTACTTTAAACATGGTAGTCTCTCTGAACTTCCCCTCCATATTTATGCATAGATGAATGTTTCTACCTTGGAAATAAATGTTGTAAAACCTGACACAGGCTTTAACGATTGGTATTCGTGGTACTGGCACACACACAGGTCTCGGATTTTTCCCTAAATCATGAAATACTCGTCAAATAGATTTCATTACCGGATTGCTCTCTAATATTTCTATTATAGATTTCTCGATTTTCGAAACACGTTTAAAACGTACGTAGACATTGTATCGGTGAACCTACCGGACACAGTTCTGGTGTACAGTACTCTATCGTTCATAGAAATTTTCGCTGTGAAACTGAACTCATCCGGTTCGTAGGTCACGTTCACGCAAGCCTTTTGTTTCCAGCTATCGTATAAAATTTTTGAGCAACAGCTACAAACACCACCGCCACATTGGCACGGACCTTGTCTCGTCGCAATCACCTGGGTAGTTGTGTTCGATGTGGAATTGCTCGCTTCTTTTAATATCTTCTGTAATTCTATCAAATTTTTTGAATCGACGTCTTTCGATCTCGATGGCGACGGCGACGGCGACGGCGATTTATTTATCGAAGGTTTTGATATCCCTTCCGGACGACTGACCCCCCTCTGATTGGTCTTTTGAAATGTGTCTTGAATAAAAAGAAAACCGATAAAAAGCAACCAGACGGTATTCATTGTCTCTTGAGCTTAGCCAGTTAGGACATCTTCATCAGAGTGCTCCTTGCTAGACGATCAAAACTCGACTGGTCGGTTAACGGATATCTTCTTACACTGACCTCGTTTTAGAGGAGAAATTGAGGTTCTCGGTGAGAATCTCCGCTTATCCGCGTTTCGTTTTCTAGACAATCCACGTGGCATTTCGTTCAAAGAGAAGAAACGACAGGTACTGTGTCTGGTTGTGGCAGATTGAAAGTAAATTCATTTAATTAATTGATTGCTACCGGTGCGGCGGCGGTAATGCTATTTATTTCTTCGGATACAAACATTGTATAGTTTCATAGATGGAAATAATATAATAAATATGCATAATTGTAGAAAATTAAAATTGAGTAATCGTAATTGTATTCGATTCCCTTTTCTACGCGTATGGAGATTTTATTAAATAATTAATAATAATCGTAGCTCGAAAACAACGATCACAATTTGAGTTGTCCAATAAGCGCCTCCTCTTCGGGACTCAGCGTCGAAGTATAGTTTACGTAAATCTCAAGATCTTGTTGTTCAAAGTCCACCTCATCGTACTCTTCTGGTACGCTTGGTTCTGGTTTCGTTTGTAGAACAGCAACATCGGTATCGTTCCCAGGTTTCGACCATGAGATGCCATCGCTTCCCAATTGTACACAGTCGAAGTGCAAAATTAAGATCGGCGAACCGACGATTCGCGTCTCGAAGTCGATGCAAGTGTGTAACTTTTTCCCGATGGTGTATACGTCGAAGAAGCGGACGCAGAAGCTCATGAAAGGCACGTAAGGTATCGGGGCACACAACGGAGGCGGGTTTTTAACTGTAACGTTAATAGAGGAAACGAAAAAGAGGTCGTTCACGATGATGATCTACATATGTACATATAAGAATCAACGCGAGTTTTTCGAAACGTTAGTTACTTTCAAGTTACGTTTTATAAATAAAAAGCAAGCTTGTTAATGTACACGTTCTTCTCGTCGATAGTCAAACGAATAAAATACATTTCGTAAAACTTTACGTTTACCAAAGTACATCATCTTCGTTTGTTCATTTTCGTTTACTATTATTAATTTCAAATATTAAAGTGGAAACAATAGACGATCATCTAGTTTTAGGGATTTCTAAAATTAGGGGTTAATAGTGTAATCGAGTACCTACTTACTGGAAAAAGAATTGGTGTAGATTTCTCTCTCGTTCGTGATCAATGTCATTTTAATAGCCAATTCTAAGGGGTCGTAAGTGAATTTTGTACACACGCTACGATTAAAGTTGATCGCCGTTATATTAACGCCGGCACAGCAGGTACAGATGAGATTTTCGCAGTTGCATGACAAACCTCTGAATGCAATCTTGACAGTCAAAGGATCCCTGCCAGAATCCTCGAATTCTGCTTTCAGTCCAACTCCGGTTATCGGATCGTAATAGGAGGCATTGTATCGACGGATGTCTGCACGCGTTTCGAGACAAATAACTTGGACGTTATGCCGATAATCGATCAAAGTTTCTCTTATAAGTTTCTCTTCTAAATATTACACGTTACCTATATGATGTTTTCTACGATCAAACGTAGCGCTAGAAATGTTTTGTAGCGCGAAAAACAGCACAAAAACGATCAACAACTTGGCCAACATAATGTCTGACGAAGGAGAACGTCTGCCGTCGATCGGCTCTGCTCGAGTACTACTGAATTCCGGTTAAAGCGTTAAACTTCCACGATACCTCGATGCTTCTATGCTCATTAATTATGCATGAATGGTCGAGGGAAAGTAAGATGAAGATCCCTGCTTAACCACGATCGCCATTGCATGCTTGTACAATATTTCTTTTAAGCCTAACCAATTTTCAAGATTGTTAAACGTTTATGTCAGGGAATAATCTTCCTGTAAGTTGCAATGATGTGTATGTATGTATGATGAAAGAGTAGTAGTCGAGGAGCTGACAGAGGCGTAAAATGTAGATAGAATGCGTCGGGAGAACAAGATAATTCCGGGATCTGAAATTTATTAGAACCACGTGCTAACGCGCAGTTTATTGATGCGATAATAGAATAAATCATTAAATTATTTAACAACATTTGCAGTTTGAAGTTTCAACGAACGAGATATGTAAATTGTACCGAATGTTGTGAAATATTGTTACGATTACGATAAAAAACTATGAGAAAAACATTTGGGAGTGCGTGTATAACAGCGAGAAAATATTTATTGTAAAAGTAAGTGGTACGAAATCCACAAAAGTATTCGAATCATGTATCAGCTTGATATACTATGTAGATCATTTTGTTTCGTAATTTTTCTACAGCTCTTGTTTTTTCTAAGCAAGTTTCCCAATTTTACACAAATGATCGGATTTTCTCATAATTTTGTATATCTGTGAGGATAAAAACACGCGCAACCGCACAACCTCTCTGGAAATACTCATTTATTTCATTTCTTTAATTATAATTTAAACAAATAAATTAAATAAGTGTATGTATACATATACATATGTATGTATAAATATAAATATGTGCCTGTCTTAAATAACATTATACTAATGAAACATTTCGATATGGCTTGAGATCGCAAGCAATACTCGCGACTCGTTTGATCATTTTCGATCCACGTCTTTGTATTTATTTAAAACATTCTTTCTATACTTATCGACGATCAATCATATAATAAAGAAAGAGAAAAAGAGGAAGGATACAAGGAGGAAAACAAGTCATCATCAGTCTCCATATTTCTCAATCTGTAATAGCTAACAGCGTACCGTTGCTCGATAAAATCACTCAACGACCAAGAAGACCTTGTGCAATCGACCGATCGTTTAAAGGATTCGAAAAGCCTCGTTGCGTGAGTTTCAATTGGCCTACGACCGACATGCGAATAGACAAAAACGGTGTTCAAAGTCTCATAACTTTGCTTTGGCGACCGCTTCTCGAGTGCCTGTTTCTTGCCAGTAGTCCGGAAATACCGAGCCCGTAATCCGCGTCGTCATCGTCGTCGTCGTCGTCGTCGTCGTCGTCGTCGTCGTCGTCGTCGTCCTCAGCATTGTTTGCCTGATGATTTTTTTTTATCTTATTTTTCTTACCATCCTCTTTCTCATCGTACACCAGGGCACTGATCACAGCGTCCTCAGCGTCGTCGTCGTCGTCATCGTCATCGTCAACAAGGGCATCGACATCTTCGGTCTTCTCATCTTCGTCCTCGTCATTCTCGTGTTCTTTTTCACCTTCTTCGTCCTGATTGTTCTCTTCTCCTTCGTCGCTATCGTTCTCGTCATCGTCATCGGCTAAAATCTCTTCATCGTCATCGTCGTCGTCGTCGTCGTCGTCATCATCATCCAAATCAGTCCCTAATATATCATCGTCGTCTTTCACCGGTTTACTCAAAGGTTTTTTTTTATTCGTTTCATTTTCGATCGCGTTGATGCTGTTACTCGGGACGCTAGGCTTCTTCTTGTTCGCTTCCGACATCGTCAGTTTGTTCGTCGACGTTTTAGCAGGCTTCGTGTACGTAGATATTTTATTGGAAGCATCGGTGATGATTTCTTCGAGTCCGTTCGATGTCGCGTCTGTGACGGGAAACTCTTGGGCATCGGTGTTTAAAGACTGATTGTACTCGTTTTCCTCTTCGCTGTGGTTGGCCACACTGTTCTCAACCGTGGACACCTCTAGCGACTCCAATAGCGAGACAGACGTTGGTTTCGTCAGGATCGGAATCGTAAACTGAAGAAGTGGCGCGGCTGTGGTGAGCTTCGGTTTCTTCGTCGAGGATTCGTCGTCGCCCGTTATGATGTCCAGAAGAGCATCAAATCCAAGGACATCCTCGTCGTCGTCGTCGTCATCTTCGTCGTCCTCTTCGTCCGAAGAGTTTGGCACAGAGTTGGCTAACGGCGTGTCCCCTTCGTTGTCATCGTCCTCGTCAGAATCCAGACCAAAGAAATCGTCGTCGTCGTCCTCGTCTTCCGGGGTTTCTGCTTCAACGACCGGGAGCGGCTCCGGTGGACGCAACTTCAAACCGTCGGGACCAAATCTTGAGCAAACAATTTCCTTCGATAATAGCACGTGTACCAGTTACGAGAAATTTCATCGTTGGATTTTACATTACTTCACAGAAAAGAACTATAATATTTCAATACTAGAAATAATAGAAACGAATAAGTTACGTAATTTTTAATTATGTTTTATCTTAATGTTGTTTGAATTACAGTGGTTTTGTTTCTTGTGGTTCGTAAAGTAGCTAAAACGGAATGATTCGAAAACGATACTAGAATCTGTAGGCGTTACCTGAAACAGCTTACGCGTAAACTCGCTTCGAGTTCGGTCGAGGACTGTAGCTCCAGCCCGAGGCAGGCTTTAAAGTGGTTCTTTGCGTCGCGTTGAATCGAATAAATCCTGCCGCAGAATTTCGTAAAACCTCCTGGCAAAGGAACGCACACCGGCTTTGGATTCCTTCCTGAAAACCCCGTCGCATTTAATCTCTTATCTAGGAACCACACAAGTCCGAGTTTTTCGAAAACGCATTCCTTTCTGTTACCGTTTAATACACCTATCTATAATATGACTTTCACCTTGACGCGTGACCAATCCGGACGTGTATCTACATATGTAAATCCAACGGTACGAATCCTCGCCGTTATTAATATCTTATCTTTTTAAGCGATTCGACGCAGCTAGGAGAAATGTTAATTGCAATAACAATGCTTCGTTATTGCCCAAGTGGAATACAATCGTTAAAAAAAAAAAATACGTGTATTTTAAATGTTATTGTTCGATAACGATATATGTATAATTTATTTATAAACACTGTATTTACCGTTAACGATAGTGCTGGTCAAAATGTTGTCGCCAAAGCTCAGCTGCACTGCTAAATTGTCCTCCTGCAAATATTGCAACGACGCGCATCCTGGAACAAAGAATACAACCAATTTATTTAACTGTTTAAAATAAATTGTAATTTATTTTACGCGAATAACGCGTAAAGCAACGGAAGCATATTATGTTATTTAATTTTCTCAACGGTTGTAGGTACGTTCTGTTGCTTTCGATCAAGAGAAACAAAGATTGTGTACCTGGTCCCTGCAACTGCACCAGTGGTATGTGAAAGTCCCTGCAGCAATTGCATATGTTCTCGTTACAGGTACAATATCTGTTGACATTGTCGGTCGCTTGTTTCAGCGATAAAGTCGATACTCCGACGTTACTTTGCTCGAAATCATTAGCATCCTTGATCGTTTGTTCTACGACCCGATCGTGTTCTGTAAGCAATCACTGATGTAATCACCGATGCAATCACCATGTTCGAATACTCGAATTAATCGAGTTAAACTGTCGACTTACATAGATTATTATAAATCGAATTCTAACGGTGTTGAGAAAGTAAGGTAAACGATTCAAGGATCAGGGTGAATGGAAGAATCTTACCGATAACTCTGCCGTAAGCAGCAAACGCGACCAACAGCAAAATTAGCAACAGCTCGATCACCGCCGACAATCGCATCCTTTCGTTAGTTCTGAAACGCAATAGTTCAAGAATCCCACCTACATACATACATACATACATACATACATACATACATACGTATAACATCCGCTCCCCTATGTATTAATATCTAATAAGATACTGTACCTAAAATCTACAACAAGGAAACTAGTAGAAACTGTTCGGTAAATTGGTTTACCGAATTGTCAGTTGGTCCTTAAATGTTGGTCGTTTGATGAACAAGTGTAAAATCCATCGAGCAACAGGTAGGAAAAGTAACGGAACGCGTAGCGTGTCGCGCAGAGACACCGGATGCGGCAGAACTTGGCGAACAATACGAACCGTCACGTGATACGCTCGTTAACAATAACGCACGAAAGCGATGATTGTTCTGTGTAGCGAAGCAATCGTTTCGACCAGAGAACACACGGGGACAATAAGAATTTTTCACGCCGCGTCGCGTTGCGCCGGAATGGTTTCGAATGGCAGAGAGTCGTCGTACGATGCGCGGTACGGAACCTCTCGTCTCCTGTCTACCGTCTGCCGTCGTCTGCCGTCGACCGGTTGACCTAAATCCCGGTCACGGTCAAAGACGTTTCTCGAGATGTTCACCGTTCGACTGGTATATGTATACACCGTCGGTAATCGGCGATCGAAAAGGTATGCGATTGCGATTATACGTATGGTCATGCCGCGGAAACCGGTAGATCGGTACACCTTGGTATGTTCGTTCGAGCTATTTTTCCGACTCTGTCAGTGTCAGTATCAGTATCGATCAACATATTCGACGATATCGATATTTCTACAACTTTATGTTAAACTGTTCATCTGCCTAAAGAAAGAATAAGAATAAACGTTGCGTCTAGATAGAGTAGGTACGCTACACGGTGATTCGAACAATTGTAAATAGGTTACCTAGTTGTGCTTGTCGAAGAATCGAATTAAAGGAAACCGGTAAGTTGATAAGAAGGATTTCTATTCGCGGTATTGCATCGGCGATTTAAACGAAAATGTTGTCGGACAACAAGAAACTAACTAGCTGCGTTGGTAAACTAGTTTAAACTCACCTGTGCAACGGAGGAAGAAATTCCGGATAAAAATTTGATTAAAAGTCAGACGATTCTTCGGAAAATGCGTCCTCGTCTCTCTTTGTCGCACCCTTCGGCTCTTTTTTCCGACTCTTCGTCTTACGGAGGCCAATGTCTAACTGAAGATGCCGCCCAACTCCCCCCAAAGGTTTCTTTAAAAGTCGGTCAAGCCACCACCACCTACCTCGGTCAACGCTACGATTATTAAACACTCTAATACGTTCCAGGTAAATAAGGGAACGATTTCCCAGCAACAAGAATCGCTTGTCGAAACAGAGAACTTGAAACCTTACTCGTTTTCGTTGCTGCTTGCAAACCATTAACAGAACGAACAATTTCATAATAACAGTTTCGATCCAAGTTGCAAGATTTACAGTAACGTCGCGTTGCGTCGCGTCGCACGATCATTCGCCTCGTATGAAAATACATACATATATGTACCATATAGTATATACATATATACTTGGATGTATGTACATATGTATAGGTCTGTACAGCTACGAGCCTGTAAGATATTACAGGCGAAGAGAAGGAAAAGAAGAATCAGAGAGTCCTCCCGTTGTCGACCGTTCCCCTTTAATTAAGCGGTACCCAATTTATGGATAAAATATTGAGAAAAACAATTGTATAGTTTTATTAGGTTAATTCGTTTCTTTTTCTGTTATACACGTATGTACGTGTACATACTTTGACCTTGAAATAGATAACAGAGATGAATTTATCTTTTAAATAAATAATAATGGCAGAAACCAGAATCGCCTAGTTTTAATCACCAGTCCCACTTTCCGGCAATTTCACCCGCCATAACATTCTATCGTCCTAAGGTGCCCGCGATGCATCCACAATGACTGATTCTTCATTCATCGAACGTACAGCTCGCTTTTACATCTACGATACAATTCGCGTGGTGTTTTCACCGACCTTCAAACTAGTGTCCCGTATGCAATGTTCCAACCATATACATATGTATGCATATAACACACGAATAGAAACGATGGGATACGAATTAGATAGGTATATGTACCTATCGAGGCGCGAAGATTGATTCGTTTGCAAGCTAAAATACCCGAAATCTTTAGACAGAGCTGCGTTTCGGAGAGTACAGGAGAAGAAGAGGTCTTTCTTCGGTCAGTAGGTCGAAGAAAGTAGTGACCAAGAGTGGTTTACCTTGGTTAATACTTGTCCAACGGTATGGAGATTCCACGATGACGATCAGCCATGAAACGCTTACCTCGGAAATCGGTGTGTATTTTAAGATAACACGGACTCGAACATAAACTGTCTAAACTGCCCAACATGGGAAATTACCAAGATCTAGGTCAGGACGAGGAACGACGAGTTTTTACGTAACGTCAGGGGATAATCTGTCTTGGACGCCAAGCTCCGTGTCGAAATCAACAGTCAATCAAAAGCAGTTTACGTTCAAACAGGAAAAGACACGAAGAATCGGTCGAAGGATTTTAATAGATTGGTCTCGCTGCCGTGCCGCCGCCGCCGCCGCGTCGCCGCCTTTCTACTTTTCGCGCTCTTTTGTATCGTGAAAACAAAGAATCGAGAACGATGCTAGGGCAGATATTATTTCACGATGTTAATTATTGCCAACTAATACGTTTTGTCCAACATCGAACCGTAACCAGAATGGTTTTCTCTATCCAACCAAGCATACATTATTTTCCCTTCCCCTTTCGTTCGACGTTTTCCTTCCACGCACACGCGCGATCGGCCTCGAAAAAAGCGAAGGTACTTGATCAAGCGAAACGATGATAAAAACGATAAAACACCGATTTGACAAACTAATCGAAGGCAACGGGCGTCGTGTGTTGCCTGGTTGCATCGCATCGCATCGCATCGCATCGCATCGCATCGCATCGCATCGTCGATGTCGTGGTAAGCTGGCAGAATGGGAAAGAAAAATAAACTATCGGTACTCGGAAATAGTAAATAATAGCTGTCGCAAACGACGTATTGTTTAAAAAGGTATACATATACATGTACTAACGAGGCTCGGTGGGTTGAAATTAGGAAATCGGATTATTAAAATATATGTATACATACATATACGAGGTAAAAGTCTGATGACGAGATTACAAAGGATGTTCGCGCGAGGCTTCTGTTTCGTGAAAATGAAAAAGAAAAAGGAAAATGGAAATGGTCTGACGCCGTGTTCTAAACGGTAGCCATCGTCGTTGTAAAAGAAGAACGTCAGTTTGTTTTTTGTCGGGGCCCGTCGTCCGTGCGGCCAGACCAGCCGCAGATGGGACGGTCGCGCGTACTATGTACGCAAGTCCTCTCTTGGTACTAGGTTGCCAAAGGAGGTCACCCGGTCACCCAGATGAGGTTCCTTGCCCGTTGTTACCTCCGCACCTCGGCCAATGGCGTGGCACTTGATCGTCGCTGTGGCCAATCCTGTCGCCAGTTTTCGTGCCGACTGCCGACCGATCGCCGATCCGAGACCCACGGCCGGCTTTGCGCCCAGATTTAAGCTTCTTCCTTGTTAGACAGGATCTCCAGCCTCTTGAACGTTGTGTATCCTTTTGACAGTTCGCACGGTAACATCCACGCCGCGTTCCAACGGACTCTCTGCGAGGATTCTTGGTCCTTCAAGTAGGACTCTCGTTCGAAAATTACGGAAGCAAAACGATGGCCGCGAGGTCTACGATCCTGGTGTTGCTGACCACCGTCGTCGTCGCGGTGTCATCGGCTGGATTTCTTGGTGAGCGGATCAGTTACTCGCGCGGCTTTTTCTCAAAAATCCATCACACCCACCCCCCCACACACACACACACGCACACGCACACGCACACGCACACGCACACGCACACGCACACGCACACGCACACGCACGCTGAAAACTGTTTTCGAAGACGTTCTTCTCTGCGTGGATCGGATAAGTACCTATACTATCGGTAATAGCACAGTGCGATGACACGCGTTATAGCTAGCTCCTTATCTTTTTCCTCCAAGAACGGTGCAAACATTGAGTTTTTATGCCGAGCTTGATTATACATATGTACATATGTATACCGACAATTATCATCTCCCGCCTAGCTCGCGTTACCTCGCGTAATCCTTTTCATTTCATTGCCGTTCTGATGTTCTTTGCGTTAAAGAGATCTTCGATTTTCATTTAGAGACGTTAAAATAGCATTTTGAATAGCAGCACCTTGTCTCGGCAAAGCGTGAAAGAAAGTTTTCGACTCATCGACGCGACACACTTATCTCGTTCCAGCATTTACTTTGCTCGTTTGAGAATACGGACGAGTTCGCTTCGTTCAAAATGAAAATAGAATCGGTGTCAGTTTACCGAGAGAAAACTTGATAACGTCAATGGTAACTGGTCGATGGAGAGCACAACGATTTTTTTCATTGACTTTCGATCGACGACTTTCGTTTCGTTCTAATTTCTCTTGGCGAGTTTCTCTCGTACCTACGCCTTTTATTTTCTCTCGACAGAGACGCTGCTCTCATGGGACCTACCGGACGCCGTGGGGAGATCCTCGACACCGCAGTCCCAATGTTTGTGCCAGACCTCAAATTGTTTGTGCTGCGTCGATCTAAATCTAACGGCGACGATCGATTTGGGCGGTGCTGCTTGCATCAACGTCAAACAGAAGGATCAAAACGTTTCGTTGAATTTGAGCTACGGTGACAATCCTGTCCACAATGCCACTATAAAAATTGGTAAACGGTATAGCTGTCTACTTGCTCGTTCTGATAATCGAGGGCTCGTTCGTGGCTGCGGGTTGTGTCAACCGTTCGGTCCTATACGGTGAAAATTTAGTTTGAAAATTTCGATTACATATGTATAAACATCGTTACTATATCATACGTATATGGTAATGCATATAAATGTATTTAAAAAAGTTAAGCCGATCTTGAACTCACCGTTCGAAGACTTTACAAGCCCACCGAGGCTTTTAAACGTTCTTCCAATTATTGATTGAAATTGTCCACAGCCGACGCAGCGAACAAACCGACGTGCATGAATCTTCTGTCGGATCTAGCGCAGATATGCGCGAAATTTACCTCGATCAAACAAACCGATGCTGGTTACGATGGTTGTCTGGTAATAGAGCCTGCATTGCTGGGTACACCGCAAGCCACCTATCACATGGGATGCTTCAATTTCAATCAAGTCGTGCGGCAAATTCAAGTGTCTGCGTGAGTACGATTGCTAAAAACAGTATGCGAACACGACGTAGGTAGATTGCATCAGATAGATATGTATATGCCATTAAACCGGCTACGTTATTCATGTTGTAGATGACCGGGTTTCAACACGTTCGCATAAATTCCGCCTTATCGTAAAATCAAAGTTTAGGGATAGAGTGAGATTTATTTATCTGTTTAACTATGTGTTGATCTACATATATGATCTATGCTTTCGGTCGCATCTGTTTCCAAAACGTGTTAACAACAGCTGGTAAATGGTTTGCCGGAGAAAATGTCCACCGTTAATTCCTTTGACTAAAATTCTCTCACAGCATCACGGAAAGCACAGAGGCTACAGAGAGCACGGAGGAGGTGGAGGAGGAGGAGGAAACTCTAAACACCGAGGAACTGATAGCGGCGGTGACCGCGAGCGCGGAGCAGGGTATAGCTCTTTTCTCCCAGTGGCTGGGTCTCAACCTAAATCCGAAGCTGAACTTGACCAGCAAACACAACAACAATCAAGCAATCGATCAACGAGCCGTTGCGTCCACGACATCGAGATCGGCTCGCACTCACTGGGACCAAGAGGAGAAGAACGAGGAACGGTTCAAGCAATTACTTAGTGCTCAGGATAACGTTTTGAAGGGTTCGGCGACGATCGGTCGATCGATCGGGGCCGAAACGACTTTCGTTTACTCGAAACCACTGGACTTATTATCGGATAAAGATTCGGTCGAAAAAAGGCTCGACGAGTCCAAGATCGTTCCCCAACATCTGGTCGTGGTACCGAAAGAATCTAGGCGGGGTGGTAGGGCGTACAACATACATCAACACGTAAACGAGATTTAAGAGAGTTCGTTTTCTTTGAACGCGACAACCTCGAGCCAACATGAAAATCGAATATGTTCGTAGAGATTAGGGTATCGCACGTACACATTCTATTCCCATCGTCACTGAGTCGGATCTAACATCGTTGTGTCTCTCTTGTTTTACTACTACATACATACAATAGAGTTCGGACGCGATCAACCCGAATCGAATATTATGTCCCTTTCAGCTCCAGACAGAATGATCTCTCGTTATTGTGATCGTCTTTATTTTTTAATCTTCGTCTTGCTTACTTTGGTATATTACTACGTATTACCTTTTTCCGAATCTTTTTATTTCTTTAAATTCATCGAAACTGCATACTAAATATTCCGCAACGATCGTACGTGATTTATACATAGAAAAGAAGAGAGATAGGAAAGTGAAACACCGCCGATTCGGGAGGATGTGGTACGTGATTTCGCACGTTCGATTTCATTATGCGAACCATTTATTTCTTTCTGACCCCGCATAGTAAGTAGAAAATACAATAACATTTCCATTCGTGTGCATTAGACGAGTTGTGCTCACACACTCGCGATAGAAATATCAACGTTTTCGACAGACAAACAAAATTACCAATCGTGCCTGGGTATACATTACATGCACAAGTTTTGTCGATCACGGTATCACTGTTCGGAACATCGGACAGAATGAACTCGCTTCTCGAACGATCGATTCGAACGTTTTCTGATCGAGCAAGTCAAACAAGAAAACCTAATCACGTTCTCTGCGCTTCGATCGCTGACAACACTGCGGTCAAATTACAAATCAATTTTCCTAACCGTAATTGCGACATCCTCCTAACGAGAAAGAAATTAATAAATTCAACAAGAAACGATTCGGTCGCTTTGTTCGTCCCGTCCTTCTTTCTATCAATGTTGCACATTTGTCCAAGGATACGCGCACCATTATCAAATCGCAAATCGATCCACGCGCGTTCGTTTCGAAAAGAATAACCGTACTAATGCTAAGTAGCGCGATCTCGCTTCTTCCGTTCATTAACCAAGAGTGTCAGCATGTGCTGCCATAAATAAATAACTGACTGCTTTCTAATTTCAATAAACTAACCTCTACGATTCTCTTACAAAGGCTATCAATTACTACGTAAACCATAAAATAGCAAATCGGACGAACAATAATCCATTGGCGCACTTGGTACGAAACGAAAGAGAAAAGATCACGCTGTTTCCCATTATTCGCACGCATACTTATAATCGTTTTCGACACTGAAGCGGTTACTTTTTTTTTTCTTTTTTTTTCTTTTTTTTTTTACTTAATTAACATCGCATTGACCCTTGGAAGACACAGAAAGTTGCCATTAACTTTGTCCGCTATTTTGGTTCCCCGTTCGGAGGACGTAAATGTCAGAGTCTGCATTGAGGCTCGAAAATGAAAAAAAATCTCCATCTGGTATTAATTCCCTCATTAAAGTAACGATAAATGTCATTAAGGATTAATATCGTTGGAAAGGCGACATCTTAAGTCTAATTAATTATTGATAAATTGACCGGTTTCGTTGACTTTGATATCGTCTTAAAAATTCGATATAAGAAATATATAATTGTATGTATATACAATATCACCGCGCGCGCGCGCGCGCGTGCGTGCGTGTGTGTGTGTGTGTGTATGAGTCTGTGTCTGTGTCAATGTGCATTTTTTTTCTCATTTTTTTCGGATAAAATGAGAAAACGAGAGGATTGAAAACATTTCCTCGAAACGAAGTAGGTGGACTAGATGCTAATAACATTTCTCGCCTTAAAGTAAATGCGTTCCGCTCATTCGGTCAAAATATATATATGTATATGTATATATATATACGTATATGTATAGTTCTATAGATATGCGTCTTCTTCTTCCTGTTCGTTTCATTTGTCTTGTAGTAAAAATATTTTTTGGACTTCATCTTTGGGCAATCATCGTTAACACTATGCGTAGTTAAAAAATAATTTGATTCTTAATTGCGACAACATGGAGAACTTTGGGCATCCTGTTACGTGCGTCCTGTTTGATCAGGCCATTCAAATTGCAGTTTCGTCACAGGCATCGATATACATAGTATATGTAATTCGTTGATACACCCACGTGCATTTGATATATTCCGAGACTCGAGCAACATCCGTCGCAAATCGCACGTGATTCGCCAGTTCTCGCAACGATTCCGTTTTTATAAAAATAAATGATCGTATGTTAGTTACTAAATGAAAGGACGTCGATTCGTTTCTACTCCTGTTCTCGTCGATCGATTCAACATCAGGATCGCTTACAAAGCAGTTTGATTTTATCGAAGATAGTCAAAGACGCGAGTAAATTCGGAAAAAATAACACGAGAAAGAGTTACGAAAAGTAAAATTTTGAGGGAACTCTTCCAAGTAATGGTGATTTCAATGATTGATTATTACGAGAATGATTAAAAATTATCGATATACCATATGGTTCGAATAAAGTGTTAGAAATTGTTTTCTCAAAAACCAACCAAGTTTAATTAAATCTAAAAAAAGATAAATGTAAGATCCAGCAGCAGTGGTTGAAACAGTCGTCGAAAAATAATTTGCTAAGCGTGAAAATATTAGCTCGTATAGACTATTTAATTGGTTTCTAAAAAAAAACAGTTTCTAACAATTTATTTAACCCTACATGTATATACATATGTGTATCGGTACATCCGGTACATCGGGTACAACGTTATAAGAGTATTTTGGTTTGTTCATAGCTATCGCGCATGAAACATTCTTTCACGTTCGAGAATTGAATTTTTGCGATCGACTATGCCGCTGAAACGCAAGTATCCAAGTCTCTTATTCGATAGATAGTGTAACGGTAACTTTTTATCTCTCGGTTTCCACTTAAATGTTAAATTGTTTAACTTGCACTATGCTCGAATATTGTGTATTGCGTCGGCATCGAGACGAGTTACCATCGATATTTCTTATTTATAGTCCCGTCGTTTGACAAACGTGAAAAAAAAATGACTAAAACGCAAAATATAACCATCAATCTCGGTATCTCTTCAGATTTCAGTTTCGTGGAACACACGAAATTCTGTAATGCACGCGTAAGTACTAACGAAACGATTGTTAATTAGAAGCATCGTTCGAGACCGTACGATACGGTAAATCGATCAGCTTCTTGTTGGAGCGCAAAGCCGACGCATTCGTGCTCTTATTATTGCCAGCAATAATAAACGATATTAGTCGCAGGTGAGAAGCGATCTGCAAACTATAATATATGATATTGTCGTTGTGTAAGTGGAAAGTGTTGGTGTGTTGGCTAAGATCGATAACGGCTGAATACGGAGTGGAAACGTGACGGTTTTGCACGAATGTGGAACCAAGAGATCAAACTACTGTTGTTCGGTTCACTTGACTTGTTGACGCGGCACAGGAACCACGGGTGGTAAAGTCAAGGAATCTCTTTTCTTTTTGTTCACGCGACGCCCAACATGCAAAACGACGTCCCCAGCTTTCACTGACTTGAACTCGGCGATCGCCTCGGCATGCGTCATACCGTGAAGAGGTTTCGAATTTATCGATAAAATTTCGTCCCCTAAAAATACGTTTCGTTCGTTCTTTAATCGATAACAATCAACAATAAAACATTGCTCGAATCAATCGGTGGATCAAGATACTGCGAAATTTTTCCAATTCTCGAATACGAATCAAATACATATGTATAATGTACATATTTGTGGAAGAATGTTTTTCTCGAATATTGAACTAGATATTATAGAGCCTGAAATATTCAAGTATACTACGATTCTCCAATTATTTCGAGCAGCATATACACATCTAATGATATTCATAGAATATTGTATACATATGTATGTGGAGACTGTTGGTGCATTTTTATTTTTCCAACTTTTCAATTATCTATCTGTTGGTATGAATTTCGATCAACTACCGTATCAAAAATCAATACACGATGTGAATAAAAATAATTGTTTATTTTTACCTTCTTTGACGGTGCCAAGGTCAGCGGCCTGACCATTTGGAAAAACGGTTTTCACATAGATTCCCATGTTTCCGCGTGGACTGTCCGTGCCGCCAACGATACTGAAACCAAGTCCTTTATGCCCAGGACCCTTATAAAACCTGGCAGTCAATATCGTGAATGACGCGCCACCCTTCCCGGGCCTCGGTAGGGTGCAAAATTTCGACTCTTCACCCTCGCCAGCTTCGTCGATATCTTCGAGTTCGGAGTCGGTATTCAGTCCTTCGTCCGCATCCTGAATACCCTGCCGAGACACTCGTCGCGATGATGGCCCGATTATCAACGAGGATGGAGAAAATAGCGTTACCTTTTCTGTACTTACTTGCCAAGTCTTGAACCCGGAACCAGAGGAACTAGGGATATTGGCGACGCTTCTGCTGTTCATTCTTCTCGTTGTCTTCTTGCCAGGACTGTTCTCAGTCCCCAAACTGGACGGACCGTCCTCCTTGTTCGAGCAAACGGAGCCAGGTCCGTTCGAGTAACTCGAGCTCACCTGTCCCCCTACTTTGAAGTCCGTCACTCTCTTTCGGGGCGTCACCCTGGGTATGTGAATCTCCTCGAACGAAGGTTCCGATTGATTTCTACATTTCACATTCTTCTGGAAGTGGACATTTTCATAGGAATGATGATCTCTCGTCTCGGAATTGCTTCGCGCCAAATGTCTGTCCGAATGTGTACTGCCGACGGACGATGTAATCTCGGACCTGTAACCCCGTTGAAAACGCACGTTCTCGTACGAATGGTCGTGGTCGTGGTCGTGGTCGTGGTCGTGGTCGTGATCGTGGTCGTGGTCGTGATCATGATCGTGGTGCTGATGCTGATGCTGATGCTGATGGTGGTGGTGGCGATGATGTCTGCCGGTGTCACGATTCTCGGAATTACTACGCTGCAACGCGGCCCTGGATCGCGGGCAACAGCCCGGCGACGATCCGCTCGCGTACACCACGTTCTCGTAGACGTCTTTCTGACCTGGATCGTGATTAAGAATCGAGGTATCGTACGCGAAGGTCTTTTTGTCGCCGTTTGCCAACGGACTCGTACAATTCGGGGTATTCGGTACGCTACCCTCCACCAGAGTTTCGAGGTTCTCATGGAACGGATAAGGCGGAAGAGACGTCGGTTCGCTGGAATCGTAGCACTCGTTGTCCAAGTTCTGACTGGACGACGGGGTCAACGGACTTGGCACGTAGAAATTAGACGCGGTATCTTTCGACGAAAACACCTCCGTTACGCTCAAGGCTTTCCTCTTTCGGATTCCGGCGTTTATTTTGCTGAATTTGCTTCGCAGAACATGTTGAATGTCGGCGATACCCTTGTTCGTGCCTGGAAATATCGAATCGATTAACCGAATTAAAATTAAATTTCGCGTCTCGTTCGATATTACATCACTCTCTCTCTCTCTCTCTCTCTCTCTCTCTTTCTCTCTCTCTCTCTCTCTCTCTCTCTGTCTCTCACCCGGCAGCCTCAGGGAGCTAGTCTGTAACAGTTTCTTCGGCGAATTATCATCTTGAAGACTCTTCGCAGCCGGGGATGACTCTCTGCTAGCCGGGCTGGATCTAACCGATTGAATTACTCCCTGAGTCGTTCCGCTTTCTATCAAAGCTTCCTGTGGTTCCGAGGTTTCTTGCACGGAACATCTTCTCCTCAGTTTTCTCCATCGTTGACTGATACTTTTGTTCCATAGATTCAAGTCTGCAAGATAGAAAAGCAAACAATTTTCTTACGACTGACGGGTCACGGCGGTATCGTATTTAAAAGTAAAACTGAAAATCACTGATTGCGAATCGTCGTGAATCGTAACGACAGGAAACGCGCTCGGATAAGTGGCGCCACGCGATTTCTTACACCACCACCGCCACCACAACATACATACACATACATACTAGGCTGTTTCTAAGGCTGTGCTAAAAAGAAACGTGTTATCGTGGTAATTGGGTGATATCGAACGGAAGGATCGTAACGCGTTGCTGGTAAACGATATCACGTAAATCGAATTTCGAAAAAATTTATCGTGCGAAATTACAATTCAATATAGTCTCCATGTTGTCTTTGAAGGATCCACGTGGCCGTGAAAAACGACGATTCTTTCTGCTCTTTCTGGCAGCCCGCTTCCCTGGGAGGGTCGCGCCCTTTCGACTTCTTCTTCCTCCTCTTTGTTGGGTAGGTTGGACGACCTTGACGAAATGACGCGCATAACCAGCTCGACGATTTTCTCAGCGGTGCGACGGAGGAAAGACGACAGCGATCGTGTCATGAATTATTAATAAAAATCGATGAGAATCGCGACCACGGGGTCGCTGAATTAACGCGTAACGTTCATTCGGATAATCGTATTCGCAATTGGAATTGCGCGTTGTTTTTGCCACGTTGAGAACGAGACCGTTCCGCGGCAAGGCATCCTGGGAAAGGTGTCGTATCACGGTCACAACGAGAACAATTGCAGCGAAATAGCGTCGACGACGACGACAACGTCGTTGCCCTCGACGATTGTTGGAAACACACTGGGGCGTCGGTAACGACTTGGTTCGCCATTATCCGTAGTTACAGTCATCTTGCAAAATGCACTTTCACTTTTGGTCGTATCTCCGGATGCACCCGGCGCGCGGCGGTTCGCCGCGGGGTCGCTGCATTACGTTTCACTGCGATCGCTGATCGCCGATCGCCGCGCCACGACGCGTTACGACGCGCCACGACACGACACGACGCGCCGCGCCGAACGGCGTCGCGCTCCGCGTCGGGACTATTTTTTTAATTTATAAACCTTATATGTACTTGCAATTATTCGATAGTTTTTTTAAAATCTCACCATCCGCGTGTGCAACTTACAACGATCACATTAAAAAAGTATCAACGTTTAAAGGTATCCATCGAAACGTTGGTCCAACTTGTTTCGATGTTCCATATCTTATTCGTATGTATAGCGTGCTGGATTTAGCAAAGTTAAATATGCCTTGGGGTACCTCTGGCTGTCGCTTTATCGGAATTCAAGTTTCTTGTTCGTTTTCGACAAGTCGTTCCATTCGTTCGAATAACGGGAGTCACGGTTCATCGTCGGTCTCATTGTTGTGGAATAGCAACCAGAGCGAATCGTGCGAGACCGAACTATTCGATGTAGAAACACTTCCTCCGGCATGACGTTAATTAAAATTTGCCAGCATCGGCGGCGAGCTTGATGCAAATCAGTATCGATTGCACGGAAAACCGGGATTTTACCTTGAACAGGTCGACCGATGCAGTCGATCAAGGACAGTCCGCTGCCGTCGCGTAATTCCGTTTATACGTGTCCGATTTATCCGCTGTTTGGCCAGTCTCGATGTGTTTTCTATTTCTCTTCAGAGCATGAACTTGGACAGTTTGTACTCGTCCGGATGTAAAAGCATTTGCAGCTCTAATCGAAGCAGTTCACCGTAAAAGTAGAAGAATCCGAGAATGTACGCCAGCATTATCGACTCCGAAATCGATTTCAAAAGAAATTTTAAAAATAACGCTACGAGAGGACGAAAATTCGAGCGGGAAAATTCGAACGCGGCGTTTCCACCGATATTTCGAAAACTACGGAGTCCACACTGTACGCGGTCTCAACATGAACTGAAAGACTGGAGGTTTACGGTTGGCCGTGTGCGTAAGGCATTACGTGCGTGCGCGGTTCCGTACCTGTGCATACAGGGTGGCGTACGAGTAAGCATCGTGCCCCGCACAGACCCCATTCCACCAAAACACTTTCATCGTTACAAATGCCTGGCATAGCTATGAAACGACAAATTACCGTTGTTGCGATGCAAAATTACACGGTTCAAGAACCACTCCGTGGACACTTACCAAGTGTCGGTTGGTTAACATTTACAGACTAAATCAACGAAATCCACAACTATTTTATTTCATTTATTACTTCACCGAGACCGGATACTAGTCACTAAACGTGTGCACCGTAATCGAACGTTTAAACCAAGTTTCGATTTTTCTTTTTGACACACCGTGTATGCCACCGTGGTAGACCGATTGTGGGAACCCTTCGTCGCGTGTTTGTGAACATTCTCTCTCGAGCGCGCGCGCATACATGAGGCTAAGGACGCGTGCTTCTCTCTCTCTCTCTCTCTCTCTCTCTCTCTTTCTTTCTTTCTTTCTGTGTGTGTGTGTACCTATTAATGTGCATCACGGCTGCATGCACACCCTACATGCAATTCTACTCGTGCGCCTCATGGTCAGGGCGGGACGCATTATTTTCTGCAATAATGCGAATAAGTGCGTTCTTTGTGGGAATTATGCACGAAAGTGGACACTCGTGCGGCCGTGGAGCCAACATTTTCTACTCGCTTTGCTGAATGAACAGAGCAAAAGCGAGGGAGAGAAAAAAGTTCAACAAGTTGGTTTTTATTGCATACATATATCGTCAGCTCGATCGGGACAATGAATTAAAAGGGAATTGTTACTCACGATCGATTTCATCTATGCGCATTCATTTCTTTTGAGTTAAAGACAAAATACCCGCACGCTTATACTATACAGGATGTTGGAAATTTTCGGAATTTCTGACCTACGTTAACAGTATTCTCTAACAGCCTTGCAATTAGCGAAGGAACCTTATCAGCGCGGCGGTACTGCGGATAAATCATCGTCCTACATATGTACCTTTCCCACGATTTAAGAAGCCCTTAACGGTATTTCTCCTACCAGTAGGTACTTTAAGCACTATCCACTTTTCGAACAATGCGCGTTTCATTTTTTATCGTGGCGAACGGTAAACGTTGATTTTCGGGTATTCGCGAGATTACGTTGTGCAAAATATGTATGTATCTATCTACGTCCGTCGTTTCTATTTCACCTAGATTACATCGAGAACTTGCGACCTGTATCCATATACAATATGTATGTATACATAGTTCACAATTCGCGTTGGGTATTTAGAAAGGAAAATTTTTCTAAATTCGGTAGACAAATCGACTACTAGTGGGCAACGATGGATGATATAAACGTCTGACAACAATGACGCACACGGGAGACGACAACAGCACCAGTAGCGCGCGGTTTCGCATACAGAATCGATCGACGAGGCGCGGTGTTTATGCAATAAACAAATCAGTTTACATAATAAGCACAAACGGTTGTTATATTTGACTCTGATTTAAACAAACTACCAGACTTTGATTTTTTCATTTATTTCCTTTAACTGGAAAACAGTCCTGATTCGAAATTATTCGTTATTATAGAGAAACATGCAAAAGCAACGTGTTCGTTTCGAATTTTCGAATAAAGTGTTAACGAGGTGTATCCACGATATGAAAATGCACGAGTGGCGTGATTGTCACGTAACGATTGTTCGTGGAATAAAAAACAGAGCAGATCGTGCATAGCAACAAAGAAACAGGATGCGTAACTCTTTTAATATGTACTTTTACTACGAACCTATTACTTTTTTAAGAGTTTCACGCAGCATGGTAATTTCAAGCAACGTAATTTCTACACGCCTATGGACGACAATAGAAACGATTTAGAGACACGTAGTGACATAAGTACGTAGGTATACGTGGAACTGCAAAGAAAGGAAGTTGTGTGTTGCGAGTTGTGAGTTGTGAGATGTGCGTTGCGTGTTGCGTGTAAGTACGGTGTGCAGCACGTGCGCGCAACACATACGAAAACGTGGGTGAGAATAGAGAAACGTTGGATGACTAACTGACACACGTTGTTTGTGAGGTCAAACCGAGAGAATGCTTCTTCTATTGCTCGTTGTGTCTTTAGAGCTAGTAAGATTACTGGCTAAGATCACCGTGTAAACGGGTCGTTCGATTCAATTAATCGTAACGTTAATTCCTATTTAAACCTTCGCGGCCGTATACACGTAAGTACATATGTAGTAAGTACATATGTACATCCAATGCATATCGGTAGCGTTTCATTTGGGAAATAGAATCCTGTTTAAAATTTAATATTTTGACACAATATTGACACAAACTTGATCACTTTTCTCACTGTGCGTCATCTCGCTTCGACCCGGAGCCGATAACTTTTCTTTTAGGCAGCAACAATGATCTTTATTCGGTCACAGATAAAACGATCGAGTAAATATTGCAGAAATAAATCAAGTCACGGGCCATTGTACGAGCGAGATATGCTTTGTCTTCGTTTCAATCGTGCGGTAGATAGTTTTGTCAACGGTGTGAACAGTTTGAAACGTGTTCGCGAAATAATCAGCTAACTGTATGCAAACAATGGCCGAGGCCACACGGTACGCATCGTTAACTTCAATTATGCAAGGAGTTCTCAACTTGAGGTTGTTGCCGCGATTACACACGGTCGATTTACAAATAATACCAATATGGGAACCTTGAAATTATTACGAATACAACTTCCTTCGCTTTCATATACGATTTATACGAATTGGTTCTACTCGTTTCGGTATGTTTGGGAAATGTAGCGATTTTACTTTAGACATCGACCGTGGGGGACTGGCGGTAATTCGATGTTGCTCTATGCCGTTTATTCTCTCTCACTCACTGCTTGGCCTATTTAATTTTCTCGCTGGGAATGTACACCGGGGGAAAAAGAGCTGTCACGAGAGCTAACGGCACGCATATGGCGCCACAGGCTTTCCATCGATGAAACGACACTGATGACACGTTACATTTTTACCTAATGGGAGTGGCACGTGCCGTCCCACCAATCGAAACACTATAGTATATGTATAACTCGCAAGAGATTCTTGCTTCCCGGTTTACATATCCGACGAGACGATTAGATAAACGGTATAGACTTGAACATCGCTTTCAATTTCAACCAATTGTATTTTCTTTTCACAGCTTTCGCGTTGACGATCTCTCCAGTCTCTCAAATACGCGCATACATTTGTATACACACGTATTCGATACTTTCAAGCAATTAGTAATTATTTTTTTTTTTTACATTATTACGAATTTGAGAGACTGTCGAAGCACAACCAACGAAAATGTAAATCGTTTGTCATGCGACGATGACCTTTGCAACCTAGTTAGAATTCCGGAGCGGAACCAGAGGCGCGTGCGTGCATGTCGTTTTAAAAAATGCACAAATTATGTGCGGGCTCGCGATGCGTGACGTAAATGTCTGCGAATACCTTGTTCTCTCTTTATTATCTCTCTCGAATTATCGCAGTTTTTGCAATCGAGCAAGTTCTCGTTAGGCGGTTAACCGTTAAAATGGTCGATGCCATTGCGCGGCATTTCGAGGCATTTCCCAAGTGTTGTCGAAAAAGAAACAAATAATAAGAACGTGCTGCGGCGTGTTGTGTATGCATATCCGAGGCACAATGCGTACGCAATAGGTACTGAACGGTCATGCTCGCCGGTGTCAACGTTCGCTAACTAAAGAATAGTATCATTCGACAGGAAGTACTATCTTTATACACCGAATTTCAATCAGCCCTCGCTCTCGACCGGTCGTTTGCGGTTCGTATCCGGTCAATGAGCGATCGAACAATTCCGATAGAAACACGCCGAGCCACGGCGTTGCTTACCAACCACCAATCGTCTGTCTTACGAACTGGAAAATGAATAACGGTGCGTGCGGAGGAACGCGGCACAACTTTCTTTTCGATTTAACATTAACTGCTCTGGCTTTTGCAAAACTTTGCTTTCGTTGATAGAAATGAAATTTTCTTTATAGCTAGCTATTTAAATCGGTATGTACTTAATCAGCGATAAGAATAAGAAAATTTAGAAAAGTGTACAAAGTGTACACTTTTAAATTGATTAACATCTTTAAACTGTAAAGAACGATCGTACGTAAAATATGATATCGTCATAGAATCATACTGGATACACTTGAGACGTTGAATTCCGAAAACTGACCAAAGGATCTTCAACATACAATCTTTCTGCTAAAAGTTTTTCTTTCGCTTATTCGCGAGGAGAGAAACGCGAAGCATAAAGCAACCAGCCGGAATCGTTCGATCGATTAACTTGACATTATCGCGCACGGTGCATGTATAAATAGCATATAGAAATGATGAACGGAGAGGGTTACTATTATCGCGAAAGCTCGAAGAAAAGTCAACGATTTCTCTGAAAACCCGCCGACCGACTCTTGGCACGTGCGATACCACCGCGGATCGATCGTTCCATAAAGTCCGAACTCGAAACAAAGTCCTACCATGAAAACCTAAATCGTCCTTGTTCCGTCCAAAACTATATCAATAAGTCCCACGCCTTCACGTTTCCAAGTTGCCCGTGAAAAAGTGTTTCGTTGAAAATAATATGTACATATGTACTACAATATATCGCGATGCCACGAGCTGAACGCGCATCGACGCAGACGCGCGTACAGTTTCAGTACTCATAATTAAGTGCATAACGAGGCTTGTTTACACCGAGTCGGGTCCTCGTAATCTCCAGAGCCGCTTAGTCTGCTCTTTTAATCGGACTCTTCTTAGAATGGAATTTATGGCACGCCCATGGTGCAGAATAGCACAACAATGCATCTTCGTGATGGACAACCTTTGATGGAATCTCCGTCCAACGACCAACTCGAATTTACGACGAATTAATGTATCGGGAAAAATAATTATAATATCGTATTCTCCAGATAAATTAGACAACGTCGAGTGAGATGATGTATTCTGTCTCAACCTATTTAACCCAATATGTATACATATTTTACATTCACTTCTATTCAACGATCGAGGAAGAAAAAATGGTACGAGCGCCGTGCGCAAGTTTCGTTCACACTGGGTTCTGTGAAACGAGTAAACTGAGTCGGAGTGATAATGTCAGGCATTTACCACGCGATCGCCACGGCTTACTCACCTTTACGACCGCGTGCCGCCGTTTCTAATAAATGTCTTTTCGTGGCAAGAACGACGTACAGACGAAAACGATACAACGTGGAACGATGCCCCGAACACCAGAAATAATACCACGTCTTTCTTTTTTCTCGAAGAAAACGATCGAAAAATGTTAATTCACGATCACGGTATCAAGCTCCGACTAGTAACGACGACCTTGTGAAATTTCACTTTCCGAGCGAGGAAAGATTAACTGAATTAACAATTGTATGGATATCGCGCTGCTGCTACCGTGATTCCCTTATCCAAGAAAAAATATCTCTCACCTTTGTTATCACAGACGTCGCAAAGCACCATCTCTGGCAAGATGTACCGACTCGCGTGTGCATCCGATCGCGTGATCACGCCTGCACTGGAGACACTTTGCTCTTTCGAGCGGAGGACGCCGCGTCGCCGCGCCGCCGCGCCGCCGCGCCACGCCGCTCGACAATGAGTCCAAGAGGAAGACGTCGAGGATGAACGCCACGTCGTGTGCGTATCGACCGAGTTTGATAATGCGCCGCGTCGTCACCGCGTGCTCAAGCAAAACAGAATCGGGGAAAGGCTTTAGTAAAAAAGAGTCGAGAAAAGAAATTTCGACACACGCGGAAGATAATCGGGACGCGACGCAAAACCGAAACAAGAAACAAAAATGGATCGAGAAGGCAAGATGAACGAGGAAGAAGAATCGATCGACGCGGGCGGAACGGCCGATTTTTCGACCGTCTTGAAAACTGTTAACTGTTTGACAGCTAGATTTGCACTGAAGAGCAACATCGGCGGCCCATACCGCCGAGTCCATACGTAGACGATGGGTCTGCGGGCTGATGGAGAGGCGAGGGGAACTCGACGTGTTATTGTACGCGGGCTATGGGCCACCATGGAGGGGCAGGAAGGCCGCCAGATCAATATTAGGGCGTAGACTCAAGGGCAAGGGCCGTTACTGCCTCTCTACACCACCACCATCGCCGCCACCACCTCCGCCCCCGCCTCTGCCACCGCCTCCGCCACCACCAACGAGGGAAACCATTGATAGTTTTTGCGCATACATCGTAGGTCACCGTTCCGTTGCCCGATGCACCACCGATCGATCAATCGTCCGTGGAATTCTTATCGAATCCCGGGGCTATAGTGTATCGTAATTGTCTGCGATTTGCCGGTCGGTAATCGCCAAGAGTAATTTTTCTAGTCTTCGGACGACACAACATTCGCAGTATTCGTGGTCGTTGACTTTCACACTTTACGCATTGCGTTCCGTTCGTTTGTCGAACGGTCGCACGAGATTTTCGAAATCCCGAACCAATTCGAAACACAAAAATCGAGGAAAACAGACGGACGGTTCCCCTCGCACGAGTCGAAAAGAGTCGATGTTTCATAAATATTTAACGATCCTTGCGTTCTCCATAATCGTGACGCAAGATGGAATGTACGCAATACCCGTTCAACGATTAACACAACATTTTGCGTAATCGTTATTCCGAATCGTAGCCTTTACAAATCGAATGCAGGCAAAAGTTACCGCGTCGATGCGCAACCAGACTTGCCCGCAAAAACCAGCCCGAGAAGATAATCAAACCGAAAACGCATCGTTAAACGTCTCATAAACACTATCGATAAATATTAGGTGACGATTTACGGATTCTAATGCGTTAAATTACGCACATGTTATTAGATACAATGTTATCGACGACGTAGCTAGAAAAAGATTTTTACGTGAAATTGTTCGTAGAGGTGTTTCAACGCGGGTAAACGCATTTCCGATACGTGGCATACGCGTAAGCAGAGATAGAGTACATCTACACGATAAGAGATAAACCATAGATAAGAATTGTTAGGTTTGTATAGGTGTGTGTAAAATATGAAAAACCCAGCGTATCTATTTCTCTGGTTAAATACATTGAAAGGGACATACTATATGTATGTATGTATGTATGTATGTATGTATGTACCTACGTTAGGGACACGCAGCAGCAACAGAAATGAGAGAGGGAGCTTAAAAAAACCGCTAAAAATAGGGGTACTTTAGGGCAGGGGATTAATGGTGAGGACGCGACGCGACGGTCGTAATATTAAATACTTGGTAAAACGAGGCTAAACCAATCTACCGGTTGCATGCGCAACGCGGCCATTTAACCACCCAACCATCTACCCGTAGTATTCCGTGTTGTGAATCGTTTAAAGAAATTTCAATAGATCTCGCTTCTAAGAGCATCCAACAACTATCATCGTTTCTCGAACGAACCTTGTCTCGCTCACCTTTTTTCTGATCCTCGCTATCGGAATGAAGTTCAACGTCGTGTAATCTCATAGATTGCACGAATCCCCTCCAGTGACTCCTCAATCTTCCTCTCTGGTTGAAATCGAATTTCAGATCGGCCAGTTGTTTGTCAGACTCCTTCAACAACCCATTTAGTATATCCGGTCTATCGAGCTCCCTGGTTTTTGACTTGAAATCGTTCCTTGCCCTCCCTGAATTCGAGTACAAGTCCCGATCGAGCGTCGTCTCAACCTCACGTTGAACAATTTTCGAGTTTTCTTCGATGCTATCGTTTCCATTGATCGTTTCCATATTATCGCCAACAGCTCTACTATTCCCGTCACCGTTAAATTTCTTTTTCCATTCCTTTCTCTTTCGCGTCGGAGGACGTGGGTGTACTTGTTCCAAGTGCCTTTTTTCTTTTTCCGATTCTTCGAGATCCCGAAGAACTTGGATGGTTTTTTGCGACGATGATTTGCTCGACGTCTTGGTGCTGTTCGTTTCTTTGGCCGGTTGTTTGTTCGAGACGACGTTCCTCGGATTGTTATAACGATCCTTCGGTGACTCTCGGTTGCTCCGAGATGCCTCCAATAGCTTTTGAGCCAGCAATCTCGTTTTGTTCGTTTCCGTTCCCGATCTTTTCTCTTGTTTATCAGACTCGTTCCTTCTTCCGATCCTCTTCTCGTTGGTGCATTTCATCACCGTCCGCGGACAATTCTCGGACGTTTGAAACATCTGTTGTATCTTAAATATATCCGATCGAATTTTCGCCGAACTCGACAGCTCGGCCTTTTTGTTTGCTATCAAAGGCATTGGTTCGGTCTTTGTCGCGGTCCTGGGACACCTCCGAGCGGGTGGAGTGTTTCTTAATCTCTCCAAATCCTTCAAATCGGCCAGCATGGAGCTCGCCATCCTTCCAGACTTGCTGGAACTGTCGATGGCGATGGTTCTCGGTCGATCTCGGTCCGTTCGGCCGATTTTCTCCATCGGTATCAAGGTAGAATCGACGAAAACCGTGTCCCGTATCTGACTGATATTTCGTAGCCTGGGCGCACCGACCTTCATACCAGTGGTCCTCATCATTACCTTCTCTACGGACTCGATGTCCCTTTCACGGCCCAAGCGTCTTTCTTCGATCAATTTGGCACGATGAACGTCGATTGCTGACACAAACGGCCCATGATACACCGGGCTGTTAATAGAGGAACCCCCCGGCCGCGAATTCAACGCAGAATTGTTTGGCCTGCTGGTTCGAAGCGGCGATATCCTGACCAGCCGGGGCGCATCGCGCGGATCATCCGTCTGCAAACTCCCTCTGTACACCATTTTTCTTTCTATCGGTTACCGGATTCCACGCTCTTTACGTTCATTCGAAAATCATCTTGGTTCGCGAGTCTCCGGTCTGAAAAATAATCATTACAATCTATTAGTGGAAGCATGTGGACTGTGTGCCTGCGACTAACATGTATGTATGTATCTCGTTTAAAGGCATATTTAAAGTATTATTTAAGCACGGAGATGATCGCCTTCCGTATCCCCTTCCAACGAAAAGAGAAAGAGAGATATGAGGGAGGGCAGAACATCGGGTTACGGGAACCGACATGTATACGTATACCTTCAATTTTAATGCCTCGTCGTTCATTGTTGTTTATCGAACGAATAATCACCGGCTAAACTGACAATCTTCAGAAAGAATAAATGCCGTATTAAAAAAAAAATTACTTCTATGGATGAGATTTTTTGGTTTATTTCGATACCACGACATTACGAACAAAAATCTCTATTCTATATCACGTATTTGGCAAGTATATGTACATATGTCAAAGTCTCGCATCCGATTACAAGATCCATACAATTGGTAAATACGGTATCGAATCGATCGATCGATCGATCGATCGACCGACCGACCGACCGACCGACCGACCGATTAATTCGAGCGAAGCAGGTTATTCTTGTATGCTGGTGTGGGTCGTTGGACGTTTCCTCCGAGCTTTGATTCACGTAACTGTTAATCGACATAAATTACAATCGAGAGAGAACCCAAGCAGTATTCGTGTCGAAGGCTGTGTCTTAGGAGTCAGTGGGTGTCACGATGTAGGCAGTGACCCAGCCATCTTGCGACACGTACAGCATGCATATCGGCATGTAGGAGTCCGTGCGCGCTAATACGACAGTTTCCGTCCATTTTCAATGCATATCTGTTTGTAGTTTAATCGCTCTTAACGCGTGCATTCTAATTACGCGAGATGGGATGTCGAGGGTGACAGTTGACGATCGAACGGCCGTAAATGGACACCGAAACCGATCGCATGGAACGAACGAACGGTCGTTGCGTTCCTACGTTTCTATTAGGATCGATACGTCGCACCGCGCTGCGCCACGCCGTTTTCTGAGCAATTGTTATGCCGCGAATATCTTCAGCTCGCGATCCGTTACGTAACGCTTAACGATTTGTCTTTCTCGGCGGAGCCAATCGTCGTAACCACGGCCAACAATCATCATTGTCTGTCGATTCCGATGATATTACGTGCTGTTATACGTTTCTGTCAACGGCTTTCAGTTTGTTAATAGAGACATTATAGTACACGATTTGTCATTTTGGAAAGACAAGTTTACGACGTCTGTTAGTGATTTGGACTTGTCTGTCGTTCGGTTGGAAATAATGTTGGTGTTTCATTGCACGTAATCGATCCGTGCAGCTTTTGCGGTTTGCGATAGAAGAGAATTGCCGCGTCGATCTTCGGTATCCGGTAGCATAGTCTCGCTCTAAACCAGCTACCGAACTTGCTATTTAAGATTCTTTCTATCGGTATAATCTGTACCGATAAAAAACCATAATAATTTACGAACCGTTTCCGTCGTGAACAGAGTTCATGACGCGAGGTTCGGTTCCTTCAACGCGCGGAATTTCGCTGCTCTATCTTCGATTCTTGAACCCGTTGCTCGAAATGTTTTTCTTTATTTCGCTTCGTTGTAGAATCGTAATCATGGAACTTGTTCTCGACTCGTGACTGGACTCTCGTTAGATAGGTGTATCTCTGCAACAAAAAATTCATGCATTTTCCATAAAAAGAATGCCGCGTGCGCACCTACGTTGTTTCTTTATTTCTCTGAGAACACACGCATTCATTTTCTTCCCATTTCGCTAGTTTTACTAGCCTTTCAACATATCGATCACCGGAAACGCCAATTATTCTATAATATTCATGTTTTTAACGCAAGGTTCGATCAGTTGACATCTATGTGGGTTCATCACTTTTTTCAATATCGATTACCCCGGTGCAGTAATTGCCCGTTTCTTTACTGTTCGTCCCCGGTAAGAAGGCAGCTCTCGGTAATTACAAGCTTGTCTTCGATGCGTAACCCTTGATGATTTTTTTTCTCTGTCATAACGAGGAATGGAAATCGCTCGGTACATGGATACTTGTGTTGAAAAGTTTGCTGATTCGCAGCAATAGCTATCCATGAAAAACTATAACCGATCCCATGCAATGGAGGATGGGAACCTCCAAGGAGGCCAGGAAATATTCTATTTTTACGCGCGCTGCTGATAAAGTTTCAAGGCTTGCGCGTACGAATCCTACATGGAATCGACTAGGTATTTTTACGCGATAAAACATTAAACAATTTCGATGCCAAAGTATCAACAACGTGATGAATGAACCGTTTCGCGAGAAATTCATTTTCACCGTTTAAAAAAAGAGAAAGATTTCGCGTTGGGCGTTGTCGTTAGGGTAAAGAGACTCGGTGTAAATCGTCGATCGATATTGTATCGAAACGCAAAGGTAAAAAAGTAACGATGATATCGATTCAGGCTCACCGAAATACGGATACGTTTGGTCCCACGGCAAGCAATCGTGTCGCACACACCTCCGATCGGCTACCTTCCTAACGAATACCAGACGACCGATTCGAATACACACGCGTGCGCTTATCGAAAGGAATGTTATTCTCACACACTGCTGACACGCGAACGGAAACAGCATCCACCAGGCACCATGTCTCTCTTTAACAGTTGAAAAGTAACAAGTTGAACGACACGCGCACCAGACCCTGGCCAGACAAACTAGCCAGGACCAAACGTCCGCGCACGGACTTACCGATCCGTGATCATTGGATCAAACGCATCGTTCGTCGTTTAAACGGTACCACCGACAACACCAACTTCCTTCGTGCTGTAACGAGCACTGAATGGATTTGCCAGCGAGGAAACATAATCGCGTTTACGGGCCAGCTGTAGGTACACCACTCTTTTCCTTTCCTTTCCTTTCCTTTCCTTTCCTTTCCTTTCGATTCTCTGCCCGAGCCAGTACAGTACCGGAGGATCCCCACTATGTGCACGCGCAGAGACCACCAGAGTACTCCCACGCGTCACACGGTATAAGTATATGTAATATGTATGTATGTATGTATGTATGTATACGTGGGTAGACCATGGCTGACATTGAGGAGGAATGGAGTGGCCAGATGCCCGCCAACTGTCAAATATCCTCACTCGTTCTTCGAGGCACGCAAAATCTCATTGCTGCGCGCGACTTCTCGCTTCTCAACATAGATTTAATAGTAAAAGATCTGACAATACCAAATTTATAAGTGTTTGCGAAATTAAGCTATTCGTTGCGAGGATGAAAACTCGAGGATGGACTCGGAAACGTCTATTTTGTCCAATTAAAAACACTTGTTGTTTACAAGAGATGTTGGTAAGAATTACGTCCTCCGCTGAATGTTATCGGTAAACGCATTCGTTTCGCAAGCGCCAGTCTACCAATGTGAACGCTAATATCCACCCACGGTTCTGGACATAGTAACGAGTTTCTCGGTAGCCGCAATAGCAGATTTATGAGACAAGCGGCTGCTCAACGCGACGTTCTTTCTCCACCGTCAATTTCTCAATAAAATTATTTCAAGCCAACATATTTACCATCCGATTCAAATAATACCAACTATGTATGTATGTACTCTTAATTCCCACTGAAACGATACACACAGCTTCATTTCTCGGACAAACTGTCTGTGAAATAGACGCGTCAGGCATCATTGTTCTCTCTGTGACAATAGTCATTATCGGTGAACATTATTATTTCCTGGTTTATAATCATTTCAATTGGTATACGTGCAAGTTGTGGAGCCAGTCTAGCCTGTATGCAGCACGGTAATAATGGCATTCTGGACAAGCCCAAAGATGACACAACCTGCAAACAATGCAGCGCACCAAGATTAAACATGCTCGAAATACTAAAACTGTAAAATCCAAGGTTCGCGTAAAACTTGCGATGTTAAAAGTTTTCTTTCTTTAAACTTCTCCGTCACTTTTAATTGATACTTCTCGACGAGGATCGATCCTGTCCGAGCGAATTTCGTCGTCGAGGTTACTCTGTTTTTATTTTCGATCAAAGAAAAAAATAGCATCATTACGAAGAAAAAAGTACGCGTCACAGTCTTATTCTCCAATCGAGGTTCTAGTTTCTGTGGAACGCCGAGCCTTGTAGATCCGCGTACGCGATCGAAACGGTAAATAACGATTATCGCTCGTCTTTGTATTTGACGTTAAAAATTCAATCGGCTTCAAGGATTTTTCCTCGTACATACCTCGGTTTGCCGACAGGGGTTCGCGATGCACGCGCGTGTACCGTTTTTTTAATCAGGCAGAGGTCACTTCCGGCCATACGAAAACCGGAAACGCAACGCGTGCTTGCCTGTATCCGGTCCGCGTGGATACCTAGGTATGCTAACTCGGTAGGATAGACCCTGTCTTTCGTTGCAAATTAACGATGCACTTTATTTATTTATTTATTTACAGGTATCAATCCCCTTGTACACAAAGATAGAGAGATAAAAGTATAAAATCATATAAACTTTCTATAAACTATGTTCACGCCGCCAAATATTTCCATTAAGTTACTGAATATTCAAATTAGAATTGAACGCAAACGTAAGCAGAGTGCGGAGCAACCAAGAAACACGTCTGACAATAAGCTGTAACTGTCAAGCCACGAATCCTAACCTTTGATCATTCAAGGAACTATCGACAGTAACTGGATCAAGTAACGCTACTCTTCTCCTACGAGGTTCATTTTTTTCCTCTTTCTTTTATTCTTTTCGCAATAAATACATAGTTTATCGAGATAATGAATCGTGAACGTATTTATCGAAAGACGACGGTTGAGGAAATACATACTTCTTTTTCATTTCAATCATTATTTTTATTTCAATATTTGTCCGTCGATAACTCTCGATGTTATCTGCGATTTTTATCGACGGACGTTATAGACGCGTCTCATCCGTTTTCAACTAGATTCCTGCTATATCGATACACAATACTCTCGCCTAACTTTTAACCACAGACGAAGTATACGAGTAGACCTTTCACCACAGACGAGGTATACATATGAGTAGATCTTTCACCTAATGTAATTTTTCGGCCCGAGTTTCTGGCCTCCCGGGACCCCATTACCATTTTCGTGTCACTCGCAACGTTATCAACAGATTTAGAAATGAGGAACACAAGAGGAAGTGAGACAGAAAATAAAATTACATAAATTTTATTATTTTTTAACGGAATGAAAGCTGTATGGTCCAGAATTGAGCATCGATCGATTAATTTCATTGGAATAACCAATCGATCGAGATTATTTAAAGATTTCAAAATTATTAAAATACGTAAGGATCTCATTGATAAATACACCGCAAATCCTCTATTTTTTATTTTAAATTCTAATATATTATTTATTTAAAAACTAACTCGGCAACAAACGTATTTGCGACTTGAAATCAGTGTTATCAGACCGCACACCGGGGCGAGGAACATATGTGAAACTACGAGAAAAACGCAGCCATTAGCTCATATTATTTGCTATGTAATTAATAATTCTATTAATTACATAGTAAATAATATGACCCGGGTCTCACCACGAGGAGGTTGCTGCGTATGGAGACCCGCCCTAGCCTCGCCCCAACCACCCTTCCTTTGGCGAGGAATTCGAATACCTATCCAAGAGAGAAGCTATCGAAAAGTTAAAAACCAGCTAGAAAAGGAGCGTTCTTAAAAGAACTGCCCAATCAATAGACGAAGAACCTAACAAAATGTCAATACATGTGAGATGATACACATGTTTTCGAAAAACGAAATTGAAATGTGCAACTGCACGCACGAACTCCGACCGATCAAGAGATCAAAAACCTAACAAAATGTTCATACGTGTGAAATAATCCATCACGTGTTTTCTAGAAACGAAATTGGAATGTGCAACTGCACGTACGAATCCTGATTACTAAAGTACCAATATGTACTTTATTATTAATTGTTCCTTCTTAAATAACAAGACACTCGTACAAAACGAAGAAAGGATCCTGAAGATCCAACCAGAAATGTGCAACTGCACGTATGGACCTTGCATATTAGAATACCAATATGTATCTTAATATTAATCATTCCCACTTAAATTTACGCACACGTTTCGGTAATACTTAATAAACGGCAGGAGAACGCTTTTTTATCTTATAATCTATATGTATACATTTTTACTTATATTCTAACGCAATCTGTAGAAACATGAAGATATACGAGGAAATATTTTCTTCGTGGTGTCTTCATCGATTCCACGATGTTTTTCTAAAACATACACTCATATACAATAAATATAACCGACATGAAACAAAGAAATATGACAAGATATTTTCTTCTTGGTGCCTTCGTCACTCCCACGATGTTTTCCTGAAACAAAAACTCATATCCAATAAAATATGTAACTCGTATAAAACAAATAAATATGAAAAAATATTTCTTCTTGGCGTCTTGATTAATCCCACGATGTTTCCCTGAAACATAAATCAGACAATAAATAGAATTGTATGAAATATTTTTCTACGAACGATCAAGATGGAATCCGTGTACCATTTCCAATTCCATTCTTCGATGATAATATATTCTGTAACAAGAACTTGTTCAAAGGATTAATAGCTGAAATGAAAATGTATTAATGAACACAGAAAAAAATAATTATAAAAGTGATATTATGCAATTAATATTCGAACTAAAGCTTCCGCGAGTAAAAATTGAAATTAAAAAGTTTAAAAACATAAATACTACGTGAAATTGAATGAAAATTCGACTCGGTGTTAAGATAAATACGAAAATAGATTGAAAATTTTATTCATTCGTTACCGTAGATTTTATTTTTCGTTTCCTTTATGAAATAAACAATTTTTCAAGACGTATACATTGCAATAATTATATTTCACTGTATTCGAAACTAAATTAGGTTCATAGAGAAAAAGCAATAGCCAACGAAAATGTCGTTTCTACGCGGCAATTAACTCTCGATATGAAACATCGAATTGCAATTTGCATACCCTTTTGATGCAAGCATTCTATTTTCCATCGATTAAAACAATGATCGCGAATAAACTTTAATTTATGCAAAGAATACAGAATATTTATAAATAACAATTGGATCGCAAACGTTATTATATCCCGTAAAAATTACCAACTCTAAGAATGAATAATCAGTGATATAGATATCTATGTATATAGCAATCATAAATTCGATCTACAATAAAATTAATCATAATAGAGAATTTTTAAATGTATCACAAATCTGTGATGAAAATACATTCCCATATATTACAGATTTTAACACGTTATGAAGCATAAAACAATTGGTCTATTCGCAGCAGTGCTTTCAAGCAGTATTTCTTTTGAGAATAAACTCATAAACGTCCACTCGTCTTAAATTCAAACAACCCGTGAGTGGACCATTCTTTCTTTCGCAACGCTAATTTATAAAAAAAAAAACTATACGCGAATGGTGCTTGTTATTCGTAAAATGAACTATACAGGGTTCCTTTATTAATTAAATCGCGTGCACCCATATTCAATCATGCGCAACACTAATTTAGATAATAACGTTGAGCCTTCTTAGGCTTTGTAGAACAGCAGATTCTTCGTGATGATCTTGAGGCTGTGGCCAGCGTCAAATTTTGGGCATTGAATCGCAACTCTGATTAATAAAATCGCGATAAATCAAGATCGCAACGCTAATTTATAATATAAAAATTCCAAACGCGATTTCTAACGATAAAAGCAACCGCGAATGGTGATTATTCGCAACGCTACCCTGAAAAGTAAACGCGAAAAATCGTAATTCGCAACGCTAAGAAGAAACCGATCGGTACGTTCGCAACGCTACCCTGAAAAAGAA